TGTTGTATTTCAGGAATATGTATTTTTTCTTCATCATGTATAATTTTCAATAACCCTACAGGCATCACTTTTTTTTAGCTAAATCCATCGGGAAACTTTGCCACGCTTAATTTCAAAATAACGGAGATGTTATCAAAATTGAGCAATATTGGCACAAAAACGTTTCTAGATTCATATAAAGAATGCATCATCATACAACACTAATTGGTATATAAACAACATCTACTGACTTGGTCTGATAATGTAATATAAAGATTTTAACTGTTGTGTGTCAACCTTTCTTCTGTATGATTCCATCGGATTACATTATGAAACGTGTACCATATAAAATGATACATGTTTCTAACGTAATGCTGAAAATATTTATAATTGACATCACCCATCCTTTCGCATTTTAACATTTTTTCAAGGATAGGGCACTTTAAACGTTTCTTAAAAATATTTTCAACTGTTCAGTAATTAAAATCTTTATATTGCAATATCGGGAAATCGAAATTTTAGGGGGATTTTGGACCACCCTATTATAGGTATATTGAAAATGGACAAGAATGGGTAAATCTTAAAACACAATCCGATTAGTATTTAGAATCGACAATGGCAACCTACAAACGGACACATCGATGGACAAATTGTTTTAGAATGCAACTCTACGTGTATAGTGATGGACTCGGCGGGGCGTAGTGGAAGATGACGGGACGTATTGGTCAAATTTGAAGAGATGTGTGGATGATTTAGAAACTGCTGCGTTTGATGCCCAAAAATCAAGACGTAGCGATGGAAGGTTGTAATGGGAGTCCATTCTGAAATTATGGGCGAGAATGGGTAAAAGACTGGCGAGATAACTTGACTTACAGTTGAAAGTTATGAAAATTTGCTTTATCTCACAGCTGGGGACCAAAACGCCGCTAAAAGGAGGTACTTTGTACACGAAAACAATGTATCGACTGAAAGGTATTTCTGTGAAGCTTTGTACGGAACAAGTTTGAAGAAAAACGGTGAAGTGTGAGACTCACAATCCTTGATTTTCAAACACTGGGGTAGGTTTTAAATTCAAATTAACGGTTTTTCGGGACGGAGTGGTTTCGATACGTCCCGAAGAGATACTACCGCGTGATCATTGTAGAGAGGAAAATATTCAATATTGTATTAACTTGGTATATCCTATACTCATAAGCTGCAATAATGCTGGCAGTCCGATGTGAGAGAAGTAATTTTCTGTCTATCAATTTTCCCAATTCCCAGTTTGGAAAAGATGTTTATCACCGTGCCCTCAGTTAGTTCATTATTATATTGGTCTCAGTGTTTGTTCTGAGATGGGATGTGTATGAATTCTTCAATATTCTATCATTTTTCATTGACCCCATTGTATCTATTAAGCTTGGTATGATGTTTGACTCACAGCTGTATATTTGACTTACAGCTACATGTTCGACTACTCTACAGAGGAATTTGACTGGATTTAAATCACTAGGTATTGTTCACTTTTAGGATTCAAGATTTTCCTCTTTTCAAAAATGTTCGTTTGTTGTACGATACCCTGATCTACCATTTATGTTTGACTTACTGCTAGGTGTTTGACTATTCTACAGACTTATTTGACTCCACTTTTTTTTCAATTATTGAAACCACTTTTAGGATTTTCCTCTATTCCTGAAAATGTTCATTTCTTTTACCATACTCAGTTCTACCTAGATAAAGGGAGTACCTGTTTATCCTTAAAACATTCACTAATTACTCTTAGATAACATTATCAGTGGAAATTGGCAAAAGTCCTGTTCTCTTGAAAAATATATTACAGTGTCGTGCTTTAAACTGCAAAATAGAGTTGAAAAGAGTGGAATTAGCAAGGATTAAAGTAAACAGACATGAAGTAGAAACTCTAAATTGTATAGAAATGTAAAAAAAATCAAACACTTCATTACATTTTTAGAGAGAAATGGAGTAGAATCCTCATGGTTGGTAAATTGTTTAAACGAGGGAGGTTTATGTTTTGTTCATTGTACGTCGGTAATAGTAGTGCGTAATTTCATCTTGTGTTTTAAGGTATGTCCACATGAGGAAAATGTTTATAAAATTTTCTTAATTGTGATAATCATAATTTCTAATAATAGGTACATGTTTTCATATTTGTTTGTGGATATTGAAACATTATCATGGTAAAAAAATTGTTCAAAATCTTCCACTTAAAACGACATTTTTTTTTATTATATGTCACTACCAAAAGTGATGACATATTGTTATGGTCTCAATCTCAATTGTGATGGCAGTTTGTGTCCAGCATCTCGTGTCCGACATTTGGCATCTGTAACAAATGACAGGTGGTTACATTTTGTATGTTTAATGCCTTGTTTTCAATGTAACTCTTTTTGAGATTTTTACTAACTACCTCATTGTCTAACCATGTCTGATAGCAATGTTTTGTATGAATCATAAATACAATTAGATTTTAAGTGTACTATTGCTGTGTATTTTTTTTAACTCCAAGTAGACTACTTTACAATGTTCTTGATATAGAGGTGAATTTAAAGGCCGGCTCACAAGAATATTGGATTATAATAGAAAGTACATGTATTAGAATAATATTAATTCACAGGCTTCTATCAGTTCCATTCTAGAAAATACTTGTTAACAGTGATCTACCCAGGATTTTGTTCCGTTCATCCTAATTTTACTGGTTTTGGTCAAAAGTCTTCATATTTTTGACAGGACAAACAGACTTTCAACAGGTCGGCTCCGAGCTCAATATGTATTTTTCGATAGTGTGTAACTCCGGGTTGGACTAATGTTAGGGAGATAGAAAAAAATTGTTTCTGAAAGAATACAACAAATAAGTATTTAGTGTTATATCACATTTAAAAACAAACCATTTTCCTACAAATTTCAGCCACGGTAATATATAGAAATGTTAAATGTATGTTCAAAGTATATAATATTTAGCACCAACCCATTAGTGGGAACAGGTGTTACACAATACCAGAGTAATGATATATATAATATCCAATCAAGGTCAATCAGTCAATGTATATACTATAGTGGTCTATCATTATTACCTGGCTTCTCTCTCTAAAAAAATGCTCATTGATTGAATGGTGCAAGAAAAAAATTAAACCCTAAAGTAGTGTTGCACAGAACATAACATAATTGTATATGTTGCACGAAAAAATCCTCCATATAAAAAAAGTCCTGGGAGAGTTGAACATCTTCATTCATTTGGCTCCCATAGTTGCAGTATAGACCGAGTGCACAAAGTTGAACAGTTAAAAAATTATGTTATGGGATAGAGGGGGGGGGGGGGTGTTAAAACATCATAAAATTAACTTTATTTTTTACTGCCAAGTATCTACATTTGGACAGATCCCTAACTGTCAATTTCTTTGAAATATGTGTTTTGGATAACTGCCTTTATATCTTTTGAGCTCTTCTATTGTATTTTGCAAATCCCCCCTGCTTTCTGATAGCACTATATCCATGTATTGTTATTCCTTTATAAAGCCACTATCTATTAGGAAACCATTTAGCATAATCCAGTTAACTTAAATCACAATCCTTTTTTCACATCTGTGTACTATTTTTGATGAATTATAGAGGCTGGTAGCGCTCAGTTTGATAAAATATTTCTTTTTGTTTTAAGTCCCCATTCCTATGCCCCTTACTTCTTTTTTGAGAACTTAATGTTTAAAATACAAATAAATTCAGGTCTTGGCAATAAAAGGAAGTTTAAGCTTGCATATAAAATCGAACAGCCAACCTATATATATTTGAGTCTTTATCTCCAGTTAGTCTGATCCCATTTATAACACTTTCTGAACAAATATGATTAACTCTCATCCAGACTTCTAATTCAATTAACTGAAAGAGTGCATACTCAGAGAAAGCAGGCGGATTTACTTTTTATATTTAAAAGCATTTTATCAAAGGGGAATAAGGGAATTTTGCTGTTTTGCAAGCAATTGGGACTTGGCAGCAAAATTGGACTTTCAAACAATTTGTTGACATGCTTAAAATTGTGATCTTTAAAAGAATAAATCAACTTTTAAAGATTGACATTGTGTCAATGGGATTTAGCCTGACCTTTTTCAGAAAAGATAAAAATTCTTAGAAATTGAATAAAATGAAATAATAATGTAAATCAAAGTTCTTCTAGTAGAAAAGTATGCACAGAATTCAAATATGTCATAAAATAGAAGAAAATATAAGTCCTTAGTGTCAATATGCAAATCTCTTAAAATCTCATTAAAATGAGACTTCATGGAGATTTCAGGGCTATATAGCAAATGGTTAATTACGCCACTGCCTGTGAAGCTGGGCACTCGTAATTTTCCAAGCCTTACAATAACATGATATAACAACATTAAGGGCCTAGATTCTATAATTATAGCCGCTGATCAATTTCACTTTCCTTGTTTGTTTAATTCTCTATTTATTGCTGTATATTATTATCATGGCAACTAAATCAGTGAAATTTATTGGAGCTGCCAAGCGCGACATAAAAATAGGAGAATGTTCGGAATTAATGAATCTTGGTACAAAGATATTCTGAAGGACTAAAACACATGCCATTTAATCTAGATATAAGAAATATGTGGATATTTCAAATATAAAATGTAACATCAGATGAAATAGTTTTTGATTCTTTTTATACCCTTGCCTATATAACTGATTCTCTGGGAACTTGCTTGTGAATTTATGACCTGCTGAACTGTGTGAGTTGAATATATAAATATAAATGATGCAAGGACAGGTAAATGACTACCTAACACCAGAGGTGGGCAAGAGCGCATTTGAAATACGGTGAAATCTTTATATACCACCTTAATAACACCTTTTTAATCAAACACCTCATGTACATGTACTTTTACTTCCATGTAAAATAAACTTTAAAATGTGAACACCTGCTAGTTCAAACACATAGTCGGTCCCAGTGGCATTCGGATTAGACGGTTTTTACTATATTTATTTTAACTGATTAATATATGTTTAAGAAATGTTTATGCTTTCAGGGAGAAAAACAGGGTTCCAATGGAAGTACTCAGGAAGAGAGAGATAAAATGGTTAGACATGTTCGAGAATTGGGAGAAATGGATGAATAAAAAGTTTAAAAAGGTAAAAACAAATTAGTCTTGTTTCAAGACCCATGGACCCCCCTCCCTTTATCTACTTCAACCTGTTGTTGAAGTTGGGGTTTAGTGTCTTGATGCAAGACTAAACACTTACTATTAAGCAAGGGAATCAATATGATAAAGAAAGAATGAACATCTACAAATGGAGAAATAGATGGGAATAGATGTTTGACTGAACTAATGAATGAACTATCAAACTTAATATCAGACAAGATTTATCAAGGGAATTCCTTTAGTGAACATTAAACAAATTGTATTAATGCTTCTCTCTATTACTCATCATCAACATTCCCCAAAATGTGAATATCTATGACAAGTTTATCATAAAAAATTTAATTGATCATTTCAGGTGAAGGAACGATGTAGAAAAGGCATTCCACCAGCAATGAGAGCCAGGGCTTGGCAGTATCTTTGCGGCAGTAAATATTTAGCAGAAAATAACAGGGGAAAATTTGATGTAAGTTTTTTATATTATTAGAAAATATGAGATAAAATAAGAATAACATGCAAATTCATTCTCAGTTTTGTATCTAATGCATCAGCAATTTCCTAGGCACTTAATGTACAACAGGTTTATTATCCGTTCAAATTGCACCGGGAATCTGAATGCATAAATGTTCAAACTTTCAGTTCTTGGCATCCAAAACAAGAATTGTTAATTTGTACCAGGACTGTAGGCAAATGATAGATATTGATATTTTCGAAATTATCATTCTTTTATGTGTAAATGATTAAAGTGAAAATAGTGTTTCTCATTCTTGTATGAATATGTTATTAATAACACACTTATAAGTGCCACTGCTGTAATAGAGGACAGGGAGGGAATGTCGTCCATTTACGTCGTCCATGTCGACAATTACCTACATTGACAACATTGCCTCCCTGTTCTCTAGTGATTGTCAAATAAATAATAAGTTAAGTAAATATTACTCTGTTTTTCAGTTTTATATAAGTGCATCTGGTGACGCTAAAGCAGTGGATGACATCACAAAAGACCTTCATCGGCAATTTCCATTTCATGAAATGTTCATGGCCAGAGAAGGGCATGGGTGAGTTGGCGCGAACGCATAACGAAGAGGGGATCAAGAAATGAGTGTTATGACATGCAATGAAAATATGGGGGCATAAGGAGATACAGGGAAGACTAGGGAAATGTTGGGGATGGGATTGAGCAGAGAAGCTAGGGCTCTCCATATCTTCTTCACCAACACAATGTAGATAGGGAGGGGGGTTCAAGGTCTTGAAGCAATACTATGGCTGACCAACCAATCAGCAGACTTAGGTATGGTGTCTAAAATTCATGAAAAAAGTTGTGGTTTAAATCCCCTCTCACCACTCTCACCCTACATAACTGTATTTTCTAATAAAAATAGTTAAAATATTGAAATGTCATATTAACAGTTTTACAAAGGATTTTACTTTTATTTTGTATTTGATATTTCACCCATTCAGTCAAGAATGTTTCATTTTCTTCTTATATTTAGAGGTTATGTTACTATCGTAACCTATGATGATGTAGACTGGTCAGAGAGTACCGTTTTCTTATAGAATTGACAAACAAATGATTGAAATGAGTTTAGAAAAATTGCTCGCGCAGTTTTATCTTCGATTGATTGGTTATGACGTCAGCGCCTTGACCAATCAGAAAGTTAGCAGGCGCTGGCTTTTCAAAACTTATATTGGCTCGCTGTCTTGTGTACACTTTGCACTATACATCATCATAGGTATGTTATAAATAGTTTTATTGAATCATTGGTTGCATATGATACATTGTTGGTTTTATTTTGCAGGCAAGAAGATTTATTCCGAGTCCTGAAAGCTTACACAGTTCACAACCCACGGGACGGTTACTGTCAGGCCCAGGCCCCCATAGCAGCCATCTTATTAATGCATATGCCTGCTGAACAAGCATTCTGGTGTCTCGTTTCTATATGTGAAAAGTATTTACCTGGTTACTATAGTCAAGGCCTCGTAAGTAATTGTCAATTTTAAAGGTGTCTCGAAAATGATGGCAAAAACATTCTGTTCCATTTTGACATCATTTTAGCATTCAGATAACTTATGAGCAAAAAAACATGTTGGTGTCATTTTGGTACCAAAATGACCCAGAAGCGCTGAAATGACAACACTGATTTTTTGCAAAAAATGACACCTTTGTATTTGTGATTTCAAGCTGCTTGCAATTTATTTTAAGCACCAATTAAAACCAATATTTCTTAATGTTTTGGAACCACAATTTGGCACGAAGATCAGAAATCAGACATGGAAATGATTCCATTTAGATTGCACTTATTTGCTTTTGTCTAAATTCAGTATCATTTTGGCACTAAAAGCAGGCACGAAACAGTTCAAGAATTATATTTGAAGATTACAGTTATAGACTGTTTTCTCTTATCTATTTATTAGGAAGCAGTACAGGTAGATGGCGATGTCCTATTTGGACTGTTAAAGAAATCATCCCCAGCAATATACAAACATTTAGTAAGTTATTCATTCCAGTTTCATAATTTAAACAACTAACAGGTCATTCAATAAATACATGTATGTGGGAAAAACCTCTCATTTCAGTTTTTTTGTACTTCTTCATGAAATTTCAAATTGGAATTTTGGACATGATATATTACATATACTGTAGAAGTGGAAACTTTAACGACGTGGAAACTTTGGCGAAATTTAGCGTTGAAGGAGAGACGCCAAAATAAAAATTCGTAGAAAAATATGAAAAAATATCGGTGGGCGATAATGCCGTGAAGAATACAGATCGACATCCAGATGCTGAATTTCTTTTCGAATACATAAATAATACATACCTCAGTGTTTCCTCATCGATTTACAATCATAATTAATACCTATTTTGTTTTGCAATCATTTTTTGTTGCCCTAAATGATGAAAACATTACAGAAATAATTTTTCGATTTTTCGATCACAAATTCTGTTATTTGATTGGATATCTACTGTCATGTGACAATTTATCACTAACATGAATGACACGATTATTTTATGAGGATATACTAGTAACCTAATAATAAGCTTATGAGCTCGCCCAAGTAATTCTCCATTTTCTTGATTGCTGGTCCGGGAAAGTTTAATTCGGCGATAGAGTTTTAGGGACCATCTCGCTAAAGTTTTGTTTCGCTAAGGTTTCCACTTCTAATTGGACCCACAGTAAGAATAAAGTATGTTTCTGTGGTTGCGTTATATGAATAGTCTATAAAATTGTTTACCAGATTTTTGTCACAATGTCAATATGTTGAAAAAAGAAGCTGTCTCAATTAGAAAAGTGTGTCTAAAACACTAGTAGACTAGTATACTGCATGGGCCAACAAATTGTTCTAAAACTTTTTCCAGAGGGTCAAACTCATTAGAAATGTACCAAGGACACTAATCGTGAATTTCTTGAATTAACATCTGAAATGCAAAAATGTGGGAAAGTAATTAAAAAGTAGATTTACCACACACCAACAGTGTGTCATTGTGAGCATTCTATTTGTAGAAAAAGCAGAAGATAGACCCTATACTATATATGACAGAATGGTTCATGTGTGTGTACACAAGGACTTTGCCATGGACTGCTGTGCTCAGAGTATGGGACATGTTCTTCTGTGAAGGTATGGCATATGGATGAGTTTTTATTTCATCAGGGGCCCAAAGGCTGCTCTACTTTATCAGGGCCACAAAGCTTTTGATATTTTATCAGGAGCCTGTTTCTCTATATCAGGGGCTCAATTTTTCTAATATTTTATTATGGATTTATAGGTTTGCTATTTTAAGTATATTTACCATGCTCAATTTTTCCAAGAGTGCATGCAAGATAGCAATGTTGCTCAAATGTAATAAACCTCAGGATGACAGCGTTGCTTAATTTTGGTGTTCTCAATATTTCCAGTTGCAAGATAGCATAATTCATAGCTCAAATATAAACCAAATGATGACAATGTTACTTAATTGTGGTGTTCTCAATATTTTCAGGTGTAAAGATCATGTTCAAGATTGCACTGGTTCTATTTAAACATACGCTGACCCAGGCGGACTTGAAAGATTGCCCAACGTTATACGAAACCATGGAAAAAATACGAAATATTCCAAGTCATGTTATGGAGGATGATTTTTTAGTTGCCGAGGTATACTATAGTATAATCCTTCAATTATTTGAAGGATTTATCTAGAATATTTTGATAACCCCCTTGAATACAACCCCATGTACATTGCTGCTGGGGACTGCCCCTGCTAGGTTAAGTCCGTGTTGTAGGTTTGTGAAGTAAATAATGGATATTCAATGGTTTTTACTATCACACTTTTTCAATGCAAAGAGCTATATTGATGAAATGGAATATGAAATAAACAAAAAGTGAAATATTTATTAGTTTATGTCTTGTTATACGAGACAATATAACATGTTTTTCCAATTGCAGTTAGTAACTCTAAAAGTAACAGAACGTGATATGGAAAAAGAGCACCAGTTTCAAGTGGCTCGGCGGAAAGCATTAAAAGATGGCGATAAAGGGACTAAATCGAAAAAAAAGAAAAAGACACATGCAAAGTCCCCAAGCCCAGATAGCTGATATATCCCATAATGCATTTCGGGGCCATGTGAATCAATATTGACCAACCGGATTTTAGGGTTTTGTTCATGTGACAGAAATGTAATATGATCAAAAGAGAGTTGGTGCCCATAATAAATTTTGGATATTTATAATAATATACACAATCTTCCGATTGGATGTTCCGGGTTGGTGACACAAATGTTATACTGCATCGTATTCGTATCGATCAAAGGAATCATAGTAGTATAATACAACAGTGTTGACCAATCAGTAGTTACTTCATGTTACATACAGGAGTATTGATCAACTGTGTAGTCATGGTGGATGGTGTCCAGACATGAATTCATAATGTACCAGGCCCGTAGCCAGGGGGGTTCGATGGGTTCGAGTGAACCCTCCCCTGGCCAAAAATTCTTTCAAATTCATGCAGTTTTCACCATTTTGAGCACTTTTTAGGTGATTTTGGCCATTATTGCGCAAAAATTGTCAAAAGTGAACCCCGCTGATTTTTTTCAAAAAGTGAACCCCCTTGGCAAATCCTGGCTACGGGCCTGTGTACTATCATAACAACATACAGTCATATTGAATGGTGTACAGTATGTAAGTGGCATATAAGTTTTTTGGTTTCTTATAAAAATACTGAAATAACATATAAATATAGCAACAGCATACTTCTATCCATAACATTTGAGCAACATACAGTTAATCTTAACCAGTTTAAGAACAGTGTTACTTATATGAGTGATATGCAAACTGATAAATTAATCTTACCAATCATACAGGCCATCCTTACAAAAAGGATATTTCGTTTTATTACATGCTTCTTTCTCGAAGAAATCAAGCCCGATGTGAACAATGACCAATTGAATGACATTCATGTACAGGGTGTCCAAGAATCAAAATAACCAGTGCTGTATATCTAAGTCTTGCTTCAAGCCTCTCTCCACCTGTCCTCCTGATTCATCTCCTTCTCCACTGAGGTTTGTTGGAGGTGGGATCATAAATGCTTGAAGCAAGACTGCTGTTCTAATTTTAGAAGTGTCAATGTCAAAGTAAGATAACATCTACAAGATATAGCTCTATCTTGTATGATTTTACTGTTAAACCTGTAAAGTGGAACAAATTTAGGGGTACCAAAGGTATTTACTGTAATTTTGCTGTAGAAAATATCAAAATGTTCTAAGATTAGTATTTGCCTGGACTTAATTGACACCATTTACTTATACATGTACAAGTATGAACATAGTATATGTAGTCATCATGAAATATATATGTAATCTAAAAGAAAGTATAGTACCAGATTTTCTCAAATAAAGCCCTGGGCTCTTGAATGAATGTAAGGCCTATAATTTATGTTTTCTTTATATCTTATTCTGAGACTTCTTTGAATAAAAAGAAGTGTGAACTTTTGAAAACTAACTGATTACAAAATAGCAATGGAACATTAAACAGCTTCAAAATGCATCCCCAAAAGTGAGATATTTTTAGAAGTTTTCACGCTAGCAGACTGAAAAATGTAAACATCCCCAGTTTGGCTGTTATTTTGAAAGAACTGTCAACTGCAACTGGCCCAAGTTAGCAGTATTTTGAGAAAATCTGGTGCATACATGTGTATGTAGAGTAGGGCTACATATTCTTTATAATTGTCAAACTGTTCGTTACTAAAAAGTACATAATGTAAATATTCAATTTTTATTGCCACGTGTACATAATATGTATTTATTTCATTGTTTTATATGTTTATTTGTACAGTACATTGTCATATCAGGCCACCCTGTACCTGTATAGTATAAATGGTGCATCGGGTGCATGCAGAAGATTGGTGCATGGTGCAATGTGAGGCCAGAGTAATTAGATTTTACGTTTAGTGTTGTTTCTTTTTGTGAACAGATAAGGGATGATTAAGCCTGTGCTCAAACCCTTCTATCTCTTTTACAAATAAAATAAAAAAAGTTATTTTTCATTTATGGCCAGAAATATTATCTCTGAAGTTCTGTCATAAAAAGGACAGTTCTTTTAAATTTATTAGAGATAATATGCTAAACATTCTATTTATTTATCTTAGCCTAATTACAAAGACATTCCTGAAATACAAAATGTCGTTAAACATATTGCTTTTTTGTAATCCTGGATACAAATTATTGAAATTCATTAGAGATGTACTTGCTCAAAGTCAACATTTACGTGAGATGTAGACAGTAAAACCTATCTAATCCGTTCACTAGGACATGTTCAAAGTAGAGGTGTGTTTGGATATACAGGTTTTACTGTAATTTCAGTTCTAAAAATCTGTTCAAAATTTAAAGTCATTTTAAGCCATTTTGTGTCTCCATTTACTAGTATATTATAATAAATAGTTCACAATATTATATACTAGTATATAAAGGGAATTCACAAAAATCTGCCAAATTATTTAGGAGTCAGAAAGTAGCGAATATGCCAAGTAACAAATTAGTCTAGAAAGATACAGTATACAGTTCACAGATGTTAGGCTGTGAAATTGACCTATTCACTTTTAGAGATTTTGTACTGGATCAGAGGTGCGACAAGCAACGTTTTTATTTTTTTCAATTTAATTTGTAGAAAATATCATGTTACTCTCAGTAAAAATATGTTCAATTCTAGCATGTCTAGAGTGTATGATTGTGTAGAGGTGTTTGCTCTTCTTGCCGAAAAAATATAAGTTTCTTCATTTCTCGAAAGATGAAATAAAGATGGTGCTCCTCTACCATTATATGCATGTATTTCAGTTGTAAAGGTGCTCTGAAGCAAAAGTGATGATTGATGTATTAAGACTTCGCCTTGTATTTGTTTACCAATAGGTGAGGCAATTTAAATAGGCGAGGCAAATTCAAAGAATGAGTTTAACTCTTAACACAATTAGATTCAATTTTCAGAGCTAGTATAAAATGTATCCCCTTATAATTTCCACAAGGCTTTGCCTGCCTCATATTTGGTTACATCTCTGAGTTCTCGAAAAGTAGTCAAGGTAAACATTCAGTAACTGTTCTGATAAAGAAAGAGGTTCTCAACCATCATCAATTTTTTGTACGAGGGCCTTATAAAATGGTTGTCTGATCATCCTAGTCATTCCTTTTTTCTTGCCTTTTTATACATTGACAGTTATTTTCTTTTTGTATTTTTACAAATTTAGAGAAAAAGGGAATGCCATGTCACCAGGTTTCATTTTGAAAAGGAATTCTGCTAAACATTCAATTAATCTGTAGTGGCCTTAACAGATTACTTGAATATGTAAATTAATTGTCTGTGTCATAAAGGTCAATGTTGCATTATACGTTATTGAACATCCCTCGTATCAAAAATATATGTACATTTCAGATAATATTCTAAAATGTGTATAATAATACAATGGTACAATTGATACAAATGTAAGTACATTGTACATTGACATTTTCAAGTATTCCATAATTAACAAATATGTACATTTTAGTTGATGGGTATGTATGTGTATATACTTTATAATTATGTACAGGACATTGTCGTTGAAACTGTCTGGATGATATGTTTATATATAATTGTGCAATTTCACATAATGAAACTGAATAAATGAAAAATAGAAGATTTACATGTATATGATGTTTTTATATACTGTAGTTAGGGGAACTGGGGGTATCATGGACATGTATCACTCGTAAAAAGGACAATGAGATGCCAAAACTTATTTTCAAAGAATATATGATGAATGTCATCCTCAAGGCTATAAATTTCCTTTTCAAATTATGATATAAAAATACAAACATCTTACAATGTCTTATGGTTCATTAATTCTTCTTTTATTCTTAAACAATTCTAATATGCACAGTTTTACAGAACATAACATTCTGCTTGGCATACAACTGAAGGGTTTGTCACATAAATTATTGTTGCACTATGTAATATTCATTCACATGCATAAAATAATAAAAATTTTGGCACAATGTCTGTCAAGTCAGTCAAAATAAACATTCAAATTTTTCACATACATTTATCCACATAAGTAACTAATGAAACCAACATACCACTAGAAATCTAGGCAGGTGGTTTTTAAAAAAAATTGAATTGAAAAATTCACATTGAGAGGTGTTCAGATTAACAGATTTTACTGTCCATAGTTGAAGAAGGTCAAGTAATAATTCTTATTTAGTGATGTGTATTCATGGAGGACTAGTTTGCTCCCGTCATCCCTTAATGCTATTTTCAAAGTAAGGTGCAACGGAGACGTCTAAATGATTTATCTATTTATCAGACTTATTCATTTAGATACTTCCTAGTTGACATTTGGTGAGGTTACAAGATCATATATCATGATAGAAGAGTTGAAGTGAAAACACCTATGACATCGTCACAGCATTAAAGCAAGCGGGCGCAGCACCCACTTGAAAATCATGAAAAATTGGCATATTTTTACCAATTTTGGTCAGAAGTGTGAATTTTGCACCCACTTGAGAAAAAATCCTGTGGAGAAGACTGCATTGAATATTGATCTTCAGAGCATAGATTCGGGTGTAATATATTTCTACGATTTCTTATTTGGAGATATCTTCAATCGTTTCATATTAGTTGCAAAATGTTTTGGTAGGAGACATTTGATGAAAATGTTTTTTCCTCCCAGAAAGTGCGGCAAGACGACAGATGTGGCATGTAGATGTAAAGCAAGATGGCGGACCTTTGCTTGACGTATTCCGAGACTTTGTAATGTTTCTCCATAAAGACGCTGAAAAAAAATTAAGAAAAAGAGGTGTATGATGCCTCAATATTTCATGGATATACATACTGGACAGTAATTTTGTAATAAATAACAACTAGACATGCAGTGACAAATAACACTCAAAATCCAAAATGGCCACCTTGGAATTACCCAGCATGGCCAAAACCCAAGCAGCTCTTGGCACTAGTCTGCTCTTGCATCTTTTAAGATTTTAAGTTAAATGAATGAACAATTTTCTTCCCATATTGATAAAAATAATAATAAGTAATATAAAGTCCAGCAACTGGATAAACAAATAAAAGTTCATGTACATCTTTCAAATTTTCACTTAAAGGGTGACGCATATCGTTTAGCAAATCGAACGCTCGTTTCTGGTGTTGCTCACCGTTTAGTATAAAAGGCCCGATCCCGGAATAATACTCAAGGGTTCACAGGTTTGAGGTCGTTGTGTCAACACCTCTAACTGTTATATAGCATAAGTATATTATAGATCGTCACACATTTATAAAAGGGTGATTTTTATTTTGACAAATCAATTCCACATTTATGGGCGAAGTTTCAGGATCATCTATTTGTGTATAATAAGGAAAAATTGGCATCTAAATTTCCCCATAACGTAATAGCACACAGCTTGGCATATGAAATATCCTACAAATGAAACAAAGCAAGACAAACCGGTTTCTAATGCAAGGATTTATATTGGCTGTTGTACATGTATTCTTTGAACGCAATCACTCTTTGGATAACGTTTTCAAAATCATTATAAACGGATTACTTTATCTCAAAGACAATTTCAATAAACTGGATTTTACAGAACTCCCCTTATTTCTTAAAAATGGACTGATCCAGTTGGTTCGCCTAGAGCCGCCATATTGTTTTTATACGGGATGCTAATCGGAACCCTTTAAAATCATGTATTATGAAAAATAAATAAAATAAACAAAAAATAAAGCATTGTAAATAACATCATACCTGAGGGGCTATTCTTGATATATGCGAGTACCTATGGTCACCTAATATGGGTGTGTTCAAACCAAACGCCATGTGACATCTTATTTGGTGGAGAACATCTATAATCAAAGAAATTATGGGATGTAAATGGAACACATGGATAAAGTGATCACCAAATATGGGCATATTGCAATTAAAACAGTTTTTAATTGAATAAAAACCTTATTGGGTAAAAACGCCATTTTGTCACAAAAATGTGGAATATAGTTTCCATGCTAAATAAAAAAAAGATTAACAGCAGTTTGACGTAGCCACTATGAAATATTGATTTGCTCACCTGTTACTGGCTGGCACTCCACTAATGCAGATTCTTTGTTGCTATCTAAAACTGCGTATCTTGTCACGGCACGATGGATCTCATTCCGACTTCTTTTGACCAATGGAATCGTCTGCTCTGTTCGTTCAGGCTGAAGTGCCATCTATAATTATGAATAATGATAAAATCAATATCTAAAATTAAAGTGGAAGTTGACATTTAGCTAATCTGTTATCATTACAAAAGCTGACATCACCAATGTATAAAAGCTGACATCTATCTGTACTCATCCTCTCACAAAATCTTTTACTAACCTGACATAAAAACACAAAATGCAAAACCTATTTTCGTGTCACCATGTATTTAATGATCATATATTTAACCATACAAGTAGATTTCATACTTACCCTATAAGCTCCATCTATTTCTACTTTTTTCATAGGGATATCAATAACACCTGAAACATAGGGAACACCCTTTCAACTTTTCTGAAGTTTAAAGTACATACAAGGGTGAATATAGATCCAAGGTGTGTATTGTGATTTTCACACATCGTCCTGTTGTCCATATAATTAAAGCTATAAATTGGCAGGTACATTCTAAAATTTTCTTGAAGAGCCATGTTCGCCATTGTTTGGTATTTTCTACATTTTTTAAATATCTTAATAAGATGGGCTACAGGAGATATATTACGTATGGAGAGAAAGTGAAAAGGGTTTGGTAATTTGCCTCAAAAAGTCTTAGAATAATTTATAGTAATTTTTCTTGAGATACCAGGTTATGCGAAACTGAACATGTAGTTTCTATATAATAAATGTAGTTCTAATTTCTAACTAACTGAACTCCATGCTAATTTTTCTCTTTTTTAACTCCATTTTTCATTTCAATTGTCTTTTACCTTCTAAGGGTGATGGTATACCCTTTGTCAGCAGCCAATACTTGCGCACAATTTCTCCACTTTGCTTTAACCCCTTCAAGTAGGTCAATGCTTCATGATTCCTGAAACCAAGACAAATAACACTGAAACAACAATTAGAATTTTTCTCTTTTTTCTCAGTTCTTCACAACGTGCACATATTTTTCATGATATCTAATTTTCAAGGACAGTATGTGCCAACTAGTTGAAAAGAAAGTGCAAGTCTAAATTCTGAAAATAGGCGCAGCTCTAATAAATGATAAGTAACCGAAAATCAGCAGCTTTTTGGAAGCCCATGCTGAAATCAATCAACAAATAACACACAATCTTTAACTGGCTATGAATAAAACTGTTGCTCAAACTTACTTTGTTAATATAATTATTCCAGTAACAGTTGTATCCTGGGAATGGACTATTTGCAGAGATGATTTGCTTGATTTCATATGGCATAAACGGGACAGCTCAGGAAGCGCCTTTTCCACATTTGGACCTTGGCTATTACCTAGGAGTAAAATTCAATAACACGTCATGAATATCATGAAAGTTGAGGTTATTAGTTTATAAAGCAAGCAAGTTGTTCTACAGTATCAGTTATGTAGGCTAGCATTTGAAACATAATATTGACCATTTTATCTTAAAATTTGTAACTTGCGATAATGGACTTATGGATAATGGACGAAAAGAACTCAACTTAAATTGTGTGACATTTAATTTTAAAATGAATACATCCCTGCGCAAACTTACAGCAGTAGTAATATTTACAAGGTATTAGCATGAAAAATGTAACCACCTGCCATTTGTTACAGATGCTAAATGCCAAACACTGACTGCCAAACACCAACCATTGATCACCAACCACCAAATGCCCAACACCATCCACAAAAATAGTTGGAGACTACAAAGTGGTGACATAATAAACTCACCTTTACAGGATAATCCATATGGCTTGTCGATCACAAGTAAATTATCTGAAAAATAAAGGATTTTTGTGAAATATATAATTGTGTTTATTCAGTGGAAGGAATTAGAAAAGATAGCTCAAAATGTTGGAAGTCATTTGCTTTAAAATTGAACTCAATGAAATCGAGTTTGACTTTCAATGAAATGGACAACAGGCTAAATGAATTTAACTAATGGGAAAAATTAGTGGATATTAAAACTTTAGCACGGAAGCAGTTCCAATTTCCTTAAAACAACGGGAGAAGTTCATATCATGACTAAATCACCTGTTGCATATTCCAATTTAAACCACAGTTTGCTATGTAGCTCATTAATAAATTGAATTGCAATTTCATTGGCAGTTTTGTGAATGATGGTCCATAATTATTTCATTTTAGTTTAAAGCCCCAGTGCATTTTTTAACCAATTGGGAAGACTCACCATCTTGATACAGTATGTTTTTATGTAGCAAGGCAGCGATCATTGCTGATGGTGTATTACTGAAGTCAACCACTTGGTTAGTCAGTAATCTGAAACCTTTGCTGTCTACAGGCCCAGAGAATTTAGCCTTAGGCCCTAAAAGATAAGTGTAGTTATTTTTTATTTCAATTTCGTTTCAATATTTTTCAATATTTATATTCTTTGTGTCACCCTGTACATATAACAATCAATTAGTTTTATAAGATAAGATATAAGATACAAGTCTTGTAGGCTTGTGTAGCCTTTTGCTTTTATGACATATACATCCACTTCATTTTTTGAATACAGTACAGTTTTATGAACATATATTTCAAATTTTAAAAATATGAAACATACACGTATCATTAAATATTGGTATTTTCAATTGCAAAAATGATCTTACAATTAAATTTTTTTTATCACCATTTTTATTCAGTTACTTGACCCACCTTCTCTTGTTCCAATTTCATTCTCGACTTCTTCTTTTAGTCTCTTTGCCTCAATGCTACGCTGATTCTTCAACTCCCTTCGTATTTTCAAAGCTTCTTCAAAAGCGTTGGATTTTTGATCATGTTGTATCACCTGTTCTTGGTTTTTGGGCTTCACCTCAATGGAGTTATCAATAAAAATGTTTTCTTCGCCAGATTCAACTTGTGTTGCGACATCACTACGACGGTCATTTTGTTTTGTTTTTAATGACTTATTCTTAGTTTTCATAGCTGAACCAACATCTGTTTTATCAAGTGATTCCTGTTTATTGTTATCTTTCTCATGTACTGCATTCTCTCTTTCTTTGACAACATTTAGTCCATCATTCCGTATGTATTCATGCTTCATAGTTTCAAGGTCATATGCATTCCCCTCATTTAATACATTTTTATCTGGCAGTAAAAGCTCATCAAAATAATTTAAATTGCCTTGTTCTTTCTCACCTGCACAGTTTTCAGCTTTTGGAGTTTGAATTTTATGATCAGGAGTTAATTTTTCCGATTGTTCCAACCCTTCAGGGATCAGTAACTGATCAAAATAGTTAGACTGTTCTTTGTCAACAGCGCTCATTGTGGGCATTTCTTTAGCTTTAGAATTTGGATCAGTATTTACATCAAAATAGTTCAATGCATGATCATCCTTTGATTGATCAATAGTACTCGGTTTAATCGCATTATTATCATGTGTCCTTTGACTAGGTATTTCACTGGTTTGCGATAGCCTTGTTGTTTCACCCTGGCTTCCTTTTGAACCAGTTGTTATTTCTGCCTTAGACCCAATCAATTGATTGGGTGATTTAGACTGACTGGCATGTTCTTCAAACTCAGTCAGTTCACGAGTGTTCCAAAAGTCATTGCGCAAGACATCTTTCTCGTAGTTTTGAATACCATAAAAATCCTTGGAAGACGTCTGATCTATATAGCCAGACAAATGTTCATGTTTTGTTTCATCATGACGTTTAGTTTTTGGTTTATTATTCGAATCCATACGAATGACACCAAATGGTGCGAAAACTACCTTTTCAGACTCTTCTGAATTTTCTTTTAGATTATACTTCTCAGTTAGAGCTACGATTGATTTCTTGCGTCGTCCTCTCTTGCTTGCTTTATTATTCTTTTTCACATCTGATTTGAAATTTTCAGATTTTTTTTCAACTTCAACATTGTTCGACTCAGAGTGTTCAATGAACTCAACTTTGCCATCATTGCATGTATTATAACAGTTTACAATTTGTTCTGTGTGTTTGATCCTCCCAAAGAGATGATTTTTGTATAAAATAGGAGAATTATAGAAAATTCTTGAAGAAACACGACCAAACATAGGCGCTGACATCTTGGATTTTGGAGCATTTCGTTTTTCGATTCCACAAGTAACATATCAATTTTCTGATAAATCTGGGATTTAAATATTCTCGCATGTGATTTCATACTATAAAACAAAAGAGTGATGTCCAGTAGAAGGTATATTTACCTCCATAATGACGAGAAAATAAAGAAACCTTTCCAGATTTCGCTGTAGCGAACTAAAACTAAATCATCTGTTCTTGGTGAGGAGAAATTTGAATAGACCTGTCAAAAGTTCAAAACTTATTTCAGTATTTCAATTTGATAAGCGAAGTATTTATTCTTGGGCGTATGGTATTTTGTGCACAAATTAATGAGGTTTTATTATTGAGTAAACTTGGACTTGGAAATCTAATGAACCTGTATTTGATGTTGCAGAACTTTTTCATTCAAAATCAAATTCCTGCAATATCAATCAAATCAATCACTGAATAAAATCAGAAGCTGAGGATAGGTAGCCAAGCAAGCAACCAAGGGAATCAATGTCAGCCAATCAATGCCAGCCAATAAATCAACAAAGAAAGATTACAGCCACAACGTATCATTGTAGGGCGGCCCAACAATCCTGTTCCCGACCTGTCTGTCTGAAACTTCAGCTTTCTGGAGCCAGGGCCATCCAATCTGATGAGAATAGCATTCACACCTGACCATTAATCTAGACGTGAAGATGTGCCTCCCATTCCTGTGTCTAAATGTGATATCTATACTCCCATATGTATGGTTGCTCACTGTGCCCATATATGGATCATTCTGTGGTACAGAAGTTGTCCTAAAGATGTCACTACTGATGGCTGTACATGCTATTGTTGGTGGAATGATTCCAAAGGTCCTTGTAAGTAAAAAAATTATCATTATATTTTTATCTATATCTGATAAAGTATTTATCCATTCAAAGGTTTGCATGAGACCCCCTCACAGGGAGAGGGTAGGGACTTTTAGACACAGACATGACATTTTCTCTCATTGTTAAATCAAAATCCCCACCCCTTCCCATGTGAGGAGTGTTTCACACAAAGCTTTGAATGGTACATTAAAAGAGAAACATGATAGATGCATTCAAAATGGTGTGTTAAACACTTCTGACATGAACACGCCTCAAGTGGTGACATGTTGTTATAGTCTCCACATTTCGTGGCGGCAGTTGGTGTTTGGTGGTTGGTGTTCAGCATCTGTAACAAATGACAGGTAGTGCATGTTTATGTCACATGGCGTTTAGTTTTTAGTCCCTGAATTGCTTCGACAAACAATCATTTTCTTATTTTGTTCCTTATTTTCAGGGTTCATTGATTCCATATATCCAGCTTATCCTCCTTGGAGGGTTAATGTCTTTGCCTATATCTCTGACACCCTACCCACTGGTGTGGATCTATGATAAAGTATTGTGGTTGTCAAACCCTGCATGGATGGCGATAGAAGCATACCAGGTGGTTGCCATGATAACAATAATTAGTCAGAATCTAGTAGACCAAATAGATGATCATTCTTTTCTCATTAAGGTAAGTTCACCAAAAAACACATTATTTTGTGATCAATAAAGTTAAGAGATCTTTTGTATATGAACATTGTGGTGCTCTGGGAGTTCGCTCTTCCCTTCATTGTATTGACTTGCACTATTCAGTTAAAATATGTAAAGAAAATAGCTGTAATAATAAATGAATAGAAACATTTCTATTTTCTACCCACTTGAAACTGAGAAAAATCATAAAAATTGTCATATTTTGATCAATTTGGGTCAGAATTTAGAAAATGAGAATTTAGCACATCTACTAAAATTTGGGAAGAACACTGCAATCTTTAAAATATTAGGCCCTTAATTATGGGTTATACATGTTTTGCTTTCAGAGTACAATACTAGGTCTGTCCGGATTGTGCTATAGTACAACATTCTACTTAGGTTGGGGCCTGTACCAGTCAGATGTTGCTGGAATTCAATGGTAAGTTCATGAGATTTTCTTTACACGCGGCCAAAATATTTAAATGTGTGATGGGTATCAGGCCTGATGTCGTCAGCTTTTTGGAGTTTATATTGTAAGAGTCTACAACTTTTTTGTAGACAGTGTTTGGCAGTTGATGTTTGGCTCTCAGTGTTTGGCATCTGTAACAAATGGCAAGTGGTGATATTTTGCATGTAAATGACTTGTTACAAAATTCCAAAGGAGTTCAATTTTGACAATTTTTGTCCAAAATAGCTTGAAAGTGCTCAAAATGGTAAAAACTGCTTGATTTTGAATGAATTTATGGCCAGAGGGGGATGCTTGGTTGAACTCTCCAAACCACCCTGTACAGGCCACTTTTCTAGTTCGTTTTTCATTTGAAATTGTGATATTAATGTTGCTACAATTTTGTCAGTTTAGGAACTTAAATAACAACAAGACTTGGTGTATATTCAGGGGCGGATCCAGGAACCAACAAGGGGGGGGGCCCAAATTTCAGGTCAGAGAAAAAACGTCCGCGCTTGCGCGGAAAAAAATTTTGGGCCCCTAAAATCCAAAAGTGGGCCCAAATTTTGAAATTTTGAGGCCCATTTTCTTCAAAATTTGGCCTGAAATTAACAAATAAGGCCTTAAAAGGCCCAGTAATGACCAAAAAGGCCCACTTTTTGGGGCCTGAAGGCCTTGTTTGGCCCAACAATTTTTTTGGGCCCAATTTTTTTTTTCTGGGCCCACCCAAGGGGGGGGGGCCCGGGCCCCTGGGCCCCCCCCCCCTAATCCGCCAGTGATATTAGAACATATTTACAATTTATTATTTACAATTTATACATACATACATATTTTATACATTTTAATACACTTGAGCAAAACACACATTTAGAAATATACAGAGTGAATAATTGACTGTTTAATGACTGTCTCTACTTTCTCTAGCATCAGCCCTTGAAAGCGCTACATATTTCAGCACAGCTCCAGAATTGGTGCAAGGCATATAACTCCACTTGACATTAGCCATCTCATTGTTGATAAGTTAATTGTGTTTAAAATGAAGTAAAACCTGAGTCATCCTTTGTTTTCTGCTGGGAATCTTTGTCTTGGTTGTCCAACTTCTCTGATCTCTTTGTCAATGCAGCAGAAACGGCATACTTGGCCTCTCTTGCCTGGAAACAAAATTCAATGTCATTTTTACATAGCAAAAGTTTTTATATGTATGTCATTTTTTATGTCCTGTTTGCCATTCATTAATAGGTAATTTTTAGGTACATTTTTAATGTAGTTTTAGGAATATTCTAAGATGCAACATACTCATTGAATACTTACTCTCTTTTCAATTCTATGCAGAGCTCTTTGAAGGAGGGAACGCTTGTCTTTTTCTTGTTGAGGTTGGGAAAACTTTGGGTCATAAAGTGGAGACATCCTCAGGATAGTTTCCATTGTGCAGTCAGCCCTTGTATAAAAGCCATTTTTGCCAAATTTTGAATAGTCTATTTCCGGCCATTCATATACAGGGTGTTCAAAAAAAAACGCAACCCAAAGAAATTTCTATATCTTCAAAAATACTGGTTCAATTATGTTCATATTTTCAGGAAATAAAGAAGAGACTGTGTATGTAGAGTTCCTGTCAATGGTTAGTTGTAAAACATGATGCCTTGGACACCTGCTCAAGAGACAGTTGTACTAGCAAAATGCGAAAAACGCAGTCAGGGGTGACTGCAACCGCAAAAAAATTAAATAACTTCCTAACCATAGTGTTTTGGCTCTTCAAATTTGGCACAAACCATCCTCATTCACTGTATGATAAATCTGTAGAGTGAAATCAAAATCACTTCAGGGAATTCACTGTCATGGTTGAAATGCTTTCAAATCGCAGTCAAACACCCTGGTTCAGGGAGACCTAGGAAGGAATTTTGACCATGACTATAAAGTCCCTGGAGTGATTCTGATGAAACTCCACAAGTTCATCACACATTGAATGAGGATAATTTGTGCCAAATCTGAAGTGGCAAAACACCTTGGTTAGAAAGTTATTTGCTTTTATTGCTGTGGCAGTCACCTCTGACTACGTTTTCATATTTTCCTAGTACAACTGTCATTTGAGCAGGTGTCCAAGACATCATGTTTTACAACTAACCATTGACAGGAGCTATACATACACAGTCTCTTCTTTCTTTTCCTGAAAAAATAAACATAATTGAATTAGTATTTTCCAAGATATAGTTATTTTCCATTAACGTTTTTCATATTTTGCTAGTACAACTGTCTTTTGAGCAAGTGTCCAAGACATCATGTTTTACAACTAACTAACCACTTGGGGTATACATACACAGTCTCTTCTTTCTTTCCTGAAAATATGAACATAATTGTATAAGTATTTTCCAAGATATCGCGATTTCTTTGGGTTGCGTTTTTTTTGAACACCCTGTACATGTATCTCATTCAGGTCTATCACCATTGTGACCTCCTCCACTTTCTCTTCATCTTCATCTTCGACATCATTGAATGGAACAACGCGATTTCTTCGCCTCCATAGCTTTCTTGTTTCATTGGATTTCCAAATAGCAATCTTGCTCATGGCACTTCTAATCTTATGGCTTCTCGTTGGTTGTTTTTCCATCTTATTTCTTGTAATTTATGTCTTTGCAGATCAGCTTTCAAGAATTTCTTTCTCAGTTTTGTATTGCAATTACTTTTGTTTGTGTTAACCATAGAAACAATATTTCTGTTACCAGGTAATTCTTATTGTGTTGTATGACATCATATACCTTGTTGCTGTAAAACATAAAGCTTATAGCAACCATTTTGTTATTTGCTATGTGACATCACAATTGAATTTCTTAGAATCCCTAAATTGTAAATTCATTTAATAGATTTATGACATCACAATATAATAAGATTATTCAGTTGTGATGTCATAATTGAGACATTTCATTCTTGGAATTTTTATGTGTCATGGTAACATTAATAGTTTTAGGTTTGTTTTATTCTGTGTGTATCCCTTCTAATTTAGATTCTTCACAATTTGCATTTTTGCAATTTAGAAAACTGGAATCTGTGGTACACCACAAGGGTTGGGGGTTTTAAAGGCTTGTAGCTAGACTAATCAATACTGTCTACCCATGACACTGTAAATTCAATTTTGAGCCATAGTTTTTGCTTGATTTATTATTTTGATTTAATTTATTTGTTTGTTTTGTGACAGGATGTTGCTTGTTACCATAGTGATGATAGTCATGCTCCATGTTGTCATGTACATAGCTGACTATGGTGAGTTGTTGCCTTGTAGATTTTTGCCATAACAGCCATATTTTTAATGTTGTTCATGCATGAATATTTTATTTGTTTTATTCATTTCTGACTAATAAGACTTCATGATTTAAAATCCCATATTGCCAAAATATGTCTCTCACATTTGATTGTGTAATTACATGGAGCAATCAACACCATGCAATAGAAACTCGATCACTCTCAAAACATGAACTTTAACATGCGAAGTCCATAGATATTGTTTCGGAATTTATTTAAAGACTCGGTCACTTTAGAATTTATTTAAAGGTTCAGACACTTCACTAGTAAAGTAACCTGTCACTTGTTTCAGGTATTATACTAGAGGCAGCTGGTATTTCCGTTTTCACAATAGGCGCCCTCTATATCATAAAGTTTGAAGCAGATACAAACATTCAGACTCAATTACTTTAGAATTTATTTAAAGGTTCAGACACTTCACTAGTAAAGTAACCTGTCACTTGTTTCAGGTATTATACTAGAGGCAGCTGGTATTTCCGTTTTCACAATAGGCGCCCTCTATATCATAAAGTTTGAAGCAGATACAGACATTCAGACGATAACTGTTCCAACCTCATGGAAACTGTAAGTTTAGATATAATGTACATCTTTTTAAAGTATATGTACAGTAAAACCTGTGTTAGTGAATACCTTTCTTCAGCGACCACCTCTCTCGGGTAGTGACCATCTCTCAGTAGTTAACTCTTAACTGTCCAGTGACCACCTCCCTGTAGTGAGCAATTCTCTAGTGATAAGCCATACACCCCTGGGGTGTCTTTATCACTATTATGCACGTATGTTTATATGATTTTAATAAATAAATAAAAAAACACCTGCATTCAGTGAACATTTTTATGCTTTTTCCCATTGACTTGCATGTTAATTGTTGTTTGAGTGAACACATACTGCCTGTTGTACTCACACATGTTTTCTTTTCAGTGTACCAGGATGGCAAAGTTTCTCTTACATACAGCTGCTTTTCTCCTTCACTAACACCAGCTTAGGTATGTACTATCATGCATTTGTATTATAATGGGTATGTATTATCATGGATATGTACTATCATGCATTTGTATTATAATGGGTATGTATTATCATGGATATGTACTATCATGCATTTGTATTATAATGGGTATGTATTATCATGGATATGTACTATCATGCATTTGTATTATAATGGGTATGTATTATCATGGATATGTTCTATCATGCATTTGTATTATAATGGGTATGTATTATCATGGATATGTACTATCATGCATTGGTATTATAATGGGTATGTATTATCATGGATATGTACTATCATACATTTGTATTATAATGGGTATGTATTATCATGGATATGTACTATCATACATTTGTATTATAATGGGTATGTATTATCATGGATATGTACTATCATGCATTTGTATTATAATGGGTATGTATTATCATGGATATGTACTATCATGTGTTCATATTATAATGGGTTTTAATAAGGGTATTACTGTAGATATGCATTATAATGGATTAACATGTACTACTAAAGTGTACTGTCATGAGTATGAACTACCATGCTTTAACATGAGTATGCACTACCATGGCCATATACATGTATTATCATGAATATGAACTATAGATGTGCACTATCATGGATGTGCAATATCATGTTTATGTACTATCATGGATATGTAGTATCATGAGTATGTACTATCACATGTTTGCAATAGCATAGGTATATTTACATGAGCATAATGTGACTAAGCATTAGCATGACTGTGTACTATCATGTGTGGGTATTTGCTTTAATGAGTAGTGTATATTATCATATATTTATGTGTATGAACTATCATGAATAGGTGTAATCATGTGTCTTGTGTACTTACTTTCATGAGTATTTACTATCATAAGTACATGCTATCATGAGTTTGTACTACTATACAATGTTATTACATTATTTTCAGAAAGTGCAACGTTAGCAGTTGAGTTCCTCTGGAAGTTATTCCAGCCAATGTTTGCTCTTCTGACTGTTTTACGTCTTTACTGTGTTGTCACCACACTACAAACAGCATTGATCACCATCAGCTCTTCAGAAAAAGAGGTAAGAATTTTTTATCTCTATGGGTGTAGAGTAGTACCTTGTCTCGTTCTAATCAAATCAGTAGTTCTTTCACTTTTTTGTTGTTCTGAGGAGAAGTAGAATAGTGCACTAGTAGGGATAGTCCAAAATTCCAGGTACATGTGATTAAAAACAAGTTTCTGTTTCATAAAGGATAATTATAACTATGTGCATTTGCTCTGTAGGAGAATTGAATCTTTTGTACGTCAAAATAGGATTTGAACATCATTATAAAAGTGCATTATACCTAGTGATGCAGTAAATAGTTGTAGAGTCATGATATTGATGCAATAAAGGCCCTGTAAAATTATGTCAACTGAAGTATCAATAATCACAACCATGGGGTTTTAATTAGATTTGAAAGCCCATGATCACAACTAGTGACAATTGTTACAGCTACCATTTTATTGTGACCAGCATTTAGCATCTGTGACAAATTGTTACATTTAGCAAGGTTTATCATTCTGTTGAATAATATTTTTTATTATAGTTTTTTATTGATATGGACTAACATTATTGTATTGATTTCAAATAGAGTTTTATTACATACAGTTGAAAAAGGATCCAGACAGGATCCAAACGTCCTGTTTAGTAAAATAAAGGTTGTGAAAAGAAGAAAAAAATATTTTTGTGATTTAATAATCCAACCTGAAGAACATGTTTAAGAAGAGTTTTATTACAGTTATTAGTACATAAAAATTTCATCACGAGTTTCGTCATCCATACTTTGAATTTTCATTTACCAAATGTCGCCCACATGTTTGACAGTATACCTTAGGCTTTTTCTCACCACATAAAATCTTTGAGACACATCTAACGAGAGGCCATAGTGAACCAAAGTGACCCTGTGGGCCGATTAAGCTTAACAAAACTGGGAAAAAGCCTAGCGAAAATATCAATGAGAACCCTATCGTGCTGAATATAAATGTCCCGAATTGTAAGAAAAACTGCATCTGTCCAAAACACATAAAGAGGGCAGCACCCATGGTTGTGCATGCCCCGTAAAGTATTGATATTCCCATCGATTCAAGTGCGTCGAAAACGCGTCCCTTCCGGTGTGCTTTAGTGGAGTGATGGTAGGCTGCGGCAAAGTGGACGACATAATCAATTGTAAGGCCCACCAATAGACATAGATTCATGGAGATCAATACCTATAAATAAACAAAACAAAACAAGGGTTGTAATGGATTAGAATTTCTGACATCAGGCAAATAATGAAAACAACAGGCAAATCTATTTGAGAAAAAATCAACATTCTTCACTAATAATGAAATCATCTATTCCTATGATTTGATTTGATTTGATTTGAAAACTATATTTATTCTGGGTAGCTTTAAAAAAGTGAATTCTAATTTCCACAACTGTTGACATTTGGACATCATCATGATGTTTTTTTTTGGTCAAAGTGTCTCCTGGATGGATGGTGGATGTCTTCTTTTTCAATATAAAATGAATTTGGCCAGTTCTTAAAATGCTCATTCCCATTTCATTACAATATCTCAAAATTAGGATTTTAAGGAAACATTGGCATCCATTTCGAAAATATCTCCTCCAACATTTTACACTATTTATTTATTCTTTGCTGTCCCTTTAAGTCAAATCCATCACTTTATTAGTGTTCACTCACCCCAAGTTTCCAACCAGCTAGTGGTATAACTGCCAATGTACATGCCGTGATCATCGCTAGGACCAGAGTGCCCAGTAGTGCTAATATAACATTCATTGTACTATATAGTATTAGTGTTCACTCACCCCAAGTTTCCAACCAGCTAGTGGTATAACTGCCAATGTACATGCCGTGATCATCGCTAGGACCAGAGTGCCCAGTAGTGCTAATATAACATTCATTGTACTATATAGTATTTGTGTTCACTCACCCCAAGTTTCCAACCAGCCAGTGGTATAACTGCCAATGTACACGCTGTGATCATTGCTAGGACCAGAGTGCCCAGTAGTGCTAATATAACATTCATTGTACTATATAGTATTTGTGTTCACTCACCCCAAGTTTCCAACCAGCTAGTGGTATAACTGCCAATGTACATGCCGTGATCATCGCTAGGACCAGAGTGCCCAGTAGTGCTAATATAACATTCATTGTACTATATAGTATTTGTGTTCACTCACCCCAAGTTTCCAACCAGCTAGTGGTATAACTGCCAATGTACACGCTGTGATCATCGCTAGGACCAGAGTGCCCAGTAGTGCTAATATAACATTCATTGTACTATATAGTATTTGTGTTCACTCACCCCAAGTTTCCAACCAGCTAGTGGTATAACTGCCAATGTACATGCCGTGATCATCGCTAGGACCAGAGTGCCCAGTAGTGCTAATATAACATTCATTGTACTATATAGTATTTGTGTTCACTCACCCCAAGTTTCCAACCAGCTAGTGGTATAACTGCCAATGTACACGCCGTGATCATCGCTAGGACCAGAGTGCCAAGTAGTGCTAATATAACATTCATTGTGGCCACGAGGAGTATTGGAAATGACATGGTTATACCCGCAGATATCCCGATCATAGCATCATTGGTCAGCCTCTAGAATTACAAGAAAATGCCATTGAATTTGTATGTTTTACATTAACATTTCTATAAGTGGAATACCTTTCTCAGTCCTGTGAAATGTTGATTTAATATTTATTGAACCTTGATAAGTTGAGCATCCTGTGTAAGGTTGTAATTTCACATGTACATGTAACAGATATTTTACAGTTATGTTACATGTTACAGTTATCAGTTATGTGACATGTTACAGATATGTTACATGTTACAGTAACAGATACGTTAAAAGTTACAGATATGTTACATAATACAGATATGTTACACATTACAGATATGCTACACATTACAGTTATCTGGTTTACCTGTAAGACTTTGATATCTTGCCACCATTCTGATGTATGAAAACCATGTTTCAATTGATTTGGCAGATTCAGGGTCTTTTCTTCCATGTAGTCATCCCAATCTTTCATAATCTTCAAACCTTAAAATACATTTTGGTTCACTCATTAAAATATCATGAATCAGTGTTCTCCCCATTTCACTTTTACCGGGGGGGGGGGGGCTCCCTACTTGAAACCAAGGGCCTCCCAGTTGGCACCCTGCACTTCACCTTTTGATTTGAAAAATAAGTGAAGTAAGCAGCCACCTGGAATATGTTCGCCCCGATTTTTTCAGACTTGAGAAATTGCACCCAGTTGAAAACTTTTTGGGGGAGAACACTGTGAATATTGGGCTTTCAGAACCTAACCATGTTATGTATATGTTTCAAAATCAGTACTGAACTGAGAGGCAAGGAGTGAGAATTGTACTGACTACTGAACTGTGACCAACCATATATTTTCCTACCTTCATTAGGCCCCATATGTCTCCTGTATATATCTGTTTTAATCTTTACTCCAATATACTGCATCCTCGTCCCATAGTAAGGTCCCTTGAAATCTGAAATAAAGATCTCAAATACTAAACAACAAATTAAAAGTTATGTGTTAGGCATCGCACAGATTTAATATGACTTTTTTATCAAGATTATAATAGAAAATAATTCAAACATCCCAACCGAGATTTTCATTAAAGGCCCTGTGTAAATTTTACACCACTATGTCTTATGTGATAGTCTTATGAAATTTCATCAAACTTTGCATTGCGCCTTTAACATAATAGTCCTGTCCCTTCCATTTGATATAATATAAATTCATGAAATTGCATTTGATGCAGTGGGACATCAGGCCCATTTTAGCCAGCTTTCATTTTGGCATGCTTATTTTTATAGGGGACTTCTTATTTTGTAGCTAAGCTCACAATTGTTCAAAATGTTGCCAATAATGCTATTTTTGTCTCAACTCATGCCAAATTTTAAAAACACAATGGCAATTTTGCCAATACAATAACAATTTTACCCAGGTAACACAAGAAAAGGTAGGTTAAAATTTTTAGGTGAAAGGTAACTATCGCCATGGATATAGAAAAACAGGGCCTCTTCTGTAATTTCTCCCTTTGTTTATCCATACCTGTGTTGTTTCCCTGGGGTTTTATTTTGGTCATGGTTGTAAATGGATTATTCCACATCTCTCCTAGCAAGTCATTATAGATGGCGTAGTCTGGTGATGTCATAGAATAACCTCCTGACAACCAGTAGTTAACTCCAATCTACAAAACAATCACAAGTGGCAACATCAGAAAATGCGTTGTAATTTTTTATTCATACATGTAGTTTACTAGTCATATTACTAGATTATACAGTTATTGCAACACTAGGTTGGAAAGTTTAAGAAGGATGTTAAAAGATTGAATACTGCTTTGAACTGTAGTTTAATACTGTCAGTTTCTCTCTATATATATTTAACATAATTATCTGACATAAAGGCACATATGAAAAATAAACTAATGGAATAGAAATAGTTTCATTTAAAAAAAAACTAAACTTTAACAAAAAACTTATGAGATGGCTCTTAATTCTTACCTCAAAATAATTATTGAACAATTTTGATGTATTATTTTTGTAGATATGTGAGTTTCTTGTCATGAAGTTCGCCATATTGTTTTCCTTATATGGTAACTGTAGCTTCTGTGAATCAATCTGCAAATATAAAGTATTATCACATACTATGTAAAATTCCAGTAATCTGATTGGTTGGTTACCATGTGAGTTTTCCCGTCTCACACGGCCGTCTCACACGTTACTAGAGGCAACCAGTGATGACGTTTCATATTTTAAAAGAAAACTGTATGACGTCATATTACTTCACAAGAAAGTATGAATGCAACGGTATGACGTCATATTATTTCAAAGCGAAATTTCAAAACACACAAAAATGGTACACCCCCCTCCATAAGTTTGGCAACCTTTTTTCCCCCATTGAACTACGTGTTAAAGCCTCTTTACCTTTGAATTTTTATTTACTTAACCTGCGATGAAAATACTTATACTATTAGTTTCCATTAATATTATAAGTTATTTCATCGCCGGTTAAGTGAATAAAAATTCAAACGTAAAGGGGCTTTAACACGTAGTTCAATGGGGGGAAAAGGTTGCCAAACTTATGGAGGGGAGTGTAATAGTTACCGTGAGTACAGAGTACTGAACTGAGTCATACTGTCCAAATCAAAATGCTTCATAATTCCTAGACATGTGATAAAATCGTCATCACACGTTTCAGCTTATGTGATACAGGAAATATTCCACTCGGGTAACAATGTATCACCACTCAAGCTTCGCTTTCGTGGATGATACAGTATTACCTTTCGTGGAATATTTCCTGTATCACATGCTGAAACGTGTGATAACTGATAGTTTTACATTAAGTCTTTGGAACACCCCGCCCCCATCTTCTTCTTCACTTGGTGAGCTAGGTGTATATAATAGCGGGTGGGTGAGGGGCACATATAAATTTCCCATGGGCGTCAGAAAGTGAATGTGTAATGTGTAAATGCACCCCCTCTGAAACTGCCCAGAAAATTGTTGGTGAGGTTCCTGTGAAACTTCAAAGAAATGCTGTTTTTATCTGAAAACAACTATTAATAGTCTTTAAAATGCTCAGATTGTACCAAATAATGTCTTAAATGACAAATGCCCCTTTTTCCATGAACTCCTTGTTAAAAAACCTTATGAAGTGAACATCTGCCATTCCAAACACTTTTGGCTGATTCCATTGGCATCCAGACATATTTCCCTGTATGTTTAATCCCATGTGTTCAAAGACTAGTTAGGAGTACAGACCTTTGATTTTTGTTCGTTAAAATAATTCTCCATTGGTGTGATGAAACAGTTTATTTCAGGTCGGCCATCTTTGTCTTTCCTTATATGGAGTTTTGACGTGACATCATCAGTGAGATTATGCAGGTCATCACATAAGACCTGAAATATTAATATTATTAAATTGAATTAGTGTTACTTCCCATCGTCGTATCATTTTTGAAACTAAGACAGTGGGGCATTTTATGACTATATATTTCGAGGATTTATGTCATAACCAAGAATCTTTATAGCCACCATTTTTTGTGAGATGACCAGCATTCAGATTTTATAGTACTGTCCACACAATGGCAACCTATCTAGATCACAGTCTTTCTTATTGTCTGTGTACATGCATGGCCTCAATTTTTTACATTTTTATTAATATGAAAGTATCAGTAGTCCAGTGACATCTTTTAATGATAATAGATAAGAAAAGCAAGTATTATAGTAACCTTGAAAGCTATTTGGTGCCTGGGCTGATTAATATCAAATGACTGATCCCATCTCTGTTCTCCAATACAGTGGAAGTCGGAATGATGGCAAGATGACAGGTCCCTCTCTTTCATTCCCCATATAAGGTAAATGTCAACATATTCTACGCTATTTCTGTCCATTTTGAAGACGTTATAGTGGAGGTGGTCTACTTGACCATAATTTGTGGTGTCCTTGTAGATTTTAAACTGAAAAATAAAAAACAATTTTTGGCTACATGCATAACAATTGTTGTACCATAATTTTAAGACCTGAAGATTGACTCCATCGGCAAAACAGAATTTCAATTTATGATGAAATAAGCATAAATATGAAATCTGATTCTCAACCCTTTTTATAAAGCCTAGTGTTCATGAGGTCTTATACGACCTAATATAAAATAATTTTCAGCACCGCGTATCATCTGCATTTTTATCTTAACACGGTGTTTTTCAATTAATAAATACAACATAGAGTTTGATCTAAATGTAAAAATTTGTAATATTTTATAATTCAGGGTGTGCGTCTTTATATTTTGTAATGTATTTAAAAAAAATAAGATAGATTTAAATAAAAAATAACCTGTTTGGAGTCGATTTGGATGGTTGTGGCAAAGTACAGCAGCACTCCAAACACTACAACGAAGCAGGCTAGGATAACCCAGCGCCAAATTCTATGTGTGACAACTCGAAAATATGGTCCAGAGAAGAACTTTGTGATGCGATGTGTCTGAGTCTTCTTAGATGTTTCTATGGTATCCGCATTGTGGAGGATATCAGTTTCTTTGTATTCTTTAGGACTGCTGGGCTCGTCTAGGTGTATTCTATGTGTATTTGCCGCATCAGTAGTACCTTTAGGGTCATCCTCTGCAATGGTGGTTTGGTGGTTTCCTGCGTTGGATTGGTTGTTTGAGGGGGTATTACTATGGTTGTTTGTTGGGGTACTTCTGTCCATAGTAGCCGTAGTGTGTTTGTCAGCTGGGGTAGATTTCTTTCTCCAAGAACAACATATATGTTTCCATGTGATGTCTTTGAAGTACATATCATGTATGATGACCACTGTTGGAAAGAACACAATGACAGATATATAATTCACAAGTATAAGGATTCCAGAGAAGATTCCAAATGAGTTGATACATAATAGTGGTGATAATCCATTTGCCAAAAATGCAACCGATGTTGTAATTGACGTGAAGAACATTGCTTTGGCAGCTCGTCTGTATGTATAGCTTAATCTGTGGGCGATACTTTTATATGTATGTGCTCCTGATGCGATCCATGTGTTGTAGAACACAAAGAAATCATCGGCACCTATGCCTAGGATGATGTAGATTGAGAAAATGTGGAAATATCCAAAATATCTGAAATCGAGGATGAGTGTATAGATGAGAATTGTTCCAACAAAGCTCGAGATTACACTGAAAACGGCTAGTGAAGTAATCCATAAAGATCTTGTCATGATCCAGATGAATGCGAATATGAAGACAAAACTTCCAACTGCCAAGCCCATGTCTTTGAAGGCTTGAGGAATTAGATCATACATGAATATCCTTTGACTTGCATATAGCACTTTAATAGGTTTAAGGTCAGCGGAAAGTTCCATGAGTTTTGGACGGAAATTTCCATTGAGAAATACATCTATTTCATCAAGCATATCAAGTTCTGATTGGTCAGAGGCATTGACCAATGGGAACCCAAGTAAGAAACCCGACCTAGTGACATCTGAGTATACTGTTTGATTGGTCAATATGACATCCTTCGTGAGATGATAATCCACCATGTCTGCTAGCATTGGATTTCCACTAGCTGCAAATATCACTTGGGGGATATTATTATACCCTGTATCATTATAAATATCATCCAATCTGGCATATGTTCCATCAAAATACTGAATAACTGATACTGGTTTTGTGCAATCATCTGAATTCCTATTGCGGAGATGGCAATATCGGTGATAATTGCTCTGAGATTCTAATTTTTTCTCAAAATTTGCAATTTTTTCCAGGTTTTCCTTTGTGAATATATTTCCTGAGTCTAGTTGGTAGTAAATATCGAATCGGTCAAATGGTGTCATCCTCGGCCATTTGGACTGGAGATCTACCGAATTCCATCTTTTGATAATATCTGGGTCGTCATTTCTGTTTTTCCAAGCTTCCCAACGGAGTCTCTCAGATGTGGTCATATTCATGGGGAGGTGGTTGAAGTCGTAGGGCATGACATTGACCCCTGTCATATATAACACTCCAAAGATGACCATCATAAGAATATGTCCTCCCAATGTAAGACCTGAAATGAAAAGTAAATGCATGGATTAACAGTGGTCATATTCATGGGGAGGTGGTTGAAGTCGTAGGGCATGACATTGACCCCTGTCATATATAACACTCCAAAGATGACCATCATATTAATGGTCACAGAAATGGAAGCTTAAATTTAAACCTTCTAAAAGTCAAGATATGATTTTTAAAGGCTCAAGGAGGTGCAATCTCTTATACCCTCCCCTCTACCTAGGAAATGAGGTCATTAATAGAACCAGAACTCATAAACACTTAGGAGTCATTCTAGATGAGCATTTGAATTTTGAAGCCCATTTACAGGATATCATAAAAGCATGTAATATAATGTTAAATCCATTGAAAGTTCTTAAGACCAAGATTCGAGCTAAACACCTAGAGAAGATGTATCTATCATTTATTCTCCCAAACTTAGAGTATGGAAGTATATTATTTGAAAAATCTACCAAGTATAATATTATGAAACTAGACCAAGTTCATTATAGGGCAGCATTATTAGTAAGTGGCTGCATTCATGGAACATCTACTGTAAAGGTTTTGAAATGTCTAAATTGGAATACCCTGTCTGAGCGGAGAAAGGAGAAACGTTTACGTTTAATGTATGATGTTAGACAGAAATTGGTCCCAACTTATGTTCAAAAAATTTTTGATAGTTATCAAAATAAGCAACATAATATTAACTTAAGAAAATCAAGAGAATACACTATTCCAAAGTTAACTGCACGTTCACAAAAGTCACCAATAATAAATGCCATAAGAGAATGGGAAGCCATTCCAAATTATCTAAAAAGTGCACCATCAAGAGTCACTTTCAAAACCAATTTACGTAAATATTCAGGAACAATGAAGCATTTAACAACCACAAACCTGGATCTTACAAGAAAAGAAGAAATTTTACTGAATAGAACAAGATGTGATTTCATTTTTACTGGTCATCTTTTTCAACATAATTTTCAAGGTATTGACAGTCCCAAATGCATCTGTGGTTTTAAACAACAAACTACAAAGCATCTAATCTTCAAATGCCCTCTGTTGAATGTTATAAGAGAGAAACTTTGGGGGGAACTGAGGAACATGCCAGAAATGAACATTTTCTTTACAGGATGCTCTATAGAGCAAAAACTGAATATCTTAATGTATGGCAGAGATGGAGTTAGCATAACATGCAATTCTTCAATATTGAAGCATTTTACATCCTTTTTGTGTGAATGCATTGATATAATTATATAGTTTTAACACATTCCTGCCATGCATACATATATGTTGGTAGTCATTTTGTTGCTATTTTGTAAATTTGAATAAACTTTGTATTAACAGGGCCAATAATGCTGATTTCAGCCTCGGCCCTGTCATTTGTAGATAATTTTGTAAAGTAAAATAAAGAAACCATAAAAACTAAACCATCATAAGAATATGCCCTCCCAATGTAAGACCTGAAATGCCAAGTAAATGCATGGATTAACAGTGGTCATATTCATGGGGAGGTGGTTGAAGTCGTAGGGCATGACATTGACCCCTGTCATATATAACACTCCAAAGATGACCATCATAAGAATATGCCCTCCCAATGTAAGACCTGAAATGCCAAGTAAATGCATGGATTAACAGTGGTCATATTCATGGGGAGGTGGTTGAAGTCGTAGGGCATGACATTGACCCCTGTCATATATAACACTCCAAAGATGACCATCATAAGAATATGCCCTCCCAATGTAAGACCTGAAATGACAAGTAAATGCATGGATTAGCAGTGGTCATGGGGAGGTGGTTGAAGTCGTAGGGCATGACATTGACCCCTGTCATATATAACACTCGAAAGATGACCATCATAAGCATATGTCCTCCCAATGTAAGACCTGAAATGAGAATTAAGGAAATTAATGTGAATGATTTAAGAAATGCAGAAAAAGTGATCATTGTGTTTTGTAATATGACATAGAAGTGTAAAATGCTTGCGCGAGTGTATTACTATACTCAACTTCATAGATATACTCCCAAAGTGCGGTTTTAGGCACTTAGGTCGGGACAAAGCCAGGACTATGATATTTGTTAGTGAATGGGTTAAAGTGCTTCAGGAATTCACAGTTTACACTGGCGGATCTGGGAGAGGGGGGCCCAGTGGCCCAGAAAAAAAAATATGGCTCAGAAATATTTGAACCAAAAAAGGCTTTAAGGCTCCAAAAAGTGGGCCTTTGTGGTCATAAATGGGCCTTCTAAGGCCAAATTTTGAGGAGAATGGGCCTCAAAATTTGGGCCCACTTTTTTTGGTTTTAGGGGCCCAAAATTTTTTTCTTGGGCAGAAGTGTTTTTCTCAGCCCAGAAGTTTGGCCCCCCCCCTTGTTGGTTCCCAGATCCGCCCCTGGGTTGAGTGTGGAAGTTCAAGATACACAAAGGTTGGTATCATAATTACATTGATAGTTTGCCAGTGCAGTACACACCCGCAGGGAACGTCCTAGGACAGTATGCTGACCAAGTAAAACCTCCGGCGTAAACTATGGACCAAATACTTGGAAGAACATGGATGAAGTGGAAGACAAGTACAGGGTGACCATAAAACAGTCCCTCCAAAAAGGAAATAATTTCTTTAATATGTAATCAGCTTCATTTTTATGTATTATAAGAAACTACAATCTCTGGATCACCATATGAGACCAAATTTGTTATATAACATTTAATATTTTCTTGTCATGGTCAATTAAAAATGTGCCCGCTTTTGAAAGAAAAGAAAATGAAAGGCTATTGTGTCAACCAAAAGGTTAAACATTGTTTGTTCAACCCATCGCATTTTTTGGGTTGATAGGACAAGTATTTGAGAAATCATCTTTTAGAGGGTTCTGTATTTTGGGTCACCCTGTACAATGAAAGAAGGACTATTGAAGTATACATGTACGATTATTATAACATCAATATAGTATTTTAGATCGATAAGAAACTTTGAACAATAATTAAAATATCTCCAAAGATCATTCCCTGAAAAATTAATAAAAAAATATCAAATATTGATAAAGTAAGAGCCAATAGTGCGTTACTTCTGGGACAACCCTCGTATTTCACACGTAAGGCAAATGAAACAATGTTTGCAGACCAATTCTTTCTGAAAGGAATATTCTAGCCCGCCATTTTTGTCTAGATATTATCAATAGGATGCTATATATCTAGTTGCTCAATCCTCTGAGATAATAACTGGTAGAGATGTAAAAATATCAAGGTTAGAAATCAATGTTCACTGCTAATTTTTTATACTTATAATGGCCACTGGAAACATTTAATTGTTCTAGTGTTTCATTATTTATACCTCCCATTTAAAGTAAAGTATTCGAGATCAATGTTAAAAGGGAACTGACAATATAATACTCTTGTTTCTTATATATAATTGAATATATTAACTTCTTAAGGCTTAAAGTGACTTTCACAGACTTCAGAGGCTGAAATTTGGGATTTCAAGAAATACTTTTCAAGAAAATAGTCTTACCTTTCTATTAGGATGGGTTCAGGTGCCAAAAATAGCTGATATGATCCTTGAATATATATGATTTTGAAAATTGGAAGCAAGAATTCTGTTTTGAAGGCCATGTTTTTTTGACAGTCATGACAGGAAATAGATTCTCAAAATGAAAACTGCATGCATTAACAGCATTAATTCTGAATTTGGCTTAGAATATTTACTCAGATATGTATTCTAATATTATTAAACATCATTTATTACGTAGCTCTATATGTTCATAAATGTGATATTCTTATAAATCGTTGTCTATATGTAAGGAAGGTACATTGAACAAGGTTTAATTGTGCCAAATACATGTATGATTTTAAACCCATGCTTGGTGACTGAGTTAACACCATTTGTTAGGTTACATTTTTACAGTAGTAGCTGGATTAATCATGTCATAGGTTGTAGGTGGCAATCCATCCAAGTAAAAAAAGTTTTATTAGTTTAATTTTGAAAACAACATAACAAATCTAATCATGGGTACTGTCTTACATTAGTGTATAAAAGTAAAAAGACAGTTCGGGTCATTTTAGTGTATAACTTCCAAAAGTAAACTCAATGCTTGTCCGACATTAATTTATCTCCGTTTCTTGTCCATTACCGTATCTCTTGGAGATTGTCCTTTCTTTTCGTATAGGATGCTAGCTCTTAAAGTATTGTATTGAATATGTTAATACATGCATTATCTTGATTCATATTGTTGAACATATTGGCAGAAACACATTTGTTCATAAACAACAACATGACGTACAACAGTTGCTTTTTGTGTTCCACTCTGTATAGATAGAGCATAGTTACAGAGGTGTTTTTTCATAACTTGTAGTTTGTATGTCTCCGTATCTAATTCTGGGTCGTGCACAAGTTTTTCATTTACAATGTGCTCTAAACACAGTGTATTATCATACTTCATAACTGCCAGGATAGGAATTTTGTCCTTATATGTCACCGTGAATATGACATTTCTGTTGACACATTTGACTGAAAGATTTGTTAGTTTGTTTCTAAAATGGATTTTCAGTAAGGTGTTGCCAAGTGGTAATCCTATTGTAAGAATGATTAGCATAAGAACAATCAAATCCGACAACAGGACAGAGATACAGCGCCCAAGTTCATCAGCAAACTGATCGATTTGTTGATAAGTAACAGCGAGAAGTAGAAATAAGCCGCCGCAAAAAAAAATCACCAAACTTGTGAAAATAGCTACACAGGGTGATGTGAATTTATCAGGTAAACAACTTGAGTTACAATGTAAAACACAGTTGTATCTCATCAATAATGAATTATTGATCTTATCAATGGTGTCAGCTATCTCATCATCATTAAAAGGAATAGCTCTTACATCCGAACCTATTTTCATGTCCTCAACAGTAGTATCCAAGAAACTGGAACAACCAGGTATCGATCGTTTGCTTTTGATGTTGAAGTATGACCCATTAGTGACCATATTGCGTTGAACCTGAGGTGGTAGCACGGGTTCATCACGGGTATCCTTAGTTACTGCTTGAAGAATACGTTCTGTAGCCTGATTCTTATCCAAGTGTGAGACATCTAAATAACTGATGTGTTTCAGTGTGTCAGGTAAAGCACATGGTCTCAGTTTGATTGGGATGATATCAATGAGGTTATCATACGCGGCGGTGATAGCGGTTGTTTAGATGTTGATCTGTATTATCTGAAAGTTTCATGCATTTATATTAGAAAATAGCAAAGTTAGAGCGGGGCGTCCAAGACTTTTGGATCACCCCTCGTATATCTAGTTGCTCAATCCTCTGAGCTAGATAATAACTGCATGTAGAAATGGAAAAATATCAAGGTTAGAAATCAATGTTCATTGCTAATTTTTTTATATTTATAATGGCCACTGGAAACATTTAATTGTTTTAGTGTTTCATTATTTATACCTCCCATTTAAAGTAAAGTATTCGAGATCAATTTTAAAAGGGAACTGACAATATAATACTTTTGTTTCTTATATATAATTGAATATATTAACTTCTTTAGGCAGTGATTTTCACAGACTTCAGAGGCTGAAATTTCAGATTTCAAGAAATACTTTTCAAGAAAATAGTCTTACCTTTCTATTAGGATGGGTTCGGGTGCCAAAAATAGCTGATCCTTGAATATATATGATTTTGAAAATTGGAAGCAAGAATCTTGTTTTGGAGGCCATGGTTTTTTGACAGTCATGACAGGAAATAGATTCTCAAATAATGAAAACTGCATGCATTAACAGCATTAATTCTAAATTTGGCTTAGAATATTCACTCAGATATGTATTCTAATATTATTAGCATGATTATTGACTACTTTTTAATAATTGTGGTGTAGTGGAAAAACGTTTTTCTAAAGTTAAGAATGAATATTAAAAAATACTTCTTGAAAGTCAAGCTGAGGCTATGGCAGAATTGTTAGAGCATCAGAGATTTTGCAGGTTCAATTCTCAGCCACGGCAAATCATGTTTTCTTTTTTCTTTATTTCTGAGCCACAATATTTTCTCTATCTCATTTTTTTATAGCACAGTGTCATATTTATTACTTCTTAGGGTTTTAAAATACAGGTAAAATGTCTGTGTGTGGCTTTTACTAAACTGAATCTTTGACATGATTGTGAATCATATCAAAACAGATAATGTATTTGTTAAATATTATGATTTCATCTATTTGTGACATATTCCGTAAAACAATCTGCACCAATTGTGTCCAAAATTTAAAAGTATGTACTTAAGTAGTGCTACTAAAACTTTCTTATGAGTTAATTTCTTATAACTTATCAGCGAACACAAATGTAATTATCGAGAGATTTTGCAACTCACTTTTAATTACAACATCATTTATTGAGCAGCTCTATACGTTCATAAATGTGATATTCTTATAAATCGTCGTCTATATGTAAGGAAGGAACATTGAACAAGGTTTAATTGTGCCAAATATGATTTTAAACCCATGCTTGGTGACTGAGTTAATACCATTTGTTTGGTTACATTTTTTGGCTCACCCTGTACATCAAATAAGCTTTTATTTACAGTATGATGTCATAGGTTGTAGTTGGCATTATAATCCATCCAAGTAAAAAAAAACTTTCAACTTAGTTTAATTTTGAAAACAACATAACGTATAACAAATCTAATCATGGGTACTGTCTTACATTAGTGTATAAAAGTAAAAAGACAGTTCGGGTCATTTTAGTGTATAACTTCCAATTAACTCAATGCTTGTCCGACATTAATTTATCTCAGTTTCTTGTCCATTACCGTATCTACGTGGAGATTGTCCTTTCTTTTCGCATAGGGTGCTAGCTCTTTAAAGTATTGTATTGAATATGTTAATACATGTACATGCATTATCTTGATTCATATTGCTGAACATATTGGCAGAAACACATTTGTTCATAAACAACAACATGACGTACAACAGTTGCTTTTTGTGTTCCACTCTGTATAGATAGAGCATAGTTACAGAGGTGTTTTTTCATAACTTGTAGTTTGTATGTCTCCGTATCTAATTCTGGGTCGTGCACAAGTTTTTCATTTACAATGTGCTCTAAACACAGTGTATTATCATACTTCATAACTGCCAGGATAGGAATTTTGTCCTTATATGTCACCGTGAATATGACATTTCTGTTGACACATTTAACTGAAAGATTTGTTAGTTTGTTTCTAAAATGGATTTTCAGTAAGGTGTTGCCAAGTGGTAATCCTATTGTAAGAATGATTAGCATAAGAACAATCAAATCCGACAACAGGACAGAGATACAGCGCCCAAGTTCATCAGCAAACTGATCGATTTGTTGATAAGTAACAGCGAGAAGTAGAAATAAGCTGCCGCAAAAAAAAATCACCAAACTTGTGAAAATAGCTACACAGGGTGATGTGAATTTATCAGGTAAACAACTTGAGTTAAAATGTAAAACACAGTTGTATCTCATCAATAATGAATTATTGATCTTATCAATGGTGTCAGCTATCTCATCATCATTAAAAGGAATAGCTCTTACATCCGAACCTATTTTCATGTCCTCAACAGTAGTATCCAAGAAACTGGAACAACCAGGTATCGATCGTTTGCTTTTGATGTTGAAGTATGACCCATTAGTGACCATATTACGTTGAACCTGAGGCGGTAGCACGGGTTCATCACGGGTATCCTTAGTTACTGCTTGAAGAATACGTTCGGTAGCCTGATTCTTATCCAAGTGTGAGACATCTAAATAACTGATGTGTTTCAGTGTGTCAGGTAAAGCACATGGTCTAAGTTTAACGGGGATGATATCGATAAGTTTATCATATGCTGCGGTGATAGCGGTATCAACCTCTGTCTGGCACCAACGGCTTTCTACAGCTTCGGGGGTGAATACTAGCACTGTTTTCATGCTGGTAGTTATAGCCCTGTTGATTTCATATATACTTGTACGCCCTGGTAAAAAATCACGTTCATCATAACAGCATATTAGATTGTATGGTGGAGCTTCTAGGATGCGTACCATTTGAAGGACCCATTTCTTGTCTACAGAAGAATGTGAAAAGAAGATATGGTATTCTTTTCCATTTGGTAATTGCCTATCCTCTAGATTATTGAAAAGTCCCTCTATATGTTCAAGTTGATCTCCATCCTCTATATTTACTATTATTTCATCTGTATCTTGATATCCAGTAGCCATTATAATCATTCGTTCACTCCTTAACATACTATTCTACTTAAAATTCACGATACACAATTGATTCATTGGTGTATGGACTTTGAGCCTGTAGACACAGCAAATAATGAGAACTATATTGTTTTTTCCACTTTTCTTTAAATCATTATTATTAGTTACTGGAGAGGTTAAGCAAATACGGTTTTTCAAAACGTATACGTAAACGCAAAGTACATTGAATCAACATAGGATTGTATCGCTTTAGTCTACTTCAGATACCCGTTCAACTTCAAAGTTGCGTGTTTAGAACGGGAGTTTTTAATTTTTCACGATGCTATCAACGGGAATCATTATACTCATGTCTGTTGAATACTATCCTTGCAATTTTGATTTCGATGCAGAGTATAATTCTTTCTGAAGAAGATGATGTATGTTACGCATGATTTAACTCCAATAATCTTACGAAACGAGCTCGTTTAAAATATGTATTAGAAAACCAGCTATTGAACTTCATCAATGGGATACTATGTAATCATTACAAGCTATGGTGTAGTCTAAACAAACACTAGAGCTGAACGGCTATTTATGTGTGAACTCTACATGTATTTGTATAGGGCTGATTGATACGTTTAAGTTGCGTTTTGGATTTTATACGGTAGCTTAACCTCTCCACTGATTAATAGTCTAAACACATACTTAACATGTGAAATGTTAGAACAGGTAATTAATGTCTGTGGTAAACAACTATCAAATGAAAAGTTATTTTATATAAATTAAATTGTTTACATTTCTGAAGTATTTTTATTATATTTATGAATAACAATACGTCTCAAAAACAATTAATTGAAATTGACCAAAACTGGCTTTATCAATATGAACCAGATCTGACGAAATGTATTCCAGTTACTGAAGAATGGTGTCTACTACTAATTTCTTCAGTTGAATAGTATACAATATATATTAAACAGTGGCGGATCCAGGGGGGGGGGGGCATGGCCGAAAATTGGGCCCTTGGTTTGCATTCTGGGCTGTAAACGAATGAAACTAGGCCCCTATAATTTTCATTCCAAGCCCTAAATGAATATTTGGTTGTTAATAAGATTATTCAATGCCCAAAATTCATTTATGGCGCCCCGACTTTAATGATAATTAAATAGAATAACAATGTCACTGAATCATCAACAGGCCTGGGAACAGAGAGGTAGTTAGTTGCACTAGACGAACTACGTACCATAAACTCGGGCTTATCATTGGTTCTTTCAACTTCCGGTGAGATAGATTTTTAAAAAGGGTGTCGACTTTTGGCTTGCAACCGAAGATACCTCAAGAAAAGCCGGATACTGCCGAAGATTTTCTTTGCAAACGAAGTTGGCCGAGGGTACAATGAATGTGAAGAGGACGTCTTTAATTGGTCAAAAAGAGAGGCTTGGCATTCTCCATCAGATTGAATCGGCAAAATTCGGTTGTATGGCTTACCTTTGGCTGCATGGCCCAACCTTGATTGAATGACCCAACCTCGATTGAATGGAAAAGATGCTGTCCCTTTTTAAAAATGCAGTCCAGAAGAAGCAGTCGGTAAGATTAATTTGCTTTGCAAATAGTATTATATTTCAAAATAAAGATAAGCTTCGGAGACATTCTAGATGATGTTGTCATCCATTTGTTTTGGTATATAGTGCGGTCCCCAACGTTCTAGAGGACGATGCTACATGTAATGTTAAAAGGTGGGCCTTCAATCTTGTGATTTAGGCCCAAATTAAGAAAATAAGGGCTCAAAAATGTTTGGCTCACAATTTTTGGGCCCAAATTTTTAAATAAAGGACCCAAAAGAAATTTCTGAGCATGCGCGGAGGTTTTTATTTTGCCCCTCCCCCTGTTGATTCCTGGATCGGCCACTGGTTAAGACTTAAGTGATTTTTAAATACAATAATAATATCAATCTTTGTATATGGAACACCTTTGGTTCCCTCAAATGATGTCACATTTTAAAGGTCCCCCAGAGGTTCCTTTCATATTAATTTCATGGGTAATGGTTTTAGAAATGTTCCACTTAACTACACATTTTACTGCAGTTGTTTTTGAAGCATTTACATGTAGGTAGGATAGATAGATGCGTGTTTTATAAAAAAATCTTCAAACTGAAAACTTTTTGTTGTATAAAACCAAATAAATTTTTCCGCTTGACACATTTTAGAAATTACACCGAATATCACCTTTGAGGTTGAATAGAATTAGTCTACCAGTTCTTTTTAGAATAAGTGAAGGTGTCTGTTGGCACGTTATTGTATGTCACCTGATTCAGGCACGTAGCCAGCTTTTGCAAGGTAGATGGTATAGTCAAATAATTCCAAGGGTGGATCATGTTTGTTAACTTTGGCCCAAAAATGGCCAAAACCACTTGAAAAGTACTCAGAATAGAGAAAAACTGCATGATTTTGAAATTTTTGGTCAGGGGGGACTGGCTACAAACCTGTGACTAAACTATCTACTGGTTAATTTCATAACTACTGTAAGGATATGAAAAGGCTGTTATGCACTCAGTAGAGCACAACTCAAGAATATTTAGAACAATTGAAACATATTCCTGAGTATTGGCCTAATGATTTAATAGGAGAAATTGATATACAGTTTTGAAGCTATTTAGATCTAAATGACCCCAAATGTAGCTGTTTTAGCCTTTAACAGAGTTTCATTATGAAATGAATGCCAGGTGGTACTTATGAAACCATGAAATTGGGTAGCTGGATTAAGATCGATCATATTCTGATTGGCTAATGGTAGATTAAAGGATTATCCCAAGCTCAAAGTATAGCATAGCCGAAGGTGATTACAGCACATGTACTTTGCTATTTCTCCTATATGCATTAAATATTGCCCTTTGTTGCGTCTTATTTTGTACTCCATCACTTTTTATGCACTAGCTACATAATTAATCAAACTCTGAGAAGATAAGAAATATGAGAAATCTTGTTGACTAATTATTACCTACATATAAAATTATGTATACAAAGCTTTGTGATTTCAGTGTAGATTGCAAAGGGATATTATAGAGACCAGATATCCTACAAGCATTCTCTGATAAATAAGGGTTATGTACTGGGAGGTTTTGAATATGGGGTTTATCCAGAGGGAGATATGCATATCTACCTGAGGGACCGTAGGGACCGAAGGTAGATGTGCATATCTCACGAGGGATGAACCCAATATCCAAACCAACCGTATATAACTGCTTTATCCTATACCAAGTAGAGTTTTCAGGGGCATATGGCCATTTCAATAGTACAAGGTGTTAAAATAAACAAATCATTCATATGCAAAGTCATTTTATTGCATTTCCGCTACTTACCGGAAGCCGGAAGATATGCACCGAAGCGGGAAGATATGCACCGAAGCGGGAGATATGGCGGGAGATATTGAGGTTCTGGATATGGAAACCTCAAAATCAGGATACGGGATATATCTTACCAACTTATCTCCCTAAAACTCTACTTGGCATAGGATAAATCCTAATATCATTCAGTTATAACATCATTTTCCTAACAACACTGCTAAACATAGAATTAAATTGCTTTACCCTTAGACTAAGTGGATTGCATGATTAGAGAGTCCATTATATGTAGCTATTATACATTGAACTAATGGCAAATCTGTATAACTTGATAGATGAGCTGATTCTATACAACAATTGTAGATGTCTGTGTTCATGTTAAAATTAATTATTAATGTCTACTACATTAAGCTGATGATAGGTATAATATACAGTTAAACCTGTCTTAGTGAACACCTCTCTCTAGTGAACACATGTCTTTAGTGAACACCTATCTCTAGTGAACACCTGTCTCTCATGAATACCTGTCTCTAGACACATTTCCTTTGTACATACTCTAGTAACTTCAGTATAAAGTGCCCTCTTTGTAATAAACACCTACTTACAGTGAACACATTCATGTGGCTCCATAGGTGTTCACTGTATACAGGTTTTACTGTATATGATGTAGAGTTGAAGCTCTAGTAATATACCTTTATCTTTTAATCATGTTAGTCTCTCAGACATATGTGTCAATATACAGGTTTTTACAATTGCCTTACACGATATATAAACATACATAATCAGTTACATGTAAAAGTATAAAAATTATTATATAAAGGCATTATTTACATAGAAAAATAGAAATGTACAGTGTTTATATACAAGGCTGTGACATACTTAGGATATAGCTTATGTATGTACTTAGGATATAGCTTATGTATGAATAAAACCAAGGAGCTCACATGTCTCGAACTCATGACCTCATGGTTACAGCAACACATGTCAAGTCAATTAAACCGATTAAACCAACATATGAACTATATTAATATAGGTATTAATGTCAATCAGTGTATTTAATATAGAACCTATTGTCTGTATCTATATTTTGATATTAAAGGGTGAAAGGTACAATGTCTAATTAAACAAATTCAGTTTAATTATATTTCCATGTAACTCTCATACTATGATTCAATAAGAAATTATATAAGAAATAAACGAAATATATCAAATTGTTTAATAAAAAGTTTCATCGTTCTACTGGCCAAGGAAAATTAATCAGATACAATCTATATACACTGTCTCAGTACAATTCTGCCATCTCCCCCCCCCCTCCTTTTTTGTAGAGACTGTAATATTAGATTCTCTTGGGAGATTTATGGTTAGAAACAAGATGTTTAGGTATAAATAGCTAAAAAAAGTCAACAATTTTAACAACCCATAGGTACATTATGTTGAGATGTCAGGTGTTTATGTTGAGATGTCAGATGTTTAGGTATAAATAGCTAAAAAAAAGTCACCTATTTTACCAACCCAGAGGTACATTTTATGTTGAGATGTCATTCTATTTCAACTGTTTCAATGAGAACATTTTTAAATGTTTACTTACCGAATGCAGTTTTAGGATAGCGGGTGACATAAACACAATATGGGAATGGTTCAGCATGTCTGCGTCTTTTCTCTAAGTTCTCTGGCGTCTGTTCCTGACAATCGTCACATTCCCTTTCGAATTCTGCACACACCTTAACATCCATGCTTGCTTTGGGTGTGTCAGTTACCAAGGGTATAGTTCCATTTAGGCCTTTATGCTTTCGTTCGTTTTCGTTCTGTTTAGTCCATATTACTTCTAATTCTGGTTCATTTCCTGCATACGGAGATCGTGATGAATCTCTGTATAACCTTAATGGGATATCCAATGATTTCCTGGTTTGTGCTAACGATTTCCCATTCTGTGTATGCCGTTGAGGAGTCTCCTGATTCGTTAATGGTAAAGAATCTAAAAGGTTCTGTGCAGAATGTTCAGTATATTGTGAAATGTTCGCCACTTGAAGTGCTCTCTTTTGTCGTGAGGTCACTGGGTCAGTGAATGAATTGAGCTGAAATGAAAATAGAAAAATAGAAAAACTCAATAGAATGTTTAGAGACCTTAGAGGCCTTGCTATAACTATAGGCTATCATTTTATGAATGGCCTTATCCTTCTACTTGATTGGTTTAATTTAAATGTATATTTATATAGTTTAGACATTCTAGCTCATGTATGACTTTGAGTCACAAATGCGTTACAATTATAGACCATTCAGATCTTTTAAGAAAATAAGATTTTTGAAAATTGTAATATTGAATGGCAGTTTGATAATTTGTTTTTTTATTCATTTTGTATTGAATGACACTCTATTAAGTTTATGTTAGATATTAGGCCATTCAATGTAGAAATGACTAGGTGAATAATGTTTTTAAGTTCATGATTTAACAAGAAATGATGTAAAATCTATAAAATTCATTTGCCTTAGGGGTTCTAATAATTTACATCTACCAATTTGAGACAGCACTGTTGAACAAATAACAGTGCTGTGATGTGAAACAGCTATGAACAGCACTGTTTGATAATGCTGTAAAATGGGGATGAACAAATCAGAGGCCCAGGGATATGCTATAAAATATTTAAAAAGTGTCATATTTCTATTGTACTGAAATAATTTGAAGTATATGTAAGCATTTAACTACAGTAAAACCTCTATAGTAAACACCTCTCTCTAGTGAGCACATGTCCCTAGTGGACACCCTTCCCCACATACTCTACTGACTTCTGTATAAATTACCCCCTTTGTAGTGAACACCTACCAACAGTGAACATTTTTTTCTTGGCAAGTTTGATATAACATAATAAGAAACACTATTTTTGATTATAACTCTGTAATTCTGGGACTCACTATAAAACTGTTTACTTTAAACCGGGACTTGAAATAAAAAAATATAAACATACATACCTTTCCGGTTTCATGATACTCCACAGGTTTGCAATTGAACATGTAAGAGATACTATCTATTCGATCCTGTTCCTTTTCACTTGGCACAGCGTCTGTAATATATTTATCCATATCAATGGTCAGGTTTATGTAAATACACTATTACTACATGTTATAGTGTACACCGGCTGGTATGCTATTTGGCCTAAAATATTATACTTGACTTTTGATGGTATAAGTCAATAAAGTGCTTTTGTATATTACAGTGAAGTATTTGCATAAGGCCAAAGTGAGCTAAATCATTGTTTAGATAATTTTATTCTTATTTTCCATTGATTTCCATTTTCAGAAATATTCCCTTTTTACATTTTTATTGATATTCATCTTCTCTCATACTAAGCATGGTTTAGACTTAAAAATCTCCCATAGACATTAAATTAATCAGGTGTACTGCACGTTTATAGTTAATTTTATTACAATTTCATCTAAAGACCAGGAAGTTACATCACATTTAATGTTAGTGAAATATCGAAACCATATAAGCAGATTATGCTTCGTGGTATTAATATACATTTGATAAAATTCTACGATAAGAGGATTTGTAATGTTGTACTTTAGTTTGTATATTAGTTGAACTAGTGCATACGTTTCACAATCAAGCCAAAAAGCGGGTATCACCAACTTCATCCTTTACTTACAGCTAGAAAACATCTTGATAACCTCTTTAGAGGTGATACAAGAGAGTTGGAGAAAATGTTTTGAAAACTGAGTGACAGACAGAATTATCCTTTTTTCACATTGGATTAATTAAGAAAATTTGCATTTTAATCAATGATTTTGAAAATCTTGAAAAATAGTTAAAATTAATGTTATCTAACTCTGGTATTTTTATATAATCATATTTCAGCTTGCTGACATGGTTTAAGGATTTAAGCCATAGAGAGTGCATTGTGTGCTGAATTAGTCTATCAAAGGTGCTGTTTCTAAACCGTTGCATGACTCAGAGCAGTGGGAATGCAAAGTTGAGGAGGAAACAATTGCCTGAGTGGAATGAAGCAGCCACATTGCATTGAATTCTTGGGCTTAAATTCTTTTCACACATTGCAAAATATTTTCTACGGAATTGCCTAAATTATACAAAATCACTAAAACAACGTATTTCACTGAAACTTTTTGCAAGGGTCAAGTTGGCAAAGTATCAATTTCAGTCTGGAAAGTGAAGTTGTCACCTTGACAACTGTTCAACAAGTGACCTTGAATGTGGTGATTGGTGATATAATACACTGCAGTTATATGAAATACTGTGTTCGGATTGGCTGGAATCAGACACACCTTGCCTTTATCTAAGTATGAAGTTTGGATTCAGCATGAAAAGTTACATAACTCTTCAGAACATTCTTTACATAAAATACCTAGCTTATTATTTAGAGAGAGAGAGAGAGGTCCAAGAAAGTAGTCTCTAGCCATTATTTGTATTTCCATGTACATCTGCTTATATAACATTTAACATGTAATCAATACACTGTATATTCTAGCTAGTATACCTATTAGATTACAACCTAGATGTTAGATAATAAATGAATTTAAGATTAAGGCCAAGATATTGAAATCAGCATGTTTCATACCTCCGCAATAGATTAAATCTTTGTTCTTTCACGTTCTTTTCTATTTCTATTAAGATGTTTACTCTATCAGCCTTATCAAGATATATGTGCATTAACATTAACATCATAATTACATTTATTTACATCTTTTAACAACATCTTGGTATGAAGCAATCTTTCAACTGGGAAGATTATTTCCAAATTTGACATGTTAAATATTATACATATTGTTTATTCAAGTACTAATGGTCTGATACGTACTTTAAGTGCATCTTTTAGTACACTTAGTTCACCTGGAGTACAAGAAGGTGAATCTGAGATTCTATCAATGGAAGAAATTCAGATGAGTCCATTTAAAAAGGGGTGTTAGAACTTTCTATTGACAACAAGCCTCAAATAAATGCTCATCTCATAGTTAGAAATAAAAATACTCCAGTGTTGAAATTGCATTTTCAAATTTTTAGTTTTCAACTTTTTATGTGAAATTGCTGAGCTACACCTGAACATGTCATCATTGTTTCAGTTTATATTTTGAAACTAATTGTTTGAATATGGCCTAGTTTTTCGTTTGTTGAAATTCAGAATTAACCAAATAGGTATATAATTTTAAAATGTGAAACTTTATTGTTTTAAAAAATGAGAAAAATGACCAAAAACATATTTTGTTATGTTGAAATGTTTGTAGCAAAATTTAATATGAAAATGACTTACTTGTTACTGCGTCATCCGGTGAAATATTATCGTACCAGGAGATGCGATGATCAGGTTGAAGTCTGTCATGTTCAAGAAGCGTATCGTCAAAAGCACATAGCGTGTCATTAACAAATAATGTCCTGTCTATGTTAAACACCATAGGTGTTCCCTCCTTTGCCATTTTTAAACTAATTTTGTTTTGGTGAAATCAGCTTGAATTAACAGTTTAGTGATTCTTAAATAATGTTTCTTGTCATGGAAAGTTAAGTCCTGTTGGTTCTTGTCATGTTTTCTGCTGTATTTAGTTGTAATATCCGAATTTGTGTCATCAGATATTACATGCTGTGTGTGGTCTGAAATATGAAAATATACAACAATTAAATAAATCATATCAAGGTGTCATGGAATGTTTTTAGCTTTGTATTTATACTTTGATGACGGGGGGGGGGGGGGGGTTAAAGTGGTTTACAAAAAATGTTTCAATTTCAGTGGACATAAAAATTTAGTTCAATTTTTCTTCTGTTGGCTTTTTCCTGTTGTAAATCCCATTTTCTTGGTAATTTCCAGGTTCTGATTCAGAGAGTTTCAGGTCATAAATGTAAAAATACTGAATATATCCATATATTGATCAATGACTTGGCTGTAGCCAGAGGGGGGAGGGGGTGTGAAGGGTGATTGCACCCCCCACCCCCACAAAAAAGAAAAAAAACAATTTTGTAAAATTTGTTGAAAATCATTAACAAATTATAGTTGCACGATATACAATGTAGATTTTTAAAAATTTGATGAGGTAAATCCCCATACTGCCTTTTTGGGTCTTGCTGCATTCACATTGTTGCAAACCCCAAAATTTGCACCCCCATTTACAATTGCTGCCTATGAGGACATAAATATGTTCGTTATTTGATTCCTGGGAACATAGGTTTTGGGCCAATATAATAAAAATGGCAGCAGCTTTCTCTAATTTATAAACACACATTTATTGGCCTGCCCTCTTTATTTAAAAATCGTCAGCCTATGGCTGAAAATGAAAAATGATGTGAAGGAGGAGAATTGGTATGACATTAGGCCCAGGAACATGTGTGATTAAATTTTTTAAGGGGAGAGTTAGGCTCTGATTATACAAACTTTGATTTTACCTTAATTGTACATGTTCCTGGATGGACCTATGGGTACAATTATATTACAGGCTGTGCTACCCGGGCTGTGCCAATGCAATAATAATTTAGATAAATCATTTTTATTTTGATAAAAAAGCAAGTGTTGATTAGAGTTCACTACTTGGAGCTGCCAATATTTTTGTTCATATTAAAATTCAGATTAAAGTGAGGCAAGTTAGAAAGGTGAGGCAAAACCATAAAGAAATGTTATACTTTGATGATTATGTTGGTTGTATGTCCTGTCATAGTAGATGCATTCATGTGTTTCCTCTTCCTCCCTGCAGATCCTTTATTCACATCTTCCAAAAAAGATTTGAAGAGATCAAACAGCTATTGCGTTACAAAGCTTCAAACAGGTTTTGATTAACTTTTTTATTTTTTAACAAATTTGATTTGACATACTTTAGTGTAATTAAGCCACAAATGGAGCTACTGTAACTCTGTAAAAGGAGTGGTATCGATATGGAGAACTGAATTCAACAATGTTTTTCTCTTAAACCAATCATTGAAAACATTCTGTAAAAAACATGGTATTTTATGTAATGTTGACTGATTGACAACAATTTAATGCGAAAATTATTTAGAAATATTTTATATAACTGTTTTTGTTAACATTTTTTTTGTTTTTTTAGTGCAATTGTTTTTGCTCCTTTCTACCAATTCTTGAGAATGAAATAAAATGTCTTTCCGAACATTGTTGGAACAAAATAGCATAAACAACATGTTTTTAGACCTCTCAATATTAAAGTTATACAAAGGAATTTTTGGTTGATTTTAAAAAAGTATTCAAAAAATTAAAACAAAATCCCCCAAAATAGATAAAAATCAAGAAAAAACCTTTATTTCATTAACAATATACTTTTTTAAAATCAACCAAAATTTCCTTTGTACAATTACAATATTGAGAGACCTAAACATGTTGTGCTTATGTCGTTTTGTTCCAATGAGGTTCGAAAAGATGTTTCATTTCACTCTGGAAACATGATACCAAGAACAAAACAAGTGTTTGATGTGTTTTCTAAAACAATATAGATGAAAGTATAAATATATATATTTCAAATTATATTGTTACCATTCAAAAGATGACCATTAAATTGATGATGTATTAAATTTTCAGATTTTTTTATGACTGGTTTAAGAGAAATGTGTGTTCAAAAAGTTCTCCATATCGATACCACTCCTTTGCATATGGGAGGCACGGTCACGGTCACACTGAATGAAAAGTATGGAAAGTGCTTCCAATCTTGTCAGCATCATTTTCACTGACATAATAGGAAAAAAAGTAACTATATCTGATTTTCTGTCTACTCAAGTTACTTGTGAATAAGATAATGTTAAACTTCTTGATAGCATTAATATAACACTTCTCTAATGTCTATCTATTTGAAATTTTCATAAATTGTATCTTGGTAATCCAAGGTGTCATAATAAACTACCTCGTCTCATTTTTTCTTGGTACACTGTATCTGAGCCTATCATATGACTGGCAGAGAATGAAAAAGAAACGGATTGGTGACACTAATATTGTTATGGTCTCCAACTTTTATGTGGGAAGTGTTTGGTGGTTGATGTTTGGCAGTCAGTGTCTGTAACAAATGGCAGGTAGTGCAGTTTAATGCCTTGTTAAAGATATTGCTTGTTTGGAAAAATAAAATTGTAATAATTTTCCTGCAGTTCTTTAGATTAATCTGAAAACCCATTGTATTCCTGATTCTGTATGTTCAAATATAGGTAGAGTCATTGACCTATACAGAAAGATGAGCATGCCATAAACAGTTGTAGAACAAAGCTTAAAGAGAAAATTAAGATTTATTCAAACACGATAGCAATAAAACAGATGTAGGCTTACATTTTACCATCACTTACCTTCACATAGTTCTGAGGTTATGTTCAAGAGGTTGTTTTCTGTATTTTTACTTTCTGAAGCATCCATCAAACTTTTTAATTGATAATCCAGATGTATGCTTTCTGTATTGATTTCCTCGCTTAAAAGAGAGCTTCATCTGATGTACTAGGCACTGAGACTCAGGGTATTCATAGTTGCTTGCAATGCTATTTTAGTTTGCACTAGTCTTGTATATAAGCCTAGAAGAGTGCCCAGATGTGACCTAATTTATAAGGCAGATCAGTCACTGTCAGGCTCGTATCCAGGACTATGCAGCATTTTTAGCCAGTTATTTTCCGAAAAGAGTGCTCAGATGTGAGCTTATTTAAAAGGCAGCTCAGTCAAAATATTAAAAAATGTTTTCAGGCTTGTATGCAGGACTATGTAACACACTTAAAGCCAGTTAATTCTCCACATTTTTTGAACCCATAGAAGTTACATTCTTCCTGGAACTCTTTGTCATCATTAAGTGCCTTGTAAAAACAGCAAATGCATCATAAACTGAGTATATAGGAAGATGTTGATATGTATCAGATATCTGTCATGTTATATAATAGTATTGACTTTCCTAATTCCTTTGTATACCACTTTGTTCTTTCTGTATCTGGAAAACAGCAGGAAGATGCGTACTGCATTTTATTCATGAGTGGTTCGGTTGGATTATGTTCTGGAATTTCAATATTTAACAATCAATGACTACTGGAGTATCCCCAATTGGTTTTCCTCTTGCGTAAAACATTTGTTCATGATTGATACCTTTTACGCCAAGTTTGTATTTATTTCCTAATTCCTTTGTGTTTATGGTTTAGTGTTTGCTCATCGAATCTGTTAATTTCATTTCATTTCTCTCTTGTTTCTCTCTCTGCTTTATTTTACACTAAAACATGTTTTTCTTGGGCATTTTATGGTAAGGTAGATTTTCTTTAGATTAAGCATTTGCATTTAGTGTTTTGTTTACACATTCATAGCAGATTATCCTCTTCAGAGGCATCTTTATCCAATTTCACAGCTCAACAAGTATCCCATAATGCAATGTAAATATAGCAGACGGATTTGACTTCACAAGCAAAGTGGATGTTTGGAATATTACCACTCATTCTACACAATGTGCTTTCCAGGGAAATTTTTTTGATGTGTTACATCTATTTCATTTTGTTATGCTTTATAAGGCGTCCATAACTAAGATTCTTTTTTATTTCACAATTAAAATAGTAATTCAACTTTTTTAGTATCGTTACTGCAATTTACTTATAGGAAAGTAGGCATAATATGGAATGTAATTGTGCAAAAACAAAATTATGGAAAAATATTGTAAAATTTGGGCAATTCTTTAGAACCACTCTAGTAATTCAACTCAACTTATTTGGCAATAAACAGAGCTTTTTTTCTTTGAATTAAACAATTTCTCTTATTTTAATTTAACAATGTCCCTGGTATTTTGCTTTCAATTTGAAGACATCTCTAGTTCTATGATCAATAAGTTTAGTCAAAATCCTGTTTTATTTAATTTAATCATAGAAACATCTTCATAAAACTATTCCAAATTCCATTTATTAATATCATGTATTTGTATATTATAATTTTTTATAAAACTACACATACCTTATTTTAGTGTGAAGTCAGTGCTATATAAACTTACATCAATATGTTCTCAATGATTTATGTAAGCCAGAATGTTGCTTTCTTTGCTACCAATTCATCCTTTCACACTATTCAATTGACTTTGTGTTCATTCTTTATCATGGGGTTTACTAGACACTTTGAACAAATAGAAGACTTATCAATACCAATTTGTCTACATGTTTATCTGCCAATAGTCTGTTAAAGATGTCTTACACAGAAAGATATGGAGCACACAGTTATGAAACAAAATACTGGAATTTCTTGGTATATATGTACATATACTTTAATCAGGTTGAGAAGTACATGTATTTAAAGACCAGTATTTAATATTGTGAATATTAGGCAAAAATAACATTTTATTTTGGTAAAATCATCAAGATTACAACCATATTGGAAAATTGCATTTTTTGGATTTGGTCTGCATCTTTAAGGAAGATTCCCATGAGCTTATACATTATATTGTTAGTAGATTCCAAATTGGGCGTAATCTAACATTATCTCTCTTGGGACTATCTGTCAAGTGCTTCTGTGTGGCTTTATCAACTCTCAATGTTGCAATTAGTGTCTGTAAGTAAAGGTTGTTCCACATGTTCAGAAAAAAATTTAAAGGTGTAACAATTAGTGCAGGGGGCCATTTAACGATCATCGACCAATGTCAAAATATATTTAAGTTTTGATATTTCATCAAGACTAACATATATTTTTATTATCTACAAAGAAACTCCATGGATGAACATTATTTCAGCTCATACTCCTCTTGAAATGTGGTGGATTTTAAAAAGCTATAAGGGAGACTCCTTTATAGAAGCTATGAACTTAATTTACACTTCTTAATGCTGAAATTGATAGTTTATCCATACATTTTAAGAAAATAGGTATGTCAAAGATGTTAAGCCAAATATTGATCTGATGGCTCAGAATTTTTTTTTTTTTCGAATTTTCTCTCTACAGTCCTTGTTGCCCCTTTAAAAATAATTTATGGAAATGTCATTCAATCATAAATGAGTGTATTATTCAACATAGATAGCTTATTTTGACACTTGATGGATTAGGGAGAGATATAATTCAACTGGCAAACATTTTGGAAGGGTGAAGTTCTGGCCATTAGCATCTTAGATAACCCATGGTTATGCTGTGTTCTGATTGGCCTGAATGAGTAATGAATGTGTCGCTAGAGTTTAGACTTGAATAAATGCATTATCAAATTAAGTGCAAAAATATTGAATAATTCGTACTTTTTAAATTGGTAATTTTAACATATACTTTTATTCATAAAACTTACAAATAGTTAGTAATTAAAACGGTGCATGAATTTTGTATTTCCAGGAAACAGATTATGGTGCTAAAGTCTTAACCGACACAGATACAGAACATTACCAAATATGGCAATCACCCATCATCATAAAGTTGGCAGTAATTTTGATCTACACACAAAGCATTGTGTCCCATATTTATAATGCATCACAGGAAATGCATGGACTGGATATGATTGCTCAGAACTATGCCTGGCTTGGACGGTTTGCTCAGATTGCCGTTATGTGTTTTACTTACTGCTACATACTCAAATCTAGAGATGAGTCATTGTGACATCATAATAGTGAGCTTTGAAAATTTTGACATGCTATGATATGGTGAGCTTTGAACATTATGACATCACTATGATGTGGTGAGCTTTGAACATTATGTCATCATTATGTGAGCTTTAAAAATATTGACATCATAATGGCTTTGAACATTATGACATCATAATAATGAACTTTGAAAATGTTGACATGCTATGATATGGTGAGCTTTGAACATTATGACATCACTATGATGTGGTGAGCTTTGAACATTATGACATCATTATAGTGAGCTTTAAAATGTTGACATCATAATGATATGGTGAGCTTTGAACATTATGACATCATAATAATGAACTTTGAAAATTTTGACATGCTATGATATGGTGAGCTCTGAAAATTGTCACATCATTATGTGGTGCTGACTGTGCAATGGACATTGAAGTTCTAACTTAACATTATGGCATCACTGTTGTTAGCTTGAAACATTAATGTGGTGCGCCATCATGACATCACTCCATTGATCTCCAACCATTGCCACATTATTAGAACCTCAATAGAGGTTTAAGACTCAAATTCCTACCAAAATAACTGATTTTTTTCAATTTCAATTTATTAATATTTCCTTGATATTGATAAATAACTGATGATGATTTGGTCAAAAATATAAAAAGAGCTCCTAATTTATAACTGCGGATGTATGATAAATGTCAACAAAAGAAATGTGTTTGTATGTGTGTAAGGCCTTATTCCAAACAACAGATGATGTGTTCGGAAAATACACAAGTGTCATCTCTGAAAAAAGGGTTGATTTTGAATTGGAAAAATTTATATCAAGTCAAACTGAGATAAACAACATGGTTTCTTTGTTATATATGGGTACAGGAATCAAATGGTATGTCATCTGCCAGTGAAGTAGTTGTTATTTAAAGCTTTAAAGTGGACAACATGCAAAATGTCACTACCAGCCATTTGTTACAGACACCAAATGCTAAGTGAAGACCGACAGAAATTCTTCACAAAATCATGATCTGGACCATTAACAATATGTCACCACTTCTGGAAATGAAGTAAACATAACTAACTACTGAACTATTTTTATGTTTTTATTTTTTATTCTAATATCAGAATATTTCCTAGTGTACAATGGTGTGTATGATTCACCATACAAAGATAATATATACAGATTTAGCTGCCTTATTGGCTGGGGAAAAACACCTCTCCATGAGAAAAACACCTCTCCATGAGAAAAACACCTCTCCATGAGAAAAACACCTTTCCATGAGAAAAACACCTCTCCATGAGAAAAACACCTCTCCATGAGAAAAACACCTTTCCATGAGAAAAACACTGGGCTTTCTCTTACAAAAGTTCTATTACTAAGAGGCAGAACCTTTATTTACTAGACTGCAAGATACGACAACAGCATACAAAGCTAGGATTTTTCTATGCTTCATTTTACAGATAGTTCAAAAAGTGAAATAATGAGTTTGCACCAGGAAAGTTTACCCTAACTAAAGAAAGTTGAAAGCTGTTAAATCAAGCAAGATTTCAGTAGCGATACTTATTCCGGTAGCAAGAAATATACTGAAGTGTGACATTGGAACATGATTCACTTTATAACTTTTCAAATATACTCTGTATATGTTTTTTTGATCATGATCATCTTTCAGCAGAATACACGTCAAGCCGAAAAAAAAATTTTATTCAAGTATTCTTACCAAAAAAGTGAGATTCAAGCAAATAAACATAAATATAACATAAGTATATATTACAAAGTAATACTAAAATATGTTTTATAAATATCATTCAATGAGTATATACTAAAATCATGGACATAAACTAAACAAAAGAACCATGCACCAATTTGAAGTATTACAGATTCATCTAACACGGACATATTTGAAAAACTTACATAAAATATTTTGTCCTACATCCATAGGACTTCTTCAGTTACTTAAGACGAAATATTTTACGTAAGTTTTTCAAATATGTCTGTGTTTGATGAACCTGTCTTCAATATGAACATTTCCGGATGGATGAACATTCATTCTAATACATCAATTTGTTTAGGTTTATAACCATTGAAAATACATATCACCTTGTACTGGTACATATTATTTGATTGCTTTTCTAGACTAGCAAGACAAAGAGTTTTTAAAACTCCGATACAATATTATTTTCCATCATTTAATGGAGGCCAAGTGTCATGTGACTTTATCTACCTACATTGATTGGCTAGATAATTTGATCACATGACCCCTATGACATCCTAATCCTAAAATAATTTTTTTTTACATTCAGTCCTACATACAAATCAGATCATGAAATAAAATAAAGCATTATTAACTTGTAATATCAAGCAAAAAGAATATTTATACACTGACCAGAAAAATCTTAATTTATGCTATGTACACTGTACATAACAGGCCCGTAGCCAGAATTTTTCCAAGGGGGGTTCACTTTTTCAAAAAATTCTAGGGGGGTTCACTTTGGCAAATTTGGCCAAAAATCACTCAAAAAATAGTCAGAATGGTGAAAAACTGCATGATTTTGAAAGAAATTTTGGCCAGGGGGGGGGGGGGTTCGCCCAAACCCCCCTGGCTACGGGCCTGGCATATTTCAAAGTATATGAAAAACATAACAATGACCCAATATCATTCAGTTGAAATCTGTTTAAATTCGAGAGTACATGCACAGTAACACCTATCAAAGTTGAACGCCTTAAAAGCTCATCAAAACCTCTGTGCATGAAGGTTTACATATACACCAACTAATATCTGAGACTAACACAAAAAATTTGGGAAAAATTTTATGTTAGACTCAGCTAATATAAAGTATACATACAGATATCTGTGATACGATTGGTGGAATACACAGCTTAATATGAACCAATCAGATCACAAAAATCAATGTATTATGAACAATTTCCATTTAGCATCGTAAAATTCCCTGTTTATCTTGAGTATAACAAGGGTAAAATATAGTCATTGTAATAGACAGTCAATGACTCTAATAACAGTTACAGTAATTAAAGAAAGAATTGGGAAAGTACATGCCCATTCCTATTTACACAGCACATAAACCAACCCGACACTATTTCCATGTTTAACATATACAGCTTATGTACAAAAACAAAAGTGTTTACTTGTGCATGTAATGAATACTTGTGCATGTAATGAACACTTCAGATTCTTTAAGTGTTCACTTAAGACAAGTCAAGTGTTCTGTTCTTTATGCCTAAGTCACATTTGCTCTGATTCATTGGCCGGCGCCGGCCGTTTGTAGTATTTTGTTCAAAACCGATTTCAAATTGCTTCAAATTAAACAAACTTCCTTTTAAAAGCATTTTAAGTTCTCAGGAGTTCACAATTGACATGAAATTGAGATTTGACCTTCAATTTTTAACAAAATACTCAATCGGCTCGGCTGATGAATCAGAGCTAGCAAATGTGACCAAGGCATTACAACATTAGTTTCACTTTATCACCAAATAGCCCCATTTCAATCAATTTATAGTACCATTATTCAATAATAAAAACGCAAATGTATTGTGGAAACACAATACTGTACGTGTGAAAGAAAAAAAATTAACAAAAATTAACAAGTTAAAATATAACATTTGTATTCTAGTATAGAACTTTCAGACCCTTAGTCAGCTTTTGCCACTTCAAAAAATTTCAGGGGGTTCACATTTGACAACTTTAGCCCAAAATTTCTTGAAAAGTGCTGCAGCATGGTGAAAAACTGCATGATTTTGAAAGAATTCTCCCCCTGGCTGGCCAAGAAGAACAAGGCATAACGTGACAAAATGTCACCACCTAATTGAAGCAAGATAAAAAAGACCTTTTTGACCTTGAGGAGTTCATCTATTTTGAATCTATTTTGACTTGGAGAATGTCATTGAAGGTCAAATCTTAAATAGAAAGTCAGATTTGAACTTCTGGAAACATGTAGATGATCTTCCATTATACTCAATCAGGGCCACGCAGAGTCATACAAAAGATAACACCCAGAGTTCAGTTTGTGCGTTTTACCCAGATTTCAGTTAATGAGTGTTTCATTCAAAATTCATATTAGACTCTTATTTATGTTTACGATAAGTGGTTACAATTTTTGGTTACAATTGCCTTTTCCATATTTGACAGTTATAATATCATAAAGACAGTTTGAAACTCGGGAATCCTCCAATTTTAGACTTTTAACATATCCATTTTGTAAATACAAATTTCTCTGAAACCATGGTGACTAGAAGATAGAATTTCTTCTGACTTTCCATGTGTCCCTTTTATGTTATTCTCCAAATATGTACAAAAGGGACAAATCACATTTGTGCAACCAAGCGTGCCTCAGGTTTTACTCGGAGTTCTCCTGATTTGCGTCTGCGCGTGAATTCATCCCATAAAAGGTCTCGTTCTTTCTGGACCTTGCTGCTGATGACGCCACTGTTCTCTTGCGCTCTTCGGGAAAGGTACGGCATCACTTCCTCAACAGGGCCATAAGGGACGTACTTGTACACTGAGAAACCAGCTTGTCCTGGAGAAATGATATAGAGGTTATATAATGATATGACTGAGTTCTGCCAATGAAGTGCAGCCCTTGGAGCTGGAAAACTGATAAGAATTAAATGCTTTCAACGATATTTCAAATTAATTCTAATGCAGATCAAACTATTGTGAAAAACTTAATTTAATGGACACGTCATCTAATCAGTAATGTGGCGACTGTTTCACTTTACTACACGCGGTATCTGCTTAATAAGCAACATTTAAATGACTTTTCACTGGGTCCCATGCGGCGCGTTTTGGTCAATTGAATCATGACGTCATTATCCCAAGATGTTTTGTTCACAACAATCCTGCATTTGCCTTGATGTTGAGATTACCAATGAACCAGTAAACCAAAACTATAAATTATGTATGACGTAACTAGTCACGTGGGGCCAATCTGATTGATCCTTAATTTTGTTATGTTATATTATGACCAAGTACAACAATGTTAATTTCTTTGTCTTTACATATTTTAATGCTGCTAAATGTCTAATGGACCTAAATACATACCCAGTGGGAAGCTGATCTGATCACACATGCCGAGTAGTTGTCCAAAACATATAACTTTATCATCTGGATGAATACCATAATCTTTCATCCTAAAATGTAAAAAGGTGATCTTACTATGAGGTGTTCTTATGGGAAGGTGTTCACTTACTGAGGTTCATTTATTTGTTGTTGGTGTATGGTGTTCAAATGTTTAAGTTGTGGAAGAGTAAAATAACTTTTTTTGGGAGGGAGTAAATCATGATTTCATCAACTTGAATCAAGTAAAGGTTTGATCAATGTGATTTTTTAAAACCTAAAGTGAATGTTGATTAACATTTTCATCTCATGATATGTGGTGTTTTACTGTATTTAATACAAACTAATACATGTGCAATGTTTTAAACTGTTTTAGAAAGTAATAAGGGGGCCATTAAAAGAAACTTTGTAAAGTTAACAATTTGTATTGTTAGTACCTCAGTTGAAATACTCGATTTTGATTGGTCAACGAGCGGTGAATAATTTTAACTGTACACCGCGCAATGCATTGCCGGTGAATAATATTCCCAGCATTCCACTAAAATGACGTCATTATCAGACGATAAAATGGCCGCCGCTAGCACTAGCCGTTTCAAAAATGTTGAAGATGAGGATATTATTAGTCTCTTAGAGAGTAAAGACAGTCAAAATACGAAGAAAAATCTAAAACTTTGTACAAAGCTTTTAGTGGACTTCGCCCAGGAGAGTAATTTGACTCCATTGAGTGAACTAACTGCCGATATACTGAAATACAACATGAACGTCTCGAGGGTCTGGATCCAACTTCAAGTCAACTTCAAGGGTCAGAAAAATCTAAGATATTCTTCGGACTAACAACCTACGGTCTCGGTTTACAGTCCCGGGATATAATTTTGACAGTAAACCTCTGGAGAGGTCAATAATTGTATAAAGTTGTTTCTTAACTATGATGTCATTATATCTTTGGTAACAACAATTGATTTACAAATTCGTAACTTTATGAAGTTTCTGTTAATGACCACCAGATATCTAAACATCACCCCTAACTTTTTTCTAAAGAATTTTTCAAACAGACATACTTTTGTACAGTAAATCGCACAGTGTCTTCATTGTGACTTGCTACCATTAGAGCAATCCTTCCCCTCTCTCGCTGTACTATTTGATCCATTCCTTCTGTCAGGACTTTCTCATACATTGCTGTTGTTGCATCATAGCCAGGGTTGATTGGGTCTTCATACCCAATCATCTCTGCACGCTGACTTTCCTAAAAGTTAAAGGAAGATTCTTTGTCATCTTTTCCCTTTGAAATGATTTTAATAATGAAGTATAAACAAGGCATTAACATGCAACTTGCACTACCTGCCATTTGTTACAGACACAGACCACTGATTGCCGAACACTGTCCATAACAAAGCTGGAGACCTGACACCAATATGTTTTGTCTTGTAACAATGAACATTGAAAAATCAGCAATAAAATAATGAACAATAAATCAATGAACCATAGGCCATAAGTTCCTTAAATATATCATGTATACACAATATCACATTTTGTATTACGAGCATCTAGATTATGATAGCTGTGCTATTTTTTTACATTTGGTGCATCCTTATTTTGTGACTCATGCAACAGCGCCATCTTTACTATTAGTCAAGCAATATCAAGTGTAACAAACTTACATATATACTGACAATAAACTAGGAATATTACCTCTCAATGTCTGTATTTTTATGATGAATCAAACATGACATATAAAAACAGTTCAAACCTGCTCCATGTAGGCCCCTCGGACCAACTTGCAACCGAAGTAGAAATCTTCACGTTGTGATAGATTGAAGTCCACAATTATATTGTTGTAAGCCTCCTGGAAAATATAAAAGACAATATTATATCAAATGCAATATTAATATTAGAGAATAGCACTTTCACTAGGGGTTGCCACGACACAAAATAGGCAGGCATTTAGCTAAACAAAGTGTGATTCAATATATTTTTGTTTGGATGTGGGATAGTTGCCTCGCCTGCCTAGAGCCTGGCTATAGCCATGGCTATGACCAAAATGCATGATCTCCGGGGCATATCATTCTCAGACATCAATGGACATATACATACATGTACCTGTGTACATGACTCGTATTTGAAATTTAAAATGCACTCCACATTTCTATTTTTGTCAGACTTGAATATTTCTTTACTTTTACAGACATATACTCTTCTGGTGCCATGGCCAAAATAAATGTTGAAAAATGAACCATTTGAAGCATACCTATATAGTCTATATGACTTAAATAATTGAGGGATTCCTGCCATATCTGAAACACTTGGCCAAAAGATTTCACTGCCAGGGAACAAAGTCAAACATACCAGACCATTTATTTTTAAAATTTAAATTTTTCATTACAGTATTTCTATTTATGTACTTTTACGGTAATTATTTAAAATAATTCAGCATACCTTCAAGTGAAACCTGCATATTTGTTAAATATGATATATACCTTCAAGTAGCACTGGTATGTGTTAAATATGATTGCCTTCTCAGTGTTGTATTTTCTCATCATCTCCATGGTGAATCGTGAGATCGCTGGCTGGAAATATGTCTGCTCTGCATCAATCATTACACGGACATCTTTGTGTTTGGCATACTGGAAAAAGACACACAGTGATGTATGACACAGACATCTTTGTGTTTGGCATACTGGAATAAGACACATAGTGTTATATGACATGGACATCTTTGTGTTTTGCATACTGGAAAAAGACACACAGTGTTATATGACATGGATATCTTTGTGTTTGGCATTCTGGAACAAGACACACAGTGTTATATGACAAAGACATCTTAGTGTTTGGTATACTGGAACAAGACACACAGTGTTATATGACATGGATATCTTTGTGTTTGGCATACTGGAACAAGACACACAGTGTTATATGACATGGATATCTTTGTGTTTTGCATACTGGAAAAAGACACACAGTGTTATATGACATGGACATCTTTGTGTTTTGCATACTGGAAAAAGACACACAGTGTTATATGACATGGATATCTTTGTGTTTGGTATACTGGAACAAGACACACAGTGTTATATGACACAGTCATCTTTGTGTCTGGCATACTGGAACAAGACACACAGTGTTATATGACACAGTCATCTTTGTGTTTGGCATACTGGAACAAGAGACACAGTGTTATATGACATGGATATCTTTGTGTTTGGCATACTGGAACAAGACACACAGTGTTATATGACAAAGACATCTTAGTGTTTGGTATACTGGAACAAGACACACAGTGTTATATGACATGGATATTTTTGTGTTTGGCATACTGGAACAAGACACACAGTGTTATATGACATGGATATCTTTGTGTTTTGCATACTGGAAAAAGACACACAGTGATATATGACATGGACATCTTTGTGTTTTGCATACTGGAAAAAGACACACAGTGTTATATGACATGGATATCTTTGTGTTTGGTATACTGGAACAAGACACACAGTGTTATATGACACAGTCATCTTTGTGTCTGGCATACTGGAACAAGACACACAGTGTTATATGACACAGTCATCTTTGTGTTTGGCATACTGGAACAAGAGACACAGTGTTATATGACATGGATATCTTTGTGTTTGGCATACTGGAACAAGACACAGTGTTGTATGACACGGACATCTTTGTGTTTGGCATACTGGAACGAGACACAGTGTTATATGACATGGATATCTTTGTGTTTGGCATACAGGTACAAGACACTAAGTGTTATATGACATGGACATCTTTGTGTTTGGCATGCTGGAACAAGACACACAGTGTTATATGACATGGATATCTTTGTGTTTGGCATACTGGAACAAGACACACAGTGTTATATGACATGGACATCTTTGTGTTTGGCATGCTGGAACAAGACACGCGGTGTAATATGACATGGATATCTTTGTGTTTGGCATACTGGAACAAGACACACAGTGTTATATGACATGGACATCTTTGTGTTTGGCATACTGGTACAAGACACACAGTGTTATATGACATGGACATCTTTGTGTTTGGCATACTGGAACAAAACACACAGTGTTCTATGTCACATCTTTCTTATGGATCAATTCAAAATGGCCATCATTATTAATTTGCCAAGCTGTCAAAAACCTAGACAGACTCATAAATTCTCCCTCTGCCACTTACCTCTGTTCAACCCCCCCCCCTCCCCTATGTTTTTCACCATTGCTTGAATGCTTATAATGACCTTCAGGCGAACTTAACATACTCTAAATATTATTTTGTTAGTTGTCTTGAAAAGTGCATTGTTAGACCAGAATTATTGTGAAAGCTCTTATTAGGTAAAAGGCTGTCTTGAAATGATTTGTATTATATAGTGTAAATAGGGTTTAGGGCTACATGTATAATACCAAGCACCTACAGTACTTTTGAGCACAAGTTCAATAATATTCTCTTTGTATAAACACTTGGCCAAACAAATTAGATTTATCAAATATATGGTAGTAATGCAGACTGTACAATTCTAATTCTAGATTCACATTTAAATACAAAAACAACCAATACAGGAATGAAGCGAATCCATTTTAAATTACTGAACCACAATTTATATGTACACCAGTACGCTAGAATCAAATATTAAACTGCACATGAATATGATTTTAAATGGTGTCTAGAAAATCATGGAGCTGAAAGGTTAGGTGAACTGAACTACATAGCACTCAATTAATAGCCATTTACTGGACTAAAAAGAAATCACTTGCCAGTAAAGACATAGGCAAATGAAGACTGTACATAGAATCATAATCTGGCTCTTGTGGAGTATCAAACATTTGATATCTTATTCCAGGGTCTCTGGTAGCCCTAGTTGTACAGTTGCCAGCACAGGACTCAGAAAGGATTAGAGATACACATGGACTGATAAGATTGGAGGAAAGTAAGCCCTGATAAATGGATCATAGTACATGTATGTACATGTAATTTTGGCATGTTGCAAGCGACATGCAAGCATAACTGCAGGGACTGATATAACCTCATATTACATTTATTGGCCAATTCTGAACTGTATTAGGCACAAAACTGAAATTACCTAAACATAGTATTAGATTAGATTGGCACACAAGGCCAATAAGTAAGCACAAGTGAAAGCACTAGTGGAAGACAAGCATCTCAAGATCAATTAGCAGCATTATGACGCATTGAAGGATACAAACAAACAAACAAACAGGCCAAGTTTGGAAAGAACAAATCACAGTGATTATTTATACCATTAGAAAGGACAGGGACAAAACAATCGGTAATGATATAAAGAAAATTCTCTTAGATTTAGTTTGAAATTTTTTTGTTGTTATATTTTTGGCTCCTTCATTGTGGTGTTACTTTTGTCTTGATGAAGTTTGAATTCAATCCTTTTGAATGCTTTTTAAGTATATTATAAAGTTATTCACTGAATAATGAAAGAAAAGTTAATTAGACAACTTTGTAATTAGTGAACCTCCTTCAGCAGGTCCTTAAAGCTGACACTCTCACCTTTGAATAGTGTGTCGAAATCCTTAAGCAAATTGCATCGTTAATTTCATCATAAGTACTTTATGACCAATTGCATAAAGACCTTTCAAATTGTGTTTCGAAACCTTAAGACAATTTGCATCATTTATTTCATCATAAGTGAATGACTCACATGTTGTGTAACAACAATATGGTAACAAAGTGGCATAATACCCTAATGGGGATTAGGATAAGATTGTTCTTTTTCGATAATTTCACAAGATGTAAGTACAATCTTCACAAAATTTCATCCTAAGAATGGTGAGAAATTATGACGAGAATTCTGGCTTTCCCACTTCATATGCAGACACTTAGATTTCCAAAAGTTCACGTTCATGATGCTTGTACAAAGTTGTGCCAAAAAGGTAATGATGTATCATATCTTGTGCAGTCATGACAACAGACCTCAACTCAATTCTCATACTATTCCACCATTTAGTTACCAAGATGGATCCATTGTCGGAAGTCAACAGTCAAGTTTCTCCAATGATTCTTAAAATGTTTCATTTTTTCCAGAGCAGAAATCTACCAAGACAGAAACGATGAGTTTGATTGCTAATCTAGTAAATGCTGTACTGGAGAACCTAACAACAAGCCTGGTATTCCTTCTAGTCTTCTTAGTGTTATGGTGGTATTTCAAGCCAAGCCCCTATCGCTTGCCCCCTTCACCTCCATGCTTCCCTTTCTTTGGTAATACCAGCATCTATAAAGCTGCAACCATTGGCGATGATGATGAATTTGAGCTATACTTGAAGTACAAAACCCCAATTACATATAGGAATTTTTTTGGACTGCATGCAATGCTGCTTCATAAGTATGACTTGGTCAAGGAGTTTTTCTCAAGTGATAAGTACACTGATCGACCTCATCTGGCGATTGATGAATTCGTATTCAGAGGTTTGGTGGATGTGTCAGGGCCAAGATGGAAAGAGCAGAGAAGATTTGCACTCTCTACTCTCCGAGACTTTGGCCTTGGGAAGAATGAAATCGAATTGAAAATCCAAGAAGAAATATCAAGTGAACTATACGCTGCGTTTGATGAGAAAAATGGTGCACCGTTTAACATGAACAGTCTCATGGGTATGGCGATTTCTAATATTATCTGCTCCATGGTGTTCGGTCACAGATTCCAATATGATGATACAACCTTCCAAAAGATTTTACGACTTCAAAATGAAAACACAGTATATATACAGTGGGTTTTTCTTGGTAGTTTTGTCCCATTTAGTGATTGGATACCTGGGGATATCTTTTGCAAAAAACGATTAATCAATAATCTCGATGAGATGAAAACGAAGATTTTCAGGCCCGAATTCAAGAAGCACATGGAAAAGTATGACCCAGAACACATCAATGATTTCACAGATGCGTTTATCAAGGAAATGAAGCAACGAGAAGAAAATGGTGATACAGAGCACTGGTTCACAGGTAAATGTCCAAATACAGAATGTGAAATTTGAAATATGAACATAATCCACACTTGAAATACAGACCCTTTGTCGATGATGTGGTTTTGATGTTGTAATTTTGATACTAGAAAGTTCCACATACCAAGGAAGGCTTTTTCTAAGATATGTCCCATTTGTATTTTTTCTATTATTTCGTGCACCGAATTAGCTCATGTTATCTCATAAGAATATAAGATTACAGAAATCCATAAAGGTCAAGTTGTGTGGTTCCGAAAAAGGAAAAGTTTCCCCCTAAAACAATATATATAATGTAGCAAAGCTGGATAAAAATATCCACCTCAACACAGCTACTCAATTTGATTGTCTATTTGAACATGTACTTTCAGAGCAACAATTAGAATGGAACATTGAGGACTTGTTTGCAGCTGGGACTGAGACAACGAGCAATACTATGAGGTAAAAATGACCACGTTGGTCAGATTATAAAATGTGAAAAAGGGAATACTAGTATTCTTTGCCACATTTCTCTCCTGATATGGTAGATATAACCATTTAATTTCCATATTAAACATAAAAACATGGAAGAATGTTTAGATATAATCAAATATAATTCAATAAAAAGTGTCTGTTGAGAGTCAACTTCATCTCACTGATTGGTTTCATTTCCAAACATTGTACATGCCTTCTCTTCATAGATGGGTTTTCTTGCGTATGCTGCATAATCCTGAAGTCCAGGAGAGAGTCCGTCAAGACATACATAGAGTTATTGGGAAAGACAGGCTCCCATCAATGAAAGATAGACTAGATCTACCATACATAGAGGCTGTGTTGTTGGAATGCCAGAGGAAGCATCATGTCGTACCATATGGGATTAGCCATTCCAATCTTGATGATAATCCAATCGAATTTAAGGTGAGGTTAAGGATGAGGCTTAGTTATAGTGAGGCTAGGGGAAGATACAGTTAAACCTATATATCTGAACATCTCTCTAATCTGAACACATTTCAATGTGAAAACCTTTTCACAGTCTCAATTTTGTCATCACCTATTGACTCACAAATTAAAAAAACTTGAAATGTGAACACCTGCTAATTAAAACACCTTTTTAAAAACACCAGATCATGGTTTTGGGATATATAGGGTCTACTTTTCTTATGACAGATTTACACTTACAATTTGCTTTTCTTGTTGGGTTTCTTTAAAGGTTTTAGTCACCCTTCCCTTTTGTCATTTGCGCTTATATATTTTACTGGTCCTAGCAGTATTCAGATTGGTCAAATTTAAAATTTACTGTAAACAGAACATATGTTGTTGAATAATTTGGGACTTTTACTTTTCACAAAGCTTCTGGATGTAAGAACCAATTTTTTTACTCATTTTCCCATTTCTTAGGGTTACATATTTCCCCCTTCAACTACTACTGCTATGAATGTGTACACTCTCCACAATGACCCTGAATATTGGCATGAGCCTGAGAAGTTCAACCCTGACAGGTTCATAAGAGAAGATGGAAAGTTCCAGAAGGATGAGCATGTTGTGACTTTCTCAGTTGGTGAGATTCTTGTTGTATTGTTTTGTATTATTTATAGGGCATACTTTCTGTTCTGATTTATGTACTTCTAAGTAGCTTAAACACATTCCGTGGCACTTTAAATCTAAGACAAATATTAACTTTGCAAATATCAAATTGTGTTTGGTTTAATCACTTCTGTACATCACTCCATTTCACTATTCATTCAATTTTTGCTGTATCAATTTGATAATTTTTCAAGTAAATTGTGGGATGGCACGCAGGTTTAGGGTTCACTAAAGTGGTGATCTTTTAGTGTATATGATTGCAATTTTAATTTCAGGAAAAAGATCTTGTTTGGGAGAATCGTTGGCCAGGCAAGAATTATTCTTGTTCTTTACTGGTATACTGCAGAGATACAAGATAACATTGCCTCCAGGAGATCCTTTGCCCTCAATGGAGAGAGTACCTGGTGTAACTTTAAGCCCAAAGCCATACAATGTATGCTTTGTAAGAGACTAGCCACACAATGTATGCTTTGCAAGAGACTAGCCATAGAATGTATGCTTTTTAAGAGACTAGCCACACAATGTATGCTTTGTAAGAGACTAGCCATACAATGTATGCTTTGTAAGAGACTACCCATACAATGTATGCTTTGTAAGAGACTAGCCATACAATGTATGCTTTGTAAGAGATTAGCCACACAATGTGCGCTTTGCAAGAGACTAGCCATACAATGTATGTTTTGTAAGAGACTAGCCATACAATGTATGCTTTGTAAGAGACTAGCCATACAATGTATGCTTTGTAAGAGACTAGCCATACAATGTATGCTTTGTAAGAGACTAGCCATACAATATATGCTTTGTAAGAGACTACCCATACAATGTATGCTTTGCAAGAGACTAGCCATACAATGTATGCTTTGTCAGAGACTAGTCATACAATGTATACTTTGTAAGAGACTAGTCATACAATGTATGCTTTGTAAGAGACTAGCCATACAATGTATGCTTTGTAAGAGACTAGCCATACAATGCATGCTTTGTAAGAGACTAGCCATACAATGGATACTTTGTAAGAGACTAGCCATACAATGGATACTTTGTAAGAGACTAGCCATACAATGTATGCTTTGTAAGAGACTAGCCATTAAATGTATGCTTTGTAAGAGACTAGCCATACAATGTATGCTTTGTAAGAGACTAGCCATACAATGTATGCTTTGTAAGAGACTAGCCATACAAGGTATGCTTTGTAAGAGACTAGCCATACAATGTATGCTAGGTATATATTGGGTGGCACTGCTATATGAACACTTTATCTTCATAAAAACATCCAAGAAGATTACATCATACATGTAATTTAAAAGTTATTTCAATATGAGAGGGTTGCAAGTATATTTTGTAGCACCCTGTACTAGACAGGTGCATGTGAACTCTACTAGCATTTGAACAATTGATTTATTAGATATGATCAGTTCCATGTCGTATTAAATGTCAGTTATACTAGCACTACTTCATGATGTTAAATAAAACGGAAGAAAAAACATGTTATCCTACCACACTGTTCCACAACTAGTTATACTTTGACGGAACGTCAATGTAACAAAATGGATCAACTTCCTTGTTATGAGTTTTTTTTGTTTTCTTGATTTAAACCTACTTATAAGTCAAATTGATTATAATTTCTTTTCTCCGTCAAAGTAACTAGTTGTGGAACAGTGCTACCATGTGGTTTGTTTGATTATTATTTTTTTGTAATAGAAAAGAAATGTACCTGTGCGAGAGTGTCAACTCTTCTTAACATATTGTGCATTTGTTGTTCCTCGTCTGGTGTGAGACACTGCACCTGTAAATACAGTAAAACTTGGTTATTTAAGTGATATCTTTCTTGTCATGATCTCTTACTAGATGAGAACATCTCTCTTGTGATAAAATTCAATTGCTGAAGATCTACTGTAGATTGGGTTAATTTGGCGCTACTTAATTTGGCGATTTTGCCATTTTTGGCATATTGGCGGCTATTTAATTTGGCGGATATGCAAAAAAAATTTAATACAATGTTATACTTGCGCGCTGTTAGCGAATTACTATGTAAATGGGCATGTTCATTTTTTAAAAGTCCTCAAAAGTTGAGGACCACTGGCGATATTCACCACGTTTGTACATTTTTGTGAGATCATCCTTTACATTTTGCACCTTGATTGATGCTGCTACTATACATCACCTTTTCCCTGAGTATTAATGAGTGACTGACCAGTTCTAAGTCAATTTAGGAGAGACATTTTTTCATATTTTTGGAAAAAACTTAACCGGAAGTGACCTAAATACACTTGACGAAATACCCTAGATAATTCCCGGGGATTCATTCTAAATTTTGGCGAAGATTTATATTGGCGAATTTTTCAATTTCGCCAAATTCGCCAAATTAAAGCGGGCGCCAAATTAACCCAATCTACAGTATTTGTTAATGGGAAAATATCTCTTGCTACAATGTTTTATTAGTGAACATCATTCTTATATTAAAATTAGTGAAAGTTTCTCTTGTTATGATATTTTAATTATTATCAGTGAATATCTCTCATGTCACCATCTATTTTCCTTGATTCAAAATTATTTATGGAAATATAATAGATTATTTAGTATGAATTGAAAATACAGTATTTGCAATAAATCATAAAATGTCATATCCCAAATTTCTTAAAGAATAAAAAAATAAACTCACCCCAAAGTCTGAGAGCTGGAGGAGTTTGGCCAAGTTCATGTTCACCTCCAATAGATTGTTCCAATCCAAGAGATCGATCTCTCTGAAAGAAAATCTGTTATTACAAACTTGTAACACCAAAAACTAACCCTCTAAAAAAAGAAAAATAACACCATTCGGCACGATTGGCTCACATAGAGAGAAATGGCAGACATCTTGAATTTTTCCAAAATATTTTTTTCTAAAACTTTTAGGCATTATTGCTGACCTACATTTCACTTATCATAGAGGATTGAAAATGTGCCACCAATATATTCACAGACAGACACACATAAAAGTGGGTGATAATAGTGATAAATAAATCACCCATGTGAGCTAAAAAGTTAGCAATGCAAATTATTTTTCTTTTTAGAGAGTGCAGTATAAAAACTATTGTATACATAATCATATAACATTTTTGAAAATAGAAAATTGAGGTTAGTTTGATATGTGCAATTTATAGGGTTTTGATAAGTAAATTGAAATAGAAGACAATATAGTTTTGACAAATAACACATTTGTTGCATTGTGGGTAATATATAGCATAGTGTTCAGATTGTTGAAATAAGGGATGAATCGGTTATCAGTTATCAAGATATGTAAGACATATTTTTTAAATAATAGAGAAGTGATGTGATAGATTACAAAGGTTGATCAGCACAACAAAATGTATTAGTAATTTACCATATGACCTTGACCTATTAACCCCTAGGGTGAAAAGGTCAACTTGGGTCACAGTAAAAGTTCAACGTGCCTTCGTGTTATAGGAGATCAAGAATGTGCTATCCTGGAACAAAGTTATGGTTTAGTCTACAAGTTCCCAAAACTGGGAAGAAATATATAATCATTTTTGTGAAATATGCAATTATAATAATGTTCAAACTCTGAAATGAATGCTTTCATGCACTTTAAGTTTAACAAGGATATGAGAACACCCATTGAATGCGAAAATTTTTCAATGATTCAACCCATCACATGTATGAAAATAGACCCTTGAAATCAAAATCACTGTAAATGCCATTATAAATTCAACCAAGTATTTATAACTGCAAAAGTTAACATTATGAAATGGACATATATTCAGTTATATAAATCAAATCAAATAACTAAACTTTTGATTACAAAAGAAATGCATGAATTAAAAGAACAGAAATACTAACCCATCTTGAGTAACGTCCAAAATTGTGAACCACTTCTTGCGTTCATCCCGCGACAATTTCAATCCAAGGTCATTTAGTTTTTGTTTGAAAGTTTCGTAGTCAATACTTGAGTTTCCATTCCCACTGCCTTTGCCGTCTGCCATTACTTTGAAAAATCTCTTCATTTGGTTCAAAACTTCAGACATTTGAAGCTGGAAAAAAATCAGATTTTGTTCACGATGCAATGAACCATCCTACCTCATAGAATTAGACGGTGAAACATTTATTACAGAATTTAATAAATCAAAATACTTTAAATGACATTTTTCAAAAAGTGCATGTGCAAAACTTCCTCAGGGTAACCTTAAGGTATAATTTAGACAACTGCACTGTACGGAACATGAACAAATTATTCATGAATTACTTTATTAATGTGTGACTTACAAGAAATTGGGGCCTCCCCAGGGCAGTCAACTTGACGGCACAAAAACCGGTACAATTGGTGGCACCTATAAAATACAAAAGTAACATATATTATATGTATACATACAATATTACAATATATGAGACGCCTACAAACAATAATAATATGTGAATAATATCACTGGTCTCAACAGCAAGAACTTGTGTATATCCCCCTCCCCATTATTCCTTCCTTCTCTCATGCTTAAATGGAGAAACAGAGTATGCAGTATTTAATAGACTTGAATACTATGAGACACGTCTTCACATAACACTTTCTGCAATGAATAAACACAAGGAGCACACATGTCTTAAACTTACAACTTCAAAATCTAAAATCTCATACGCCTAGCACGAAGACCTCTTAGCAATAGTATCGCAATCCATCATGTATTGATCAAAAATACACTTTTTGAGACACTAGTTCATTATGGATAAAGTTGTGATGCTATCATAAACTGAAGATTTCCCCTCCTACCATTCAGATCAACTATTGGTTGCTATAGTATTACTACTGAACTATTGGTTGCTATAGTATTGCTGACTATACCATTGATTTGTATTAATAGGTATCAGTCCTCTTTTTTAATGTAGTCTAGATGAAGTTTAAATCTATTTCTGTTACACCGCATAATATGCCTCAGGGCGTCTAGCTGCTTGATATTATTGTGTTTATTACATAAAAAATTATGAAATAAATTGAATTGAATTGAAAAATTGTTTACAATCCAACCCAATTGATATCTTACGCCATCTATTAACAGTCCTCAAGGTGATTGGTTTGTGTCATATACTGTATAACTAATACAGAATCATTTATAAACAAGTCATTTGTTGACAATCCTTCACAAGGCCTAAAAAACATGACATTATAGACAATAAAAACTTTATAAAAAGCTCATAATGGCTTATTGAATTAAATCAACAAAGATGTAGACTTCTAAACAGTTAGTCAATGCCTAGATTTTTCGACCTGATTATTGGCTTGTTAATCATGAGGTGAGCACGTGAAATCCCTAAGGATATTATTGTGAGACACACTTTTTGTACTTATATATCATAAAAGGTTTAACTGTACCCGTGAACCTAGTCAGTGACTGAGTAGTTTATCATTGCTGTACCACTGGTCCTATTTAAGCAATGAGACCTCTTATAGGACCCTCAAGATATTGTTATAACACACACACTGTTTGAAACTATTTTTGCATTTCTGATATTTCATTAGGTGAATATTCATTTCAATAACATTTCTACATGATAATGATGGCAAAGCTGGAGATAAACATTTTTACAGTGTACGCAGTTGTAATATAAAAACGTTTTTCTCAACATATCACTTCATATTATCTAAAACATGTTGCATTTTGTAGTTTTTCATTTTGTAGTTATGTAGATTTTTATATGAGGCTCAGAGGCAAATGTAAATGTTAATGTATGTATTGTAAATGTTTTATGCTTTAAAAACCCAGTCACTGGGTTTATATTTAATACATCATTGAATTGAAAATGTATTGTATATTTTGAATAGTCAACCTTGTACATGCTTTATTAACTACTCCTCACTAATTCTATTCTGTTGACCCAAATGACACTTCATAGCCACAGTATATTAACATTCATTGTTTAAGTTACTCTATTGTTAAAAGGTTAAAAACACACACCTCGTCCTTTAATTTGGCCAGTTGTGAAAACAATAAATAAATAATGATTAATTTTTTGGCTTAATAATCTTTGGGGATTGTTTAAAACACGACAAAACAATTAGGTCAATGTCAAGGGTGATGACACTTTGTTGGTAAGGGAAGGTCACATTGTCTAAATGCTGATAATTGAAGAAAAATTACGAAGCTAGATTCAATATAAATTAAACCTCCCTCTCCCCCATATAACAATATATGTATTTGAAAATGTTGATTTGCTTACTACATACTTGAAAATCAACAGACATCATCCCTAACTCCAGAACACAAAATATTGATATAAGAGATATAAGATGTAAGAGTATCGCAACCGGCCAAATGAACAGAGTGTAATACATCACGAAGGAGCAATATATAATTCATGTGGATCAATACTGGAATAAAGATAAGTCTACATGCCAAAGAAAGTCCCAAGTAATTGTGAACAATCTCTACTTACAATTTTGATACAATTGATTGATGGGCCTTTTGAGTTGCAGTTTTTAAAGTTGGTATGGTTTGAGGGTTGTTAAGTATTTGTACATCATTGAACTGTTGTTAAGTTATTACTAAGATACTCTGCTTTGATTTAGTGCTTTTTGGTGTAAATCAAGTACAGTAAAACTGTCTAATCCAAATACCATTATACCAGCCAAAGGAGTTTGGATTTGCAGGTCTTCACATTTCAAATTTCTTTAAAGAAAAAAGTGTCTATACTGACAGTTGTTCAGATTCCAAACAAAGGACCTTAAATAATATAACAGTTAAGATAAGATCTTTGCTTCTAATTTGGAAGTCAGTTATAAACTATTACGTGTACATATTTACAATAAATAAAGCAATGTCAAACTCTGCAAAAGGGTGTTAATTGAATACATGGAGACAAATGGCAAATCGACACACCTCCTGAGTATCGACATAAATGAATGTACTCACGCATTTTAAAATAATAGATCTAAACTAATGTCAATGAGAGTGTTTGTGTTATTGATTATGATATCATCTCTCTATTGGATTCTATGTTATGTTCCCTGGCTTTTACCATATACAGTAAAACCTGTATATTTGAACACCCAGGCCCGTAGCCAGGGGGTTCAATGGGTTTCGGGCGACACCTCTCTAGTCCAAACATCTCTTAATGTGAACACTTTTCTGGTCCCATATTTTAAATCTGCCATTGATTTACATGTTAAAAACATTTGATATGTGAACACCTGCAAATCCAAAAACTTTTGGCTAGTCCAAGAGGCATTCAGATTAGACAGGTTTTACTGTATGATTTATTAAGAGTATTGTGCCAAAAATGTTTTGTGATACCTCTGCCAGAGAATATCTCAATCATTTATTCACTTGAAGTAATATCTGCATGTAAGGTCAAACTAACCGACAATGAACTTGAAATAGAAAGAGGTGTGCGCATCAGGAAGACTGTCGCTAGAAAAAATGCATAGAACTGATAAGAGTATACTTTAGATGATTCAAGGGGCTTGATTTTGATTAGTCATGAGAAAACAGTTTTTTTGTAACTAGTTGTGCTTTGATGATTAAAAGTTTACAAGAACATCTCTTTAAGAAAATACTTAAATTCTGCACATATTTTTAAAAAAAGTGGAAATTTACAGTCTTGGGATGTGTGTTAACTATACATTAAAATGTATGTGATCATACAAACACTTCATGAATGTCATAGATCATTTTTTAAAGGGAATTAATTTCGAGAATTACAATTAAAATATTAGGCTTGTATGATTTAATTTCTGAGACTTATTCTGAGCCATTATTTCTTGACACCCTGTACAGTACATACGTATTAAAACATTACCTGCGACTGCATCTATAGACCTCATAAAGGTTTGCATGTTGTAGTCACACTGTGCCTCATCTTCATAGAAATACGTCCTTGCACTGACGACACCTCGACGACGATCTCCAAACTCTTTATGTGGCTTGAACCGACTCTCGGGCCCTTCGGTAATGTCTGGAATATTAGAACAAACAATAATGAACAAAAATATGATTAATTTCATTTTTTCGCCACACATCTCAAATCAAAAATGTCTTTGTTAATTCTTTTGCACAAGTTTTGACTAACTGCATTAAATGAAGTTTCTGAAGTATGCATTATAAGGTTATAAAAAATGGATCAAAGAAATAAATGTTGGCATGAAATGGGTTCTTGCCACTAACCGCCCCCTCCCCCCTCTCCAAACACACATACATAACTATATTGTCCAATGTTGAACTTTTTGATTGAAATCTCAATCAAGTACATGTATAACCATCTTTACCTCACAAGAGTTATCTTTAGTGTCACCTTTTCATTTCTATCATGCAGTAGCAATAAAATCCTTACAATAAATCATGTCCTTTTCACAGACAAGGTGACTTTCTGACTTTGTGTTAGGACTAAATCCAAGTTGAGACAGAATTTTGACATAATTGTTTTTTTTGACATGTCACGAAAGTTTTCTAACCGTAAGAATGAATATTTACACCTTCAGTTATACTTAGAGGTTTGCATACATGATTATCAACCTCTAGGAGTTCCCTACAAGAGGGAGGTATATAATTGCCTGGGTAGGTATACAATTTTTCAGTAAGAATTGCTGTATAAGTGGTATCTAATCAGAGTGGTTAATTTGCCGAATGGTCAAATTTTATCATTTTAATTTTCCTAATGACATGAAGCTTCCTTTTGGATAACATTAGGCCTATGAAGATAATATTTCTGACATCTAATTTTCCAAATCTGGCTAAAATCAAGCAATAGGCAAATTAAATAATTAGGCAAATTGCCACTTATATAGTATTGTCTGGATCAGTTCTCCCCTTCTTTGTTATTTACTTGCCCAAGTGAGTAGAAAGGTATGGGGAAAATAGTAATTAGTCACTGGAAAAACCTAATTGTGGGGGGGTCAGTAATCTCAGGGGGTCATAACATGATATGTTCTTATAATAAAAACATGTAGCTTATTCTACATATTGACTGTGACAAGTACATGTATAGAGATAGTCCTTTTTTAAATCAATAAATTAACTTAGAAAAGTTGATGACTTAACAACAAAAGATATGAATATAAACAACTCAGTTGACATTAATAACATTGTCTGACTGTACTACAAATGTCAGTTTTAAAAGTCATAGTTGATAAATTCATTTGACCTTGGGGAATGAGAGATAAATGTCATACCCTGATACCGTGTGTCTATCAGGAAATCTCTTTCCTCTGAGGAGCACAAATAAATATATTGTTAAGATGCCAATAACATCTTGATAATTACTGATAATTAAATTTACATATGAAATTTTGATTTACAATAATGTAAAATTTGCAAATTGACCCACCAGTGACGATTATATACCATTTGTGAGCAAAATGAACCAAGTTTACAGTAATGTTAAATCTAATATGTACCATTTGAAAGCAAAACAAACATGCTTTACAGTAATATATGATATCAATATATACATACCTGCAGCTTGACCTTCAGCAGGAACACACGAACTGAAACAAAAACATAATTTGTTATTATGAGTTATACAGTTAAACCTGTCTAATCCTGTATGAATACCATTGGGACCAGATAAGAGTTCAAATAAGGAGGTGTTCACATTTCAAGATTTTTTTACATTGAGTCAATGGGAGGGAAAAATGGGAAAGACAAAAGTGTTCAAATTGGGAGGTGTTCAGATTAGCTAGGTGTTTGGATATACAGGTTTCACTATATTATACTATCTAACCTAGTATAACTTGTATAACTGACCTAGAATTTCTCAGTTTATTTTTGTTCCAGGTTACGGTGAACATATATTTCATCAGTGGTAAATACTAGCCATCAAATGGCAGGTGTCTCAGATGTTTGACTATCTTGGCTGATCTCACTTGTCCTTGTTTGGTTTTTAATATACTTCACTGGCGCAGCGGATCCAGTGGGGGACCAATGGGGCCTACCTCCCCCTTGGGTGGGCCCAGAAGAAATTTTTGTAGGGCCTCAATTAGTGGGCATTTTTGGATCTTATCTGGGCTTTTTAGGCCAAATTATCAAAAAGTTGGCCTTAAATTTTCAAAAATTTAGCCAAATTTTGAGACATTTTTTCTGATTGGTAATGTGACCCCTTCCAACCCCTGTTGGCTTCTGCATACACCAGTGTACAGAGATATGCAGAGCAAAAATATGCTTGATGAGAAGCGAGGATGCCTAGATGTTTTTAATTTAAATCATGTGGCATCTGCTTTTACATCATCATTATTACAAAAGGGATGGTTATTAAAACTGGTTGCATAGTTCAATAACTAAGACTTGTTCTAATAACTTCTAACTAAATGCAAATTCTAATTATTCAGTTAAAAGTGATAACATTTTACTGAGAGAGATCTACTCTAAATAAACAGCCGACTATGACATATTAATTGCAATATCTAGTTATGCCTCATTTAAGATTATTGTTATAAAGCACCGTGAACTCAAGTTTAAAATGATATAAGAACAGTGTAACCTTCTATTCATAAGGTGCAGCAAAATAGATTTGTGATCGTTTTTGTAATAAATGAAAGGCATCAGCCAGGGGTCCGTTGATTAAAACTAGAGCCTGGTCATGAACAAGGAAGCCAAATGCTGCAGCCTGAGCCCTGGGAATGCAATAGTACAATGTAATAAATAGGGTTTCTTATTATGTTATGTCAATCATTCGTCCATCTCATTCTAGTTCATGTGTAAATATGTGCGAATGAAGTTAAATAATTTCAGTACACTAGGATATCTTCTTATATTATGACAAATTCCTGGGCCTCAGGCTGCAGCCATCTCATAATATGCAACCCGTGTTGCTTTTCTTTGATAAAGGGGAAATATGATTGAGACAAAAGTCAGAAAAGAGGCAGATCTGGAAATCTTTTGTTTTGAATATTGCTTCCCATGCTTGACCATGAACAAAGTTTGGGTCTTTTTTAAAATAAAAGGCCTTTTTTACACCAAGCGTCATTATTAAATTTCAATACAAGGCCAGGATCTTCTTTGAAAATAAGGCCCCAAAATAGCCAAGATTCCCGATTACAAACAGTATTTAATTTTGAACACTTTTACTCTACTCCAACAAGGTTTCTGATTTCACCAACAAGATAAATGTAGATTCATATACTGTAGATTGGGTTAATTTGGCGCTACTTAATTTGGCGATTTTGCCATTTTTGGCATATTGGTGGCTATTTAATTTGGCGGATATGCAAAAAAAATTTTATCTTTAAACTTACGCGCTGTTTGCTAATTACCATGTATATGGGCATCTTTGGCTATGTTCATCTTTTCTTATGAGGACCACTGGCGATATTCACCACGTTTGTACATTTTTGTGAGATCATCATTTACATTTTGCACCTCAATCGATGCTGCTACTATACCGCGCTTTTCCTTTCTAGTTTTCCCTGAGTATTATTGAGTGATTGACCAGTTCTGAGCCAATTTATGAGAGACATTTTTTCATATTTTGGCAAAAACTAAACCGGAAGTGCCCTAAATAAACTGGACGAAATACCCTAGATAATTCCCGGTGATTCATTCCAAATTTTGGCGAAGATTTATATTGGCGAATTTTTCAATTTCGCCAAATTCGCCAAATTAAAGCGGGCGCCAAATTAACCCAATCTACAGTATCTGACAGGCCCTTTAGATAAATTAAAAGAATTCAGTAACATTTTAAAAATCTACTTATACCGACCAGCTCTCTTTCGTAGATATAGCAACAACAGACACATTTTGATTCAAAATGCTTTTAAAACATACAACCAATAAAAAACATCATGAGTGACAATTATAACCAAATTCCTTAAATGAATTAAGTGGAAGTATCTCATATAACAACTGATCATTATTCAATGAATATCATGCTCAGATGTATCACTCTATCTTGAATGTTTTTTTAAGTTCTACCATGACATGAATTACATTTTTTACTTGGAATGAAATTTTTCAGTTTATATCAGTTATCTAGAAAACTAAAATAGATGTAGATTGATTAAATGTTTTGGAAGGGCTGGCCGTGAATCTAGAATAATCCAATCTTAGCCTGTTGAAGTTATTATGTCTAGGATAACACCTGTCGGTTAAGGGGATCGGCTAAAAAATTTCACATTAAACTCTTTATTCAATAATCTATATTTTGTTAACTCTTTAATAAACATACTATTTGGAACATTTCAATTCCTCATAAAATTACATTTGAAATTATTGAGATCTTTACTCATCAAACTATAAACTCAACTGTAAAAATCAGAGCAGGGAGAGGTGACTCTCTAACAGGAATTCAGGGTAATTCAATATATTCTGAACTCAAGTGATGGAATACACATACAGTAAAAATCAGAGGGAGAGTTGACTCCCCAACAGGAATTCAGGGTAATTCAATATATCCTGAACTCAAGCGATGGAATACACATACAGTAAAAATCAGAGGTAGAGTTGACTCCCCAACAGGAATTCAGGGTAATTCAATATATTCTCAACTCAAGTGATGGAATACACATACAGTAAAAATCAGAGGGAGAGTTGACTCCCCAACAGGAATTCAGGGTAATTCAATATATTCTGAACTCAAGTGATGGAATACACATACAGTAAAAATCAGAGGGAGAGTTGACTCCCCAACAGGAATTCAGGGTAATTCAATATATTCTGAACTCAAGTGATGGAATTCACATGAGCAGGGAGAGTTGACTCCCCAACAGGAATTCAGGGTAATTCAATATATTCTGAACTCAAGTGATGGAATACACATACAGTAAAAATCAGAGGGAGAGTTGACTCCCCAACAGGAATTCAGGGTAATTCAATATATTCTGAACTCAAGTGATGGAATTCACATGAGCAGGGAGAGTTGACTCCCCAACAGGAATTCAGGGTAATTCAATATATCCTGAACTCAAGCGATGGAATACACATACAGTAAAAATCAGAGGGAGAGTTGACTCCCCAACAGGAATTCAGGGTAATTCAATATATTCTGAACTCAAGTGATGGAATTCACATGAGCAGGGAGAGTTGACTCCCCAACAGGAATTCAGGGTAATTCAATATATCCTGAACTCAAGCGATGGAATACACATACAGTAAAAATCAGAGGGAGAGTTGACTCCCCAACAGGAATTCAGGGTAATTCAATATATTCTGAACTCAAGTGATGGAATTCACATGAGCAGGGAGAGTTGACTCCCCAACAGGAATTCAGGGTAATTCAATATATCCTGAACTCAAGCGATGGAATACACATACAGTAGAAATCAGAGGGAGAGTTGACTCCCCAACAGGAATTCAGGGTAATTCAATATATTCTCAACTCAAGTGATGGAATACACATACAGTAAAACCTGTTTAATCTGAACACCACTTTGACAGAGTCTAGAAGAGTTCTGATTAGCAATAGTATGTGTATACATTTCAATGGTTTCTTAATGTGAGTTATGTGAAATGGCAAATTTTGGGCAGAGAAAAAGTGTTCACATTGAGAAATATTCGGTGAAGAAGTGCTCAGATATACAGGTTTCACTTTACACAATTGATCATTTACATATACATACAATCAATTAATATTATTTTAAATGTCCAGACTGAAATACTGCAGTTATTATGACAGTGGGAGGATATTAATGTACTCGATGTTATATGGGTCAAGGCAGATGGTCCAACTTCCTTTCAGAAATCAGTTAAAAATAGAGAGATTTAGATTAGATAAGGGTGCTCGGCTTCACTATGTACTTGCCTTGCATTCCACATGAACACAACAGCTAATATCTCATAACATTCAATTAATCAAATACATCCTTAACAAATGATTATCTAATGAAAAATTGGAATGTTTCATAACCGATAAAATTGATTATTTCGTAACTGATAAAACTGAGTTAAATAGTTGAATCACATTGGCTAGATATCGCATACCTCTTTCTGGATTTTACAATCGATTTCAATTTTTGTCTTATCTTAAGCCATCTAAAATGTGGCTCTCTTGACCGTTTATGCAAGTTTGAATGTAAAATTAATCTTAGCTCGGTAAAAATATTTTAGTGATTTTCTGACTGCAGTAAAACCTGTCTAATCCTTATAGTACTTAAACAAGCCAAAAGTGTTCAGATTAACAGGTGTTCACATTTCAAGGTTTTACTGTATTTGATTCAAGCTCTTGATCCTTACAAGGATGAAATCTATATCATCAAACCATTAATTTATTTATATAAGAGTGCAAATGAAAATTAACTACTAAATACGTATAAAACACAGTATTGTGATTTTCTGGCCACATGTTCTGATTTGAAGATTCTACTAGATCAAACAATTATCTCTTATTTAGAGTATATAAAATTGATTTCTGCCAAAGGGTTAAGTTTTACTGTACTTACTCCATTTCCTGTTTTGTTGCTTCCTCCGAACTCAGATCTTCTTCTACACTATAATCCAGGATTGATTTTACACCAAACTTCAAGTTGCGTTCTACCAATGGCTTGACCATTTCTTGGTCCTCTCCTGCCACAAAATGGCCGTAGAATGAGCCCTTCATGACGCGGCAGAAGAGCCGTCTTCCCAGAAGTCTCCTTGCAAGACGTATCAACTGGAAAGTAAATACTTTTTGTTTAAGTTTTTAAAAGTATTTGGATTAAGGTTGGTGTAGTCTTGCCCCAAGACTTTATACCACCCCCCACCCTGTGTACTTCACCTTTTCAACAACTGTAAAGCAAGACTAAGGTTGGTGATATAGAATATAAAAACATACAAAAACTTATAAGGAAGACATTTGTTTTGCAGGATGGACCGAATAATTTCAATAATCTCCATTTACATTTCTGAATGAGGTGATATTACAATCTACCATCATTTGTTCTTGACGCTATGTAGGTGCTCTATAGAGAAATATGCTAAGTGAGATTTATTGATTGTGCTATATGCAGCTTTCTGAAATTTTGGAAAAAACAAGGTACCCTGTTTTTAGTTTTATGGAATTAAATCCAAAGTGAATATTTTTAATAACAAGCAGATAAATAGCAAATAAGTAACATAAGCTGATATATAATATAGTCTGGTCTGATTACAATGGGAGACTGTACTACTAATATGTATACAGTATTTGAATATACAAGGTCTGAATAAACAATTTTCCAAAGTTGATATTTATTCAAGGCAAAGGCAAACCTTCTTGTGGCATTGGGCCATTGACCGTGTTATGAGTTTCTTCACTTTCTGCTTTAAAGTGTTGGGGTGAAGGTCAAATGTTGGGGAGTGAAGACACACCCCTTAATCAGGGGTGCGTTACCAGTCTTTTACCTCTACCCCTGGGGTGTCTACTAGTGTTGTCGCGATAAATCGATACATCGCCAAAGCTGATTCTGGCGATGCATCGATGTCTGAAACAAAACATCGATGTTTTTAAAAAAAATTAATTTGCTAAAAATCACCCTTTCTTATCTTATTTTGACGCGAATCGCTTACCTTTCTCATGTCTTATTTCATTTTCCAATGTATTTCAGTGCACTTTTCTCGGACTTTTTCTCGATGTACATCGCGATGTGCATCGATGTTTACTACTGAAAATTACCGATGCATCGATGTACGATTATGGCACATCGCGACAACACTAGTGTCTACCATGACTATTATTCCCAGTGGAATATCATGTGTGTACCATTACCAGAAATGTTAACTGAATAGGGTTGTTGATTCCAGGATACATGGGTTCCTATCATGGGCTGTATCCCTCCCTCTATGGGTGTGTTACTTGAATTGCTTCTCCCAGGTGTTATTTTGTTGGTTTACAATGGGGCATGCGGTAGTTGCAATATAAGAGGCCCTTTCTACTTAAGTCATATAATACATTATGAAGAGTCATAATAGGCAAATATTTAATACTTTTATATATGCCAAATTCCAATAACAAAACTTATAGGTCAATCAAGGCCACTTATATAACATCCCTAAAGTAGACTGCTTTTAAATAATAATACATATACACTGTACTTTTGATAGTTAAATAAAAGAATCACAATAATTTGATATTTCAACTTCAGCTATTTCTAGTTATAGTCGGTTTCAGGCTAAAAATATGAATATAATGAGGAAGTCTACTCAAACAGATAAATGTATAAATATATATGTTAATATATTTAAATTATTAATACCAATCCAACCAGGGGTTAAACTGCATGACTGACATAAAATAATTATGATTGAAATGAGGCCCGGGAAATGAGGTTGCCTTTGAAAACTCACAAGTTGTTCTTTTTCTATACCTATTGAATATTTGTGAAAACTATTGTGTAATTTCATACACCTATTTTTAATGTCATTGCGTTACCATTTTTTCATGAAAACTATATACTGTAATGTATGTATGTAATTGACTTAAATACTGAAATATATTATTACTGTTATTAAAAAATTAAACTATTTAAGTTATTTACACCAATTCAATTAATCTATTGGTTTTTAATACCGATTCAATTGATCTATCTAAGTTATTAATACCAATTTAATTAATTCAATCAAGATAAGGTAATAAGTGTCAGATTATGAGGTACATGTACAAGACCCTTCAAAAAGTGAGGTAAAATGTGTACAGGCGTCTGAAGTAAGGATTGGGACATTCAGGGGTGTCCTAAGAGATTCCTGCACACATATACGCATACTTGTATTACTAGCTGTCATCTGTCACAAAGAAAAACAGTATTTTTCACGAGTTAAGATTATTAATTAAAAAGACACCAAACTTATCAAGAACAGCATTGATCCGAAATTTAACTCTTTGGGTGCACCTCTAGTATGATGGCAGGGGGCAAAGATCCAACACTGATAAACTCGGCATCTGAAACTATCTAGAATTACTTCGGTCCAAAGCCTTCTCTATATTCCGGCTTTGAGTAGAAAGATTGAGCTGCCTTGGTATTGTAAATATTGTAAATCATTGTGTCACACGCACAGTAAATACGGCATAATAATATGAAATATACCTCTATGTATAGATTTGAGAAACATCAGCACACATCTCCGTCTGAATCTATTGTTATATTTGATTTCTTTAAGCGAGAATAATTTCAAAGTTTCCTCCATTCGGAACCGGAAGCCATTTTTAGCTACAGCGAGAAAATTTCACCATGTGTCAAACTCCGAAAAGAAATTTTGAAATATCGAAATCCAGACAAGCAACGTTTCATCCTAAATATAATTACGTAAAGGCTAGAGTACCGACAATTGTCGGTACTCTAGACTCTGATGTGGTGGCACGCTAGAGGACCGACAAATAAATTGTCGGTACGGGAGATATGCTGTGTTTACACGCTAGAGGACCGACAAATATTAATTTTCGAATTTTCTGGCGCATGCGCAATGCGCGGTGGGATATTTCAGATATCATACGGATATTTTGGGAACAAGTGCAAAACCCGGGGAGGGCATTAGCCCCGGTTACCCGGGGATTACCAAACCCAGTCAAAAAATGGTAGCCCGGGAACAGGGAATGGTAGTAAACGTTGAAAGGCCCAATAAAAAACATGAACAAGTAAGACGTTAGAGAGCTATTAATGCAGAGTAAACGGCTATATATATTCTAAACAGACAGGATATTTCTCCTGAGCCGACAAGGCGTAAAAAGGGGCGTTTGCTACCCATTAGATAGAAGAAAATAGCTAGAATGTTTTTTATTTGAAGCTTATGGTATGAGGTTCCATATCCATCCGCCAAAAGGTATAACCCCTATATAGTCCATTTAAAAACCTGTGGTATCGTTCTAAATAACCCATAGTTGGCTTCTCTTTCTAGGGTACCTAGTATGCCACTATTTGGTGTCAAAATAAAGAGGAGTTCAACTTTCATTTGAATTACGAAAATAGCGATGTAGGTCAAAATAGTTCCGAACGTGAGCATGTTTACTACGCAATAAACGGACGCTGATATCTCAAAAAGTAACCTGACTCCCTATAATTTGATGTAGGTCAATCGAACCCCTATATGGACCGGTGCATTTTGATATGTAACACTATGGGGGGTAAGCGTTTCATAGTTGGTCACGAACGCCATATGTGCAAAGTATTGTTATGAATTTTCGAATTTGGTGTTGGATTACGGTACTCATACCTTATAGCACAATTTTTGATGGAAGTTGCATTTGGCTCCCTTAGTTAATGGCCACGATTCCATCTCGCATGAGAGAGCTACCAAACGCAAAGTAAACAGTGATATATTCCAAATGAGATATTTCTCCTGTGCCATGGCGTAGTAAGGGTAGAGAGCGACGGGGGCGAAAGCATCCCCTCCCCTAACTGTATATATCGACCCATTAGATAGAACAAGAAAAGAGCTTTAAAATGTTTTTTAATTGAAGCTTGTAGGACAATTTTGATGGAAGTTGAATCAATTTTTGTCGAAATAAATTATGGCTCACTACAAATTAATGCCTGTACGATTCCATACTGCAAAAGAAGCACTATGCCCCCCCCCCCTCAAAAGAAAAAAGTAGGTCTTGCCGGGATTCGAACTCGGGACCGAGTGTGTTCGAGTCGTGCTCGCTAACCACTAGGCTACCAGTGATGAGGTTATTTCTAAATGTAAAAGTAGTGCATTTATTTATGAAATTGTCGGCTCTCTATCAAAAACACGTAGCAGCCACTTGCGTACCGACAATTGTCGGTTCTCTATCTGGCACTACTAGTTGACGATAGAGTGCCGACAATTGTCGGTACCCTAGCAAATACCCCTGGACAGTCTCCAGTACCGACAATTGTCGGTCCTGGAGCCACTCCGATATAATTAATATTCTTCAAAATATTTATAAAATTTATTAAAAATGATTTCTAGGTGCGTGTAGCAATTTTTACATACAAAATACAAGTACATACGAAATCAATGAAGTTACATCTAGCTGTAAGCTAGAGACTCGAGTAAATCTAGAACTAGACTATTGTAGCCTCTTTGCCCAACACAAATATACCAAACCCTAAAAATCCTTTCCTTTCACTAAAATCCATTGACCAATATGTTCCAATGTAGAATTTTTCATTCCTTCCTCAAATATATTTTACACAACTGACCCCTGAAATATTCTATCAAATCTAAAATTGTGAATACACAATGATTTTTACCTCTCGATTTCTGTTGACAATAAACTCATAGCTGCATAATTTATAGACGACTATGGCTCTGATCAGTTCCCAAGTTGTCTTGCTCTTATACGCTTCCTGGGCGCTTGTAAAGCTAAGATCTAATCGGCTAAACACATCATCTTTTTCCACATGTTTCGAAACAGATTCAAATTTCCGAGGTGAACTTTCACTATCATTACCACTGTTTTCAACTTTTAAATCGGCTGCTACTGAACTGGACTTCAGTCGTGTACTGTTTAGATGTAACAAATCCTTGTGTTTGTAGTTCGATATCGGTTTAATTCGGTGCAATTTGTTGAGTATTCCGGAAAATTGTTTAAATGGAGCTGCCATGTTGTCTTCTTGCTCTTGTGTGTTCACGCTCAATATTTATGAATGAGTGACGTCAGAATGTAGGTGTGGCTAAAGGACACGTGATATAAATATTTACTATAACCACGTGGTTGGTTTGGCATCATTTACAAATATCATTCTGTTAATCATTAACATTTCAAATATATTATATAACATGCACAAGGTACCTCCTAATCAGGTGCACATAATCTCATCTTTTTCATGGTCTTTCATGGTTGACTAGTTGACCCTTGGAAATGAATCCCAAGCATCCAAAAGACATATCTAACAACCTCTTCTCAAACGGTTGATAAACCATTATCACAAGTAAAATCCAATTATCCATTTTGACAAATCAACTATCCTTTAGGGCCTAAATTGGGTTCTTTGGGGTCCTCACATTCCGACTACCATGCATAATTTATCATAGTATTACTCAAGGCCCGAAGACAGCTTTTGGGGAATCCCTGTAATTTAAATATTGCACTTGTTTAATCCCCTTGGATAGGGCCTTTATCCTGGGGCTTGTACCTTATATAGGGATGCCCCCCCCCTCCGGAATGCCTAGAACCCCATAGTCATTATTAGCTCAGAAGAATTTGGTACAACTCCCAGTGATAAAATAAAGACTCTAAGATTGGAAGGGAAAATGTGTATTTTACTTGATACTTTCCAGTTCATTATTTGAAAAATTTATATAATTTCAAAAATATTTAGTGCAAGACATAAGTCATAAGGAGGTGAAAAAAATTAAAAAAGAAAACCTTTATGTCATATATTGTATTTCAAGTGGTTAATACACATCCCTTGAGTTCACATGAACACAGACTTGGTAGGTGGTATGACTTTTTAATCCAAGACAATACTGAAGTTGAAATACATCATCCTCCATACACAGGGAAAATTATGTTTGTTTCAGTCTAATGGTCAGAAGTGATCTAGCTCTCAAGATAAAGAGCTCTTTTCAAGACACATTAGTCGTTAGTGCGTCCAATCATGGACTTTAAGGTCTTTAAGGTCCATGGTCCAATAAAAGGCCTATGTCATGGGCGTAGCCAGGGGGGGTGCGATGGGTGCGATCGCACCCCCCCCCCTAACCTTTGAAAATATGACCATTGGATAGAGGAAGAACAGAGCTTTAAAATGCTTTTTATTTGAAGCTTCTAGCTCAATTTTGAAGGAAGTTGCATCAATTTTTGTAAAATTCAAAAGAAATCTTAATTTTTTGTGTTGCTTATGCCAAAATCGCACCCCCCCTGACAGAAAACTGAAATTTTTTCGGCGATCGCACCCCCCCTGACTGAAAGCTGGCTACGCCCCTGCTATGTAACCATATTTCAAGGACCTTGCTACCACTAAGAAATTGAAAAAAAAGTAATATGACTGAGACAAATCCAAAAGTGTTTCTCACATTGAAAAATATAATCTACAGCCTGTAGCCTAATGTTAGCTTATGTTTCTAAGACTAATAATTATATTCTATTCAAATGAGCACATTATAAAACTGTATATACAGCTGTATTAGTATAAGTGATTTTAGACTTTATGAAAATATAAGCACAAGTGTAAGCACAGGTGAAAAACAAGCAACACAAGACCACTTAGGCCATAAGAAGTAGATTCTTTTTTTTGCGTCCCCTTGCTTGCATGATATTGAATAAATCAAAAAAACACATCCAAATAGCAATCACAAGGGTCTGAAAGTACCATTGCATTTCGTTCAATCAGAATCAGACGATATGGTGGATAATATGATATGCCTCAAAATTGACAGTGTTATTGATTACTTTGGCATACATTGTGTATTTTCTTATTTTGTACCCTTGAATAATAGCTTTGTTTAAATATATTGTATAAAATGTACAGATGGTATTTGTTTGTAATCACTGCAAATTGGTATGTCATCACTTTTAATGCCCATAAAATGTATACATTTCTCAGCAAACAAGTTTGTGTTTTTTTCTTGAGTTTGTGTTTGTTTTCCTTCTACCCTTGCATGATTTGGATTTTGCCAGGACGCAAAACAAAGAAATTACTTCTTATGGCCTTAGCGCCATTAAGCGCATAAAAGGATACAAACAAACATCAAATTCTATCACTGTTGAACTATATATCTGCTTCAATGTGTGCTTAATAGCCTTTTGCAGATTATTGACATAGACTAGACATTGACAATGAATCTATCACATCAAAAAGAAGAGTGTGCTGCGTTCGAATTTGTGTCGTTGTTTGTTTCGTTTTTACCATTCCACGATTCTGAGTTTTACATCCAATTTGCGTCACTTCCGGAAACAAATATTTCGAAATATTTTGAACAAAATTACTCATTTTTTCGAATAATCAGTCTATTATCGGACTCTTGATATATCTTTTTAGTAATATTTGTAAAATATGAGTTCCGGAGCGGGCGATGGAGCCCCTCCCTCGTACGAAGATGTGGTAAAAGTAAGTATATTTTGAATTTAAAAATATATGTTTTGTTTTGAGACCAACCCAAATCAGAAAAATTGACATATAGATTCTATTTTGACTTTATTCAAAAGTCTATACATTCAGACACATTATGTCACCAGTCTTATTAGTTTTTGTTATATTACATACATTTGGATACATACTGAATTACTTCTAGTTGCAGTAATTTCATGATTCATCTGGCCATGTCAGATATTGATACAGAGATATAGATCTACAGTTTGCACCATAATAAAACGAGAAAAGTAAAATTTGTAATTCAAGTAAGCACTTTGAAGTTTGAAAGTAAACAAACAATATAATATTTACCAGGCATCAACTTACCAATATGTTCTATGACCTCCAGCGCCCTAGGTTACTGTACATGGTAAAATTCAGCCAAACATGACAGTGTAGGTAGCATCATACCGATATAAATATTTATAGCGTGTGGTAAAATTTGGATTGTCCATTTTGCCAGTCACATGTTTGATCAAATGTCTGGTTACTGTGTGATCATGTGACGCATTGCCATTGACGTGTCACTCAACCATATCTTCAAATAAAGTTATTAATTTATAAGTAAATGTTTTTTGGACATCTGCTGCTGAATATAGAAGAGAATGTTCCGAGAAAGCGATGTCAAATATTGTAGGAAGGGTGGCTGAGGCTACCAGCTATCAATAATCAACTTTATGGAAGATATTATGCTAGGAAACTTATTTATTGATCCATAAAGACCTGAAATGATTCATTGAAATAAGATCGCCTATCAATTAAAACGCTAAGTTGAGCAATGTAACCTAGGGCACTGGAGGATATCAAACCTATATAATGTATAAGTATATACTTTGTTAACATAATATTTTTTCCTTCTTAAGGTCAAAAAAGGTCAAAAAGTTCTTTTTTAACTTGCTTCAAATTGACCAATTTTTTTTCAAAATCATCCACAAGTTCTCAACAGTTCAAATCTGACTATAGATTTGACCTTAAATGACATTCTTAAGGTCATAATAGATTTGACCCTTTAATGACAAGGTCAAAAAGGTCAAAATGTCCTCAAGGTCAAAAAGGTCTTTTTTTATTTTTATCTTGCTTCAACTAGGCGGTGATATTTTGTCATATTGCCTTGTTATTTGTTTCAGTCCACCCCTAATGAATATAATCCGGCATATGGAGCACCAGGTGGTCAAGTCCCACCCACAGGACAAGTTCCCTACCCCCCACCTGCGGGACAAGTTCCTTACCCCCCACCTGCGGGACAAGCTCCTTACCCCCCACCCACAGGACAAGCTCCCTACCCCCAGCAACCTACAAGTGATGCCCAAAGGCCTTACCCTGTTCAGCCACCCCCTCCTCCAGGATATGGGGTACAACCAAACTATATATGCGGAGCACAACCTGTTAATTATGGGAACAATGTCTATTCAGGGCAACCGGTAAGTTACAGATTTCCCCCTAGCAATATTCAGTAAAAACTGTCTAAGTGGAACATCCTTAGTACCTTCATCCTACTTGTAGAGGTTAAGTCAGTTAGTCTTGGGACTCTGCAGTGTTTCACTTTGAGGTGTTCACCTTTACAGGTTTCACTGTAATTATAAAATTTATATCAGGGATGAAGCTCGAGTATAGGCGAGGTAAATTTGACAAGTGAGGCAATTTCAAGATAAAGAGAAATAAACCTACTATTTGAAATAATCACAATTATATAAATAATTTTATGGTATAACTCAAGTTTATGTATATTTTTATGTTATTTTTTGTGAGGATGTAGTCACAATACAGAACATCTAAGTTAATTTCCATGTTATTTTGTAGGGTGTAGTCACAATAAGTTTATTTCCATGTTATTTTGTAGGGTGTAGTCACAATACAGAATACCCAAGGTCAAGTACTTAATTTCCATGTTATTTTGTAGGGTGTAGTCACAATAAGTTTATTTCCATGTTATTTTGTTGGGTGTAGTCACAATACAGAATACCCAAGGTCAAGTACTTAATTTCCATGTTATTTTGTAGGGTGTAGTCACAATAAGTTTATTTCCATGTTATTTTGTTGGGTGTAGTCACAATACAGAATACCCAAGGTCAAGTACTTAATTTCCATGTTATTTTGTAGGGTGTAGTCACAATACAGAATACCCAAGGACAAGTACAAACTCAACCAATGGGAAATTACAGAAAGGTATTGTATGAAATACTTCAAAAATATTTAAAACTAAAAAGTATTATTCCTGATATGGTCTATTGAATGGGTCCAAATGATAATTTGGACGTGCATAAGGGCCCAGTTTCTCTATTTCTGGAAAGATCATTGAGCTAACATGTATAGTATGGGGTGATTGCTAATGGTGAACAGTTTAGATTTATAAGACGGAAGAAAAATACCATTGTGAATTTGTCTGTAAATTTGATTTTCAACTTTTCAATGAAATAATCATGGGATTGAATGTCCAAAGACATCTTTGATCAAGTGCAATTTGAAATCAACATTTTAACATGTGAAACCTACCCCAAGAACAATGAAATAAAATATTTAAAAAATGTTCAAGTAAAATGCCAGATCTCCATGGATATTGAAGAATGTTGTAAGTGATCTGTTATCATGGTCCTGAGGGAATCCTATAAGGGGTCTACATATCAATTTCTGTCAGCTGGTATTTTTGGAGGGGGTGGGGATCGATGATACAGGGTCATTTGTTAGATGACGCCATTGCCTTTTTGATGTATAAAAATGACTATTTGACCATCATTGAGATTTCTTTATTTCATTTTAGTTGTTTGGATTTTAAATTTTAAATACATCAGTTTAATGTGCCTATTTTCATCAAATAGAAAATGTAACCAATAACTCGCAAAAAGAGAAAAATTGAAATTGAAATTTTATTCCTGAAATAATGTACTTTCTTTTATTATTTGATAGAGAAAGGTAGAGCTGACTAAATTGTAAGGTGTTTGAACAGTCAAATGTAGATGTGTTTACTTAGTTCTGTAAACACATTCATGAGAGATTGGTGAAACATATTGATCCAAGGAATATAAAGTTCTTATGTAATATCAGAAACCTTTTGATAATTGAAAATGATTTTTTTCACAATTTGAATGCAGTAGCATATGCAAACACTTTTACTTTCTGGAAATATGCAATGAAAAGTGAAATTCATTACAGCAGGTGGTTCATTGTAAAATAAATTAAGATCATGAAAAAATTAAGAATTAAATTCACTTATTTATTAACAAGGGTATTTACAAACAAGTTTACCTTGTAGGAAAACATTTCATTTCATCAAAGAATAGTCTTGCACAGGACCATTACACATAGCTACATAACCTAATCTTAGTAAATTTAGTAATAATTAATCGACTTTTCAAATCACAAATTCGAAATAAAAAATGCTGCGGAAAATATTTAAATCAAAGTCGGAGGAAGCATGGAGGGAGAAATACAGCCCCAAGGCTTTGATAGACTATTATATGAAGTACTATTTGGTATGTAAGCTTCGAAGTACATAGTTATTTTATGCTATATCACCACATAGTGTGGGGCCATATTGTCGGCCTAGGCGCGTCCGTCTGTCCGTCTGTCTGTCCGTCTGTCTGTCCGTACGTCCGGCAGTTTTCTCCAAAACCGCTACAGATATCACCTTCAAATTTTCAGGGATAACTTATGAGTGCATACAGATGTGGATGAAAAAAAATTAACTCGATACCTACTTCCTGTCGGCCATTTTGAAGTCAAATGCTAAAATCCTTGTCTGCAAACTTTAAGAAAAACTGCTTCACAGTTGCTTTTAAAACTTTAACATCTTGTTCAGCTCACTTCATTCTAGATCTGATTAGGTTTTGGACCTGCTAGCTCAGTCATGTCAGCCATTTTGAATGTCTTAAGAAAAGTTAGCGCGCGATAATACTTTGTATCATATTGAATGGTGTTTTTGAGTTTTCATACTTTAACTATTTAGTAGCTTTATAAATAATTTCAGATGTACTTTGCTGTAAAAGACTACTTTATTGTTAACAGTAGTTATATGTGATAATTTTGTAAAAAGAAATCAGCAAAAACTCATAAGGACTTTTTTATTGTCGGCCATTTTGGATTTTTCGGTCCTAAAATCTTGTCTGTGAAGTCTTGTCTGCGCGTTTTCAGGTGAACCGTTTGGTGGATCAATTTCAAATTTTCAGGGATGATTCTTAGTATAAAAATCTAGATCTCATTAGTTTTTTGGCATTCTGGGTAAATGTCAAGGCAGCCATTTTGGATTTTCCGTCCTAAAATCTTGTCTGTAAAGTCTTGTCTACTCGTTTTCAGGTGAACCGTTTCGTAGATCAATTTCAAATTTTCAGGAATGATTCTTAGTATGAAAATCTAGAACTGATTAGTTTTTTTGCATTCTGGGTAAATGTCAAGGCAGCCATTTTGGATTTTCCGTCTTAAAATCTTGCCTGTAAAGTCTTGTCTACACGTTTTTAGGAGAACAGTTTGATAGATCAATTTCAAATTTTCAGGGATGATTCTTTGTATGAAAATCTACATCTGATTACTTTTTTTGCATTCTGCGTAAATGTTAAGGCAGCCATTTTGGATTTTCTGTCCTAAAATCTTGTCTGTAAAGTCTTGTCTACCCGTTTTCAGGTGAACCGTTTGGTAGATCAATTTCATATTTTCAGGGATGATTCTTAGTATGAAAATCTACAAACAGATTAGTTTTTTGACATTCTGGGTAAATGTCAAGGCAGCCATTTTGGATTTTCCATCCTGAAATCTTGTCTGTAAAGTCTTGTTCACATGTTTTCTGGTTAACTGTGTGACGGATCAATTTCAAATTTTCAGGGGTGGTTCTTAGTATGAAAATCTAGAACTGACTAAATTTTTGGCATTCTGGGTAAATTTTAAGGTGGCCACTTTGGATTTTCCGTCCTCAAATTGTGTTGGTAAAGTCTTGTCTACTCATTTTCAGGATAACCATTTCACGGGATCACCACTTGGTGGGGACATTTTGTACACATTTGTGTTCTTGTTTTCTATGTTAGGAAAATGTCCTTGTCAAGGGGTCCATTTCTAGTTAATACAGACCACAAATAGGCCATTCTTGGCAAGAAATTTCCATATGAAATTCCCTGGCTTTTTGACTTCTTTCATATATGGGTGCTTATTAGAATGGTCTGAAGAAGATATTTTGAATTTTCTAAATAGCCCAGGTTAGGTGCTTATTTGAGAAAATATGGTACGTCTTCTCAAAGAAATATCACCCGTCACTTAGAGTCTTCTTTTATATGTAGAAAATCCCACCTTGCTGCAATTATTCATCACTTTTTTTTTTTTTTATCACTTATTTGATAAATGATGTGTATAATATTCCTGTTTCATTTAATTTCAGGTTAAATTCTGGATATGTGTCATCTTTGGTTTTATTGTTTTGATTGCGATTATTGTTGCCATTATAATACGGTTGAACTGAAGGTCATGTAATTTTAGGTATCAAAAATGAAAAAGTTGACAATTCAATACACACTCAAACAAATTTTGAGAAATCAAAAGCTTGTCTTAAATATTTTGGAAGGTATGTCTATATATTTACAGTAGAATTGGGTCCTTTACCATCCCAAATATGAAAAATTATAAAAAATATGACATTCTTATCTGATAGGGAAAATATCACATTCAGATATGACTTCTTTCTTCAAAATCATTAATTTTAGGGGATTTGTAACTTTTTTTCTAGATACTCTGTATCTTATCATATCTGTTCAACTTCCATATAATGCTGGTCCGCATTTGTTCAATCTAGTCCCATTAACTATTTAGTATTTAACCTGTATATCAATGTAAGGTATCAATTTGTTCACTGGAAGCCAACATCTGTTCAATGCTGGTTCATATCTATTAATTGCTGGTCCAAGACTGGTTTCTTTTGATTTGTTCATATAATTATTTATATATTTATTTATTCTCAACTGCTGGTTAACATCTGCTCATCTTTGATTGTGGTGTGGCATTTCATTTGTGGTCCATATCTGTAAATTGATAGTTCCAATCTGGTCGAATACATTGCTGATCCACATCTGTTCGCTGCTCGTCCACATCTGTTTGCTGGTGATCCACATCTGTTTGCTGCTGGTCCACATCTGTTTATTGCTGGTACAAATCTGGTCACTGCTCAACTACCAGGTCAGTGAATGTGCAATCAAGATGAGCATGCAAGCAGAGATAGTGCTTTTAAGTTTAAATGTGCAATCAAGACGAGCATGTTTTTACGATAGTGCTTTTAATGACATTTACAGATGCGATAGCAGAGTAGTGTTAAGATATGATAAGGTTTTGGACATGCTGGATAAATAACTTTGTGGCCATTTTGAATTTTTCGAAAAGATAGTGTGATGTTTATCACTAGGCATAGACGTAGCCAGCACCCCCCCCCAACCATAACCATTAAAAAATAAAACATTAGATAGAGGAAGAAGAGAGCTTTAAAATGCTTTTCATTTGAAGCTTTCAGCTCAATTTTGAAGGAAGTTGCATCAACTTTTGTAAAATCCAAATAAATCTTATTTTTTGGCTTTTTTATGCCTCAATCGCTCCCCCTGATTGAAAACCAAACTTTTTTGGTGATCACACCCCCCCCCCACCTGATTGAAAGCTGGCTAGGCCCCTGCTAGTTTTAGTCACCTGGATTCATGAGTTGGCTTCTCAGAGATTAATAAAGGAAATGCTGGTTCATCATGCTAAAAACATTGTGCTTTGCTTACTTATAATTATATGTTTGTGCTTTCATAATGTATAGCTTGCGATTTAACTCTGATTTTTAACATGCTTGGCAGTCTTGGCTGCACAGTCACTGGTCGGTTACAGGATTGATTGATGCGCATTACAATATATTTCAAAATAGCAAACAGGAATCTCATAATTCGTACTATATTTTTGTTGTTTTTCCATTGGATCAAAACCCCTTTTCATGGTTTTGAATTTTCTAGCCACATCAGTGCTCTTCCTAGTCTATGATGCCCCAGTCATACAGAATCGTCCACTACTAAGTGTACAATGACATGAATTGCATGAAAATACTGTATTTGTATCTATTTAACTGGAGTCTAGCAAAGGACCTAGTATAAAAAGTCATTGTTATTATGTAATATTTCACTAACAATCGTACAGTTTACTTTAAATGTAATTGCTTGTTAATGCCTTAATCCTAGTAGACCAATCTGTCAGAAAATGTTTCACTAAATTGCTCTCACTCTGACAGTGGTTATTTTGGGTTATTGGTGACTTATTTTCTTGTTACCGTTCAGCTGTTTTACTGTTAAGCTTAAATATTTAATTTGATTTTTTGGACAAAGTGTATCTCAGAGTATGTAATTTTGAGCTGTGTTTATGAATCTCCTTAAATGGAAGATCACATATTAAATTTTATACAGTAAAATGGCAAACTGGCAAAAATAATAAATTATGACTTCAGGGCCAATAATGCATTGCCTCGGCCCTAGCTGAGTTTGTTAAACATGTGTTGATTATATTGATAATAAAAACCTTTAAACCTAATGACTTTTACTTTTACATTGTACTATTCCTACTTATTTGAAACTGTTTTTTACTCTTTTACAGAAGGTGTGTATCATTGTATTTACATTTGTGATCATCATGGTGATATGTATGATATCATTCCTCACCATGTGGTAACCTAGCAACGCACAATGATGACATAGCAACAGAAAAATGAGTAAGTGCCATTATTTTTGGAGTTACTGGTGGAATTCATGAATATTTTCGATTCTCTATCAGTGTATGGCTAAAAACGATCATGTCTGAATTTTAGTAAAAAGGAATTCCACCTATTGATGAAAGGAGTAGATGATATTCCTGAAGACTGTATCTTGGAATAAAAGTAAATAGAACGAGATCATTTATCATTGAAATCATTAGCAACAGTTGGATTTTGGTTGTTTCAGCTATAACTCAGTTTTGATATTTATTACAACACCTCTAAGAAGTTGTTCAAGCCACCATTTTTTGTAACAATTGTTACTCTTTTGTAACCATTTGTAGGTGGTTTTACTGCCTTTTAATGCTTTGTTTTTGATGTTTCAGATGATGTTATGATTAGACAATAATCTACGCAGTTATACACTGTAAATGGTCTAGCAGCGTGACGTTTAACACAATAAATTGGACATTATGACTAGAGACCCCTTAGAAGCTTCATAATAAGTTAATAACTACCCATAAAGTTATAAAATATGTTCATTTGAATAAATAGCCATCATACTCCTGGTGGTTGAAAAAAGTCTGCAGTTAATCTGAACTGAGGAATCAACTAAATAACATCCACGTCGTATAGTTAAACCTGTAAAGTGAAATCAAGTAGGAACCCATAACTGAGTAGGAACCTCTAACTGATTAAGAACCGATAACTGATTAAGAACCCATAACTGAGTAGGAACCCATAACTGATTAAGAACCGATAACTGAGTAAGAACCCATAACTGAGTAGGAACCCATAACTGATTAAGAACCGATAACTGAGTAAGAACCCATAACTGAGTAGGAACCCATAACTGATTAAGAACCGATAACTGATTAAGAACCCATAACTGAGTAGGAACCCATAACTGATTAAGAACCAATAACTGAGTAAGAACCTATAACTGAGGAACCCTTATAAGAGATTTGATGAACAGCCAAGACTTACAAAAATCGTGTAGCATAAAACATAATCTACCCTTTGTGGATCAGTAGAAAAACATCTATACTCTGAGGAACCCTAAAATGGCTTAGAAAGGAGGACCCATATTGAACTTACAAAATACACAATTGTGGGACACACATCTTACAATGATTGGATATGATCATTATGATAACCTGAAAACAGTGTTAATATGATGACGCGATTGTGGGACATGTATTTTATAATGGTTGGAAAACATCATAATAATGACCTGAGGACAGTGTGTATATGATAACATGTACAAACAAAATACAGATGAGCTATTACAATGTTTTCTATGGGGTACAGATATCCAGAATGCAGTAGAATTTTACAATGGAATGATTATACTCGTATCATTTATATGTAATAATACTATAAAGTCCAATATGTTTTTATAAGGTTGGGTATAAAGGACACCCTTGTGAGTTGTTTCATATAGCAATGAGCATAATTCAAACCGTTTCTATGATAATTTATTCTGAATCATGTCTTTCTTTGTATCAGCTGATATTATTTAACAAGATCTGTATACTCAATTAATAAACAGCATAATTGGTTAAAATATGCAATGGAAGATTGCAGTTATCATGCGTACATTGTGGCTGTGTGGTGACGAATGCTTCTACTGAAGTGAGGAATTAAGTCAAGCATGACAGCTTCGGAACCATGATTTGTTGAGCAATTTTAAACGAGCAACAACAACTTTTTATTTTAACCCCATTTGACTCTATTCATATACTATCCATAGCTGTAACGTCATCACCCTTGGTATACGCAGCTAACGATAATTGACCGGTACGGGTCAAAAGCTGGACCGGTACGGGTTAACGATTTTATTTGAATTTAAAATAGCCATAACTTGCTCAATATTGACTTCCTCGTGTCTAATTTGTTTGAAATATATGATGCCTCCCGATGCTTTTAAGTACCCCAATTTTTTACAGATTTTTAAACGGACCAAAACTCTCTAAATGCGCATTTATGCTCTTTTCTCTCGAGAACGACTGTCTCATTTTCACGATAACTTTTATTTAGTACTTCTAACATATAAGATCTATTTTTCCCCATCAAGGTATGATGTAAATGACATGCTATTTACATCTTGTGAGTTTCAATGATGCGCGTTTGATTTTGTGACAAAGAATTTCATCCTGCTTGCAGTGAGAAGACGGACCAGTTCGGGGCAATCTGCTTGCAGCGAGAAGACGGACCGGTTAGGGGCAATAGCTGATGAAATTCTTTGTCACAAAGTTTGGCATTTTTTATAAAATCAAACGCGCGTCATTGAAACTCACAAGATGTAAATAGCATGTCATTTACATCATACCTTGATGGGGAAAAATAGATCTTATATGTTAGAAGTACTAAATAAAAGTTATCGTGAAAATGAGACAGTCGTTCTCGAGAGAAAAGAGCATAAATGCGCATTTAGAGAGTTTTGGTTCGTTTAAAAATCTGTAAAAAATTGGGGTACTTAAAAGCATCGAGAGGCATCATATATTTCAAATTAGACACGAGGAAGTCAATATTGAGCAAGTTATGGCTGTTTTAAATTCAAATAAAACCGTTAACCCGTACCGGTCGAGCTTTTGACCCGTACCGGTCAATTTTCGTTAGCTGCGTATACCAAGGGTGGTAATGAGAATTTGAGAAAGAGAATAAGTTTGCGTAAAAACCAGCTGTTTCTCAGCGAGTTACTTTTAGAATATTTTTCATTTTATGTGTAGACACGATGAGTCATTGAGTTATATTAGTTGTGTTGTATATGATATTATGTTACCTAAGTGATTTTTGTGAATTTAAACCTATCATGTGGAATAGCAGTATTTTACAGTAAAACATGCTTCTTTGAATACTTCTTTAGTGTAAACACCGCATGAGTGAACACCTATTGAGAGCAAACACGTCTTTATGAACAATTTTCGTCAGTCCCAAAAGTGTTCAGTCTAGGCATGTTTTACTGTATAATATATTAAATATATGTTATACGGAATCAAATATACATTAATGGAATAGTACACATCCTCCGATCACAGGGCTTCAAAATCCAGATTATCTTCTTTCTTTTTACCCCCTGCGATAAGCAGTTAGCATTTCCATGATTAAGAACTTGCAATTTGATTCGCTGTAGCAACACTGCGACTGCAATCAAGTATATGTCATCGGTCACATAATTAGATCGCGTGACTCAGTTTAATCGGGCACTTCCAAATTGGTTATAGCAGGGGGGAAGGAGGTACAGATTCTGGACACCTGCTTAGGAAGATGAATAGTACAGTGTATATAATTTATATGAGACAGGATCAAAAACTAACTTGGAGCATTTCAGACTTGAAAACATTGCTTGGTAACACCATCAGTCTATTTTTAATCCCCAAATTTTTAATGAACAGGTGTAAAGGCTCGTTCATTTGACTTTTTAGTAAAGGCTAATATATTTGTTGGCTTATAAGTAAAGGCATGTATATTTGACTTTTAAGTAAAGGCTCGTATACTTGGCTTTTAAGTAAAGGCTCCTATATTCGGTTTTTAAGTAAAGGCTCATATATTTGGCTTTTAAGTAAAGGCTCATATATTTGGCTTTTAAGTAAAGGCTCATATATTAGACTTTGTATCAGTAAGAATTTTGATCGACTTTAAAATGTGAGATCACTGGATAGGAAGATACACTTAACAATAACAACGACAAAGGCCTATATATTCAAGTAATAAATTATGTAGAACTGTAAAAAAGTATATGTATAATATCTTAATAATGAACTCTACCAATAATCTTATGTTATACAAAGTATCTGTACAATACTAGATCTTAAAATAAATTATATATTTGAAATTATATGTATACATAGTATACCCAAAGTACTTTGTTCTTTTGGATTTATAACTGTGAAAATATCATGAGTAATAAAGGTGTCTGTTTAGTGTTTAGATGCGATTATTTATTCAAATGCAGACATGTCAGAATGAAAGGAAAAAAGTTGGATATTTTTGTGACCTAGTCTCCACTAAGATTTGAGTGAGATTTTATCGTGCTGATCAATGCCTGAGAAGGAATTCTCAAGATGGCGTTAAGTTCTAATACTTTAATACTAAGTTATTAACATTAGTTAAACATGTTAAAATTGATTCAAAATTCTTATAAACTAATACCTTATTGGAATAGGAGTTCTGCTCAATTAAAGAAGTTCAAATCTGGGTGCTCAATCAAAAATAGTCAACAAATTTTGTAAAAAGAGCCAATACAACTGTCTGGTTATTTGTATCATGAAATATTTATAATGAGGACTGATTTGGTAAAACATGTTTTGGTGGTATTTGCTACTCAGTGGAGTTCCTGTTTTTCTAGTTCTTCATACATAGTGCATTTGGTACTGTGTTTTTTCAATTTGTTTTAGCTAAGATTCTGTCCTGTTTCAAAATAATTATTTGTGAAAGGGAGCCAGGATTGCTACCGAGTTTATTTCCAAATATATACATATCTGTATGAAAATGAATTGTACATCAGTAATGTGAAATGAAAAAAAAATATACTAAAAACAAAATGAGACTGAACACCATCCACAAAAAAGTTGACACACAAAACAATATGTCACCTCTTGTGGTGGTGACATTATAAACTGAAACAAACATAATCCTTTTTAGTATACATTTTTTATTTATTTGAAAAAGTTACAGCATTGGTGTATATCATACAATTTATACAATACATATTATTTCATTTTCCTATGATACTAATGAATTCAAATGAAAAACAAACACTTTTAAAGACAGTGTACATTTTAATAAGTGAATATATAATATTCATTCATAGAAAAAATTTAGTTTTTACAAAAATATTTTTGACACATTCAAAAAAGCTATTAAGGTCGACAGACAAATTATAATGAGAGATGTGGCATGACACATGAAATCAAACCTCTTAGATTATTAAAGGGCCATTATCTTACTCCAATCCTAAGTTCAAAACTCATAAGTTTTTATTAAGAATTAAACGTGGGGGTCTATCAAAATAAGGTATAATATTAATAAAATAAAACTAAAGAGAGTGAGAGCTTCTATAATACCCCAAAAATAATGTAAATAAAATATGAGAGAATTTTTCATTTTCTCATCTTAACCGTTTTCATGATGACAAACTAGTCTGCATTAACAACATTAATTAAAAACAAAATTAAAAATATGAACAGAAATCAAATTCAAAATAACAATAATCATAATATCACATTATCATGTAGAAATAATTTCTGTATTTCAGTCTCACAGATTAACGAACATTTATTCTCTTATTACTGCGCTTGTTTGTTAGTGCTGCTTAATTTTTAGTTTTTGATAATACTGACACATTTTAAGTTTTGCCGAATCTTATTACGACAAAAATAATAACACAAAATCAAACCAATAAATTTGAGACAATCAGTATTTAAACAGAACAGCTGACAAAAAGAACATATATTTATGCTCTATGTAATCTGGAAATCTGTATTGCAATGTGGTATCATGGGTTCACAAAACTAAGAACAAATTCATGAATTGTTTTCCTTTTACCAGAAAGGTATTCAGTTTAGTGATGAGCTTTGTATAAAACTATTCACGCACAAGGATTTGAGTCTCAGATATATCCAATCTAACACTGCTTTCCTCAAGGGTATTTATTGTAGAGAAGTGTTCTGTCTAGAGGAGTGTTCTGTTTAGAGGAGCGATCCATCGAGGGAAGTGTTCTGTTTAGAGAATTGTTCTCTTTATGAGATGTGTCCATATAAAAATGTTGTAGTCCCTCCCACATATATTATAGTACGTCCTATCATGAATTGCTTTCTTCCTTCAGTATTGTTTGTCTACTGGCTTTAAGCATGGCACGCACCTTACTCAGAAGTGCCTGAAAATATATAAAACATTATATATCAAATTTAAGTCTGGCTTGCTATTTCAAGTAAAGCGCTGACAATATTACTTTATTCACACATAGTAGTTTTGTGCGTGAAAAACTAAAATTCTGCAAGAAAAAAGAGAAGTTCTGCTTAAAGTGAAAATCAAAATTTCTAATTTTCATAAAAAAAATTCTGCAATTTTTTGAAATAATGATTCAATCAATTTTTTTAAGAATCTATCCATTTTTGACAGTTATTTGAGATTTAAAATCCCATATTGAAACGGGAAGCGGATATCCAACAACTAATTTCAGGAAAGAATTCTGGTTATTCCCCAGGATTTTGGTGAAAATCGGGGATTCTGCAAAATGTGGAACTAGGATCTATGATATACTATGAAATGTACTTCAATTGAAATATCAGTTTTAAAACTATTTGCACTTGCATAGCTTATCAATTTCCTTTGTCTTATCTGTGAGAGGTTTAACGACCCAAATGAAAACCTCTTATTGGCTAAGGGTCTATATAAACTAATTAATAACATGTTCTGAGGGACTTACTGTATCGACTGATCTCCCTGTAGCACCTGTATCAGAACTATCAGACCTGAAAAAACATTAAAGAGGCAATAAAGAATCAGACCTGAAAAAACATAAATAAACATTAAAGGGGCAACGAAGAATCAGACCTGAAACATCATTATAAATATAAAAGGGACAACAAAGTAAAGATATGAGTTGAGAGGAACTTCTTAAAAATGTTCACAATTTCAAAATATTTTTCTTCACAACATTCCTTGATATGCCTTCTTTGAAGTACCAAAATCTTGACTTTAAATTCAACAGGAAAAAAACTGACAAAATGTCCTCACTTGTAAATGGGTATAAAAGTTGCAATTGTTAAAGATGACAAATACTGACACCATCAACCCACCAATGCCAATCACAAAAATGGTGGCTATGTATTACTATGTCTAGATGGCAACAAAAAAGGTTGTGACCTAAAAACTAGATGTCTTCCTTTTGTTTTCAATTTCTCAAAATGGGTTACATAACAACGAATGCAAGGAAAAATTGAACAAAATTTACAATCACTTACTTATCAGCCTTGGGTTCTGCAGATGGCTGAAGTCGTAGTTCCTTCACTTCTATGACATCATCATCTGAGTCTGGGACAAGCACAGGAGAGTCGACATCACTGAAAATGATCCATTTTTGTTTTTATGTAAAAGAGTAGAATAGGGCAACATAATGGATGGTAGTGGCAAACAGGCAAAAATGATTGAAAACAACAACACTTGTGATCCACTCGATTACGCTGGTTACCGAAAAACAAAATGTCAGAACATCGAAGGTATGATTTTTCTTTTTTCCTTATTTCACAAGTAGGCAGAATTCCCACGACATTTTTAACACATTTTCTAAAACATATGATGCTGATACAAGTTTGTTAGAAAAAACGTCGTGGGGATTCTGCCTACAACACATGAAATAAGCAAAAAAGAAAAATCGTACCTTCGACGTTCCGACATTTTGTTACCAAAACGAACCGTTTCGGTAACCAGCGTAATCGAGCGGATCACCAGTGAACAAGTAAAATCATCGGAAATTATAATTTTAACATAACATGCTCCTGATGAGTCACATGAGGTTAGGTAGGAAGTCTAATATATGGCTATCTCAAATTCAGTGATCTCCCCAGGATTTTTTCTCAAGAAAGAGCAAAATTCTCATTTTCACAATTCAGACCAAAATTTTCAAAATAAGCCCATTTTTCAAGATTTTTCTCATTTTCAAGTGGGTGCAAATGGATTTTCAGGTAGGTGCAAGGCTGTTTTCAAAATCTCAGGAGGGTGCTGCCCCCACTTGCTTTAATGCTGGGGAGATTTATTTATAATCTTAAATTCAACCAACCTTTCATCTGAGTTGGCTTTCTTCCTCTTATGATCTTTACTCCTTGAGCGCTTCCTTGATTTCTTCTTTCTTGACCTTGACCTCGATCTTGATCTTTTCGACCTAGATTTTCTATCTCGGGATCTTGATCTTTTTGATTTCTTTGATTTTCTATCCCTGGATCTGCTTCTAGTTTTCCTCCTTGAGGATTTTTTAATTCGATCTCTTGATCGGGATCTAGATCTCATTTTTGATCTTGACCTCGATCTCATTTTTGACCTTGATCTTGATCTTACTTTGTTGTGCCTTAAAGGTGATTTTGAGCGAGATCTAAAAAAGGTAAAGTGAAGTACATATTATTTGTATGTACAAAATAAGACAAGTTGAAACTAAAGAAAGGAATATACATATATATATTTGAGATCTATACAATATTTTTGGAAAAAATACATGTGTATTATAAAAACATATGTGTTATACATTGAGACAAGGTGAAACTAAAATTATAGTAGTGCATGTCTCTAAAGAATTAAATGTTGCTCCGCTAGTTTACAGACAGCATGCTTACAGCAAAAATCAATGTGATTAGTAGTAAATGCATTCAATGAATTGAAGAATTAATTCAACTATGACAACTTTCCAGCAATGATTTCTCCTCAATTAAGTGATAGCACCTCAAAAATTAATTCCATTCCATTCGATATACAAGAGGTACCTAAAAATCTCAAAACTTTTGCTTTAATTCCATCAATTTTATTATCTTGAGGCAACATGTATTTTAGATGTTACCTGAGAAATATTTTCATCATTTTCTCATTTATACTGTTTATTTTATTTTTGAAAATATGTTACCGACCTTCTGACAATACTATAAGAACTAGGTGGCGTTTTAGATCTCTTCCGTCTTTTCTTGGGTGTCCTTGAGCGTGACCTTGATATCCGCTTGCTTGTTTTTAACCTACAAAGCATATAAATGTCAATCTTGCTGCTCCAATGCAATGGTCATTTACATAATTCATGCAAAAGGCTTAACAACAAAACAACATGAGAAAATATGAAAAACTTAGAATTTGAGAGAAAAATTTGAAAAACATGAAACGTGATATACTCAGTCTTGACATCTGATAAGAGAATCTGACTCTTGACAAGGAAATTTTTTGCTTTGAGATGTATAAATAAATTGAGGCACATTAATTTCCTGAAAAATAGGAAAGGCAACCCATGTCTTCATATTTTATTCTGAACTAGAAAATAATCTAACCAGGCAGTCGTTTTTCCAAAAAGGTGAATTTAGACGTGAAGCTTAACAATTCATATTTTATTGATAACCAGTAGTATCGTTTAAACTGAGGTAATGTTTCAATTTTCCAACAAGTTTTTAGTTTCCCACTTATACTGAAAATGAAGTATCATGATCATTAACATGGTTATCAAAATGAGCACGCAAGGCCAATCTATTTGTGACTTTCTCATAATTTGTTGCGAGGAAAATCTCTGGAGAAGATAAAGTAAATAGTTTACAATAACAACAGTAATTGAGCCTTATATGAGAACAATCATCAATCAACCAGAATTTGTGTAATAATATGATTTAAGAACTGAATGCAATTAATATTACATGTAAATCTTTAATGTAGCATTTTAAAATATGCAGGAGATTTTATCGATATGATGTTAAAATCTACTTTTCCATTTCAAATTTCTGGATGATTATCCATGGTTAAAATGAATTAAATAGTCTTACAATACAGGAGATTTTTCCTTGTATATTTTCTTCAGCATTTCTGACTTCAGGCTTGGGCTGTTTGACCTGCTTCCTATTGGGGTGCTTGATGGGAGAGAACTTCCTTCTGAAATCAGAATCACATTAGCGTGAAGAGAAGAACATCTATCCATTAGAAAAACAAAGTGGGTATTTTCCCAGAATTCTTTCAATTTACAATAAATTTTTTGTAATTCTAAATGGTCAAGATAAATAAAATATTCCGATCACATTTTATCACAGAACTTTTACCCTACCTTCTTTTGTGTCTTCAGTAGCGCCACCTTTTAACATCTGTAGGAACATGGCAGCTTTTCTCTTACGCTCCGACTGAAGTTGTTTCTCTTTTTGGCCACCGCCATCTTGTTTCTCACGTGCTAGTTTTTCACGAGCAGCTGCGGCCAGTTTGTCTTTCAGTTTTTCTTCAGCTAAAATACAGAAATGTATGAAACATATCGTCAATTTTAAGCACTAATGGGATGGAAGCAAATAAGTAAAAAAATATTTTCCTCTCAATACCATTTCATTTTTTCAGGTTGAAGTTCCCTTATTTCAAAGACAGAGCGAGGAAAAGAAACATTCAAGAGTATAGCAGTCCAAAATCGCAACAAAGGATGATTTTAAATGTAATGAAACAAAGTCTAAGTACCAATCACCACAACCATTTTTGAACCATTATCTCAACCCATGACCAAAAGAATTTCACATTACACAAATTAGAGCTTGAATGTCTTCTAACCTTGTCTTCGTTCAGTATCAGATGATTGTGTTTTATCAACAACTCGAGCACCATGGAGACCATTTTCTTCTTCATCGTTTGATTGGGCATCGTTTGCGGAGGTATCCTCTTCTTCAGAATGAGGCTGGTCTTTTTCCCGCCTTTTTCCTGTTAAAATCAAAAATAATTCACATTACATAGAATAGAATAGAATATTTATTGAGTACATTCACACCCCTGAGGGTCAGGTACAAGAAAGTACAGTACACAAAAAGAATATATATGATTTAACACTAGACTACTATATACTACATATAATATATGCTTACTACTGTAAAATGTAAAATATGTATTACTACAAAATGCTTTTTTGCGCAGCAGGAATTAGCCTTTCTAAATTAAGTATTGCTTTCTAAAATTCGGAAGGCATCACTAATATATTTTGCAACCTTGATGCAATCTTGATTTATACAAGTTAAGAGGTATATAAATTGATTTGTTTGTGCTTTTGCCGTATCAGACAATTCAGTTTGAAGTAATAATCTTTCATTTTGATATTTTTTACACTTAAAATTTCTTTTCTAAAATTTCTTAAACATAAAACATACCATCATTCACCAAAGAGTATCCTAATAGTCCAAGTAAAATATGTTATACTTTTCCTTGAGTCACATGAACGGAGACATTGAAAGATGATTTAAAACTAATGTTTCAATGTACACTTTTTCCCAATGTGAGAAGCTGTAAAATAATTACGCAAGTTCAATGAAAATGAAGGTCAGGGAAAGAAGGCTTTTACAGTAGATTACAGTTGAGTACAATTTTGTTATCATTATTTTAATCTCTCAAGTTAATACACATGTTATTTACATGACAAATGTCACCATATGGTAAGTTATTTGATATGTTGGTTCAAAATTTGCTGATGAGGCATCAACTGGCCTTTAACAAAATTGCTCCCTCGCGATTTTTTTATCTAGTTTGATATGTTGTTACAGGTGCTGAAAGGCAACCGTGAACACCAAATGCCAGTCATTAAAAACTGTGGCTATAACATAATATCAATCTCAATGTGTGGACATATCGAGAGATATAATAGGCGACTTACTCTCCTCGTCATCGCTACTGTCGTCCTTAAAGGCACTTTTCTGCTTCAGTTCAACCGTCTCTGGTTCCTTAGTCTTTATAGAGAAGCTAACACCTTTTGCAGAGAGTGACATCTTATCAGTTGATTCATCCGTATCTCCATCTTTCTCAGCCTCCTTTCTCATCTCCTCAATGAAGATGTGTTTCTTGTTTAAATAATATGGATGGTGTTCATTGTCGTCATCAAGGAACCCAAAGCGTTTATCACGATCACGTTTATTCCTAACTGTAAATTCAAATTCATCGCCATTCTTTGCAACATAGTTGGCCATTCTGTCTATGATTGGCTGGAGGTCTGGAGGGGGAGGTTGTATCTTTGGGACTCTGAAAAACACAATAACAAATATTCTGAAAATTGTTTTGCAGAGATGTATATTGTTGTTCTCCATTTTCATCTATGAACATGGGAGGTTTATAAATATTCATATTCTTATTTAGATATTCAGATATTCATATTCATTTATTCCAGTCGCAAAAACAGACAAACCTGATCATTTTGATTAAAATAAAAATCTGCTTACGTTTTTTTCTTCTCCTTCACAGGCTTTTCAGGGACTGTCCCAGGGGGTGGGGGTTGATTATTTGTGGGTAGAATCACTGGCTCCATGCCTGGTATGGGAGGCATACCGGGGTAGGCTCCCTGGGGTCCTTCCACACTGGGGCCGTATCTGTATGCATCATGGTAGCCCTGATCGTAATAATCACCCTGACTGTAGTTGTACTCAGGGGGGTAAGCGCCATCCTGAGGGGGGTAGGAACCATCAAGAGGGGGATAGGAACTATCCTGAGTGGGGTACTGCTCCTGTTTGGGGATATGAGGCTCCTTTGGAATCCTGAATATGAAGAAAACATTTTTGAGTTCATATTCCAATTAGCACTTAACAAAATGAAATTATCATTTCTAAAACCGAGCATGTGTATCAATGTATCATTTTCCAGGTAAATATTGAAACTGAAGTTAAAGAGAAAATTTCCATGTGCAAAATTATTTTTTTAATTCTGGTAATAAATCCTAAACTAGTTACATAAACAAAATTGGATTTAGACAAACAAAATATGATTGGCTAAAGAGGATTATAGAATAACATTTTCAATGTGCAAACATTCTAACCTTTCTTTCTGAGGTATGCTCTTAGTGTTTGGAGAATTTCTTCCTGATTCTTGAGTCTTCTTAATATTACCGAGTAGTTTTGCATATGCTGTTCCGTGAATCTGCCCTGGAGGTAAGGCATTCAGGATAGATGTCACTGGGGTCTCTGGAGGTACTGCAGATTTAGGAGCAAGACTTGGGTGTAGGTACCCACTGTGTGATAGACCATCTTCTTCGTCTTCGCCACTTTTTTTCCCTGAAAGTAGAAATGAATTAGGCAAATAGTTTTAAAATACCTAGTTGTTAAATCGCTAGTTAATACTGACGGATGTCGTCCAATTATCAAGCGTTGTGGAAGATATGTAATTTTGTTAGAGGTACATTAAATGATGAATTTGTTGACAGTGATGCTTTTTTGAATATTCAAGTGAAATACAAATCAACATCTTAAAATTTTGTTATACAGAGATACCATCAATTAAACAGCTAGTAAATCCAGGGCGTTTGAAAGGTTTGACAAAGTTGAAAAATTATGCAAATATTTATTTTCAAAACCTACTACTTGCCCCAAGGCCAGCTTTTGTCAAGGGGGAGGAGAGTCAATTTTAAAAAAGCCCAGGGGACAATTTGACGATCACCTGGCTGTGATACTTACTTTTTCTAACTTCATCAGGTTTATATTTCCCTGACTTGATCATCTTACAAAGATGTTTGTAGTATGGGTAGAGATAATGGTCGTAGTTCATAAAGTTAAACTGTTCGTTATTGGCTTGTTTTGCCTTAATAACAATCTCCATCTGATTCCCCTGGGATGCCACAAACTTCGCTGTTTTCTCTATTATTGCATTTGTTTTGACAGTTGTTGGCTGAAAGTACAAAGAATAGTATTAAGGTAAATCCGCATGATGGCAATTTTCATTTAATTAAATCCACAAATTTCATTTAATTAAATCCACAAATTTCATTTAATTAAATCCATAATTTTCATTTAATTCCATGATTAAAATTACCAATAATTCATGTAAAATGTAATATTTTCAAAATTTTTATTTGGATATCTACATGTTAATGTAAAGTACATTGTTCACAATTTTTCTGAATGTGAAGAATTAGAACCACCTAAAGAGAAAAAAGTTTACAGTGAAACCTGTTTATCCAAACACTTTTCTCATCTGAAACAATACTTTTTCTCAGTCCAAAATGTATTTTCTTTCATTGACTAACATATTTATAAAACCTCCAAACACTTTTGGCCGTTCCCAGAGGTGTTTGGATTAGACAAGTTTTACTGTTTTTATACATTGAAAGGTTAAATACTAGGGGTCACACGGTTAACCGTGGCTTGCGGTTACCGCGGTTCATACCTCCACGACGGTTAGCTCGCACACAATCTTGAAAACCGCGGTTCTTGAAGAACCGTGACATTTTCAGTTTCACTTCAGAAAAATAAAAATGTAAACTCGGAATTAAACTCCATTTCAAGCTTTCGTGTAATACCAATTAACTAAACATCGTCTGGAATCGTTAATCATCATGCAATAATGCGAACCATACCTGATATTTACGACGATCTTCTGATATAGACGGCAGATAACAAAAACAAAAGGAAAATGTTGATAAATTTCACCGGCATATTGACCCGGAAGTGACCTACGCTAAACATTTCGCGCAATCCTATTGGTTGATAGAACAGTATACTATAAAAAGCCGAACGCCTAATGCATTGAATTTGCGAACGAGTCACGTTCTGTGTATTACGTTCGCCTTTGATCCATGTTGAGTCATGACAAAGTGTTGAACTTAAGTTATATTTCTAAAGAAAACATTTATTCAGTTTAGTGAAGTACTGTGCTAATTTTGCCAACAGTTGACAAGTTATTTTATGTGTTGAAAAAACGTGAACATCAAACAAGAAGATCAACACAGTGAACACACAGATATTTTGGGAGGGAGGGAGGGAAAAAAGACTGAACAAACAAACAAACATTGTGTGAAACTGGATACTTACAATACTGAATACAATAAAACACTGTGACACACTTAGTATGTTTTCTGATTTTCAGATCAATTTCATATATTTTTGCTCATTTCACGAGGCTCGTGAGAACCGCAATCAGAACCGAACCGAACTGTGAAATACAATCACCGAACCGAACCGTGAAATCTCAAACCGTGTGACCCCTATTAAATACCACTTAAGTACATACCAGTTCCATGCCTGAAGGGATCTGAAGCTCTGCTATTGCCTCAAAGGGTTCCTCATATTCCACTGGTGGCCTCGGGGCTGAAAAGAAATCAAACATCTGATTACACACTCTCTTTATATCAACTGACAATTAATGATTCAGACCATGTTAAGACTTCTTTTGCCATTAAGGAATTCTCCAATCTTTTCATCAATTTTAGGACTTCCTGGTTTACTGAAATTTCTCAACCTTGAAAACACATCTTTAGTAAATTGAAATCAAACACACATCATGCATATAATTACTGTATACAGGAGTTAAAGGTACATAGGTACACATGTCAATATAGCACAATGTAAAGGGTGAAATACTTTAAGGGTACCTGTATTCTGTTCATCTGTTGGCTGTGAGGGGTCATACTGATTGTTATCATAGCTAAATCCAACTTCCTTATAGCCGCCTTCTTGGTTTATGGCATAGTTAAGTCTCTTGATCTCTTCCTCTGCAAGATATGTTTCAAATACAGTCCAATACTGCTTTAACGGACTCTATGTAATATGCACAGTATGTTTTACTTCAGATTAATTTAATTCATCCTTTCAAGCTTGTAGAGTAAAATAACAATGAAACTGTTTTGTAGCATATTTGAAACTCCACCATTTTTTCAATATAAATTGTTCTTTTGTTTACTACCTTCATGATACAATGTTTACTTTATTTCTCAGAGTAAAAATCATCATGTTTGTCACATAAAAAAGTCACGGTTAAATGAGCAAGAAAAAAGTTGAGAGACAGAAATACAATAAAATAATGCAAGTAAGCTTATTATCATATTCAAAACAAAAATATGGGAAATAAGAAGTTATAAAGGTCTTCTTACCTTCATATGCATCCCTGTCAAAAGAACTTGAGTGTAGATCATGATATCTTTCTTCATCGCATAAGGCTTCAATTCTTGCTTCTTCACCTGAGAGTGGGTAATCTTTCCCTCCCCAGTTGCCTTCCGCATCATGCTCTCTGAGGTCATGGAGGTAGCCTCGCCCGTCATACCTGTAAAACAGATCAAAACATTAGAACTTCTTTCTTATGGTTCCCAAACTACTTCTAAAATAGTGTTCTGGATTTTATGTACGTTTGGTATATAGGTATAATCAAACCTGTCACAAGTTAATACTGTATACTGTTGGGGTTGGCTTGTATTACATAGCTTCTTTTCTCACTCACTCACTCACACAAACATACATATATCTTTAGTACGACTTTTACATGACTTGTATCTATGGAAATTATTTGCAACCAATAGTTTCGACTAACTGATAAATTTTGCGCAACAATTGAAAAGCACATAATGAAAGCATCAAGAGATAAACATGCACAATGTCATAATAACTAACTGCCGAGGTTAAAGTGGCAACAAAATAAAAAAAATTATAATAATTGTACATTTGTCTTTTGATGCTTTCTAGCCTATTTTGTGTTATATAACCAAAATATCCAAAACTATTGGTAACATCATATTCACCTCTTTACCGTCCTCTTTGAAAGACATATACTGGGTGCCCTGAAGACATGATTTATAAAATAACTTCAAAATATGATATACAAACCTTCATAATCCACACTATACCTACAAAATCAAAGACTCATTTCTAGATGAGCCTTGTTATGCATACTACCTACAGTAGATATGTGAAGTCGACTGAAACCAGCGTCATTTTGTGATGAAAGGGGGCAACGTCACAATATGGAAGTCAAATCAGTACGCATGTCGTCACATATAAACCTGCTAGGGTAAGAAACTATTAATCATGTTAAGAAATTGGAATTTTGAAATCGAAACCTTTTGAAATCGATCCAGTGTTTGTTGTACGTTTTGAAGCACAGACCTGTCTATCCTGAATTTTTCATCGCCCATCCATGGGATCAGGTGGTGACCTTTTTCGATATACAGCGCCCTCTCATCATCTCTGTATATTTTGCAGGCGTATCCAAACACAAGGATGTCATCTTCGTCCTCATCACGTCGAGATTCTGGTAAATTATGTACATTTCTCTTTTTTCTGGATGCCATGTTGGATCTTCAATTATGTCTACGTACAGCTATCACGAAATGATAATTGACCATTTTCAATGTGAAAAATAGGTTTGAAGCACTATCATCTGTCCATTGGGAGACAGATCATTTCAAATTTTCGATTTTTGATTAAATTGATTAAATTGGTCACCAGTTCTATTGTATTTATCAAATTAGCAAAGTATTAATTTTGTGATACATAAAACGTTTAAACTTTGTATTTTGAACTCGTTCAAAATGTAGGGGTGATAGCTTTAATAATTTATCACTAAAATGCCAATCAAATTGTAATAAAAACTAAACCGTGGTGTTATATTGCGAAATTATGTCAAATTACATTACATCAAAATAAATAAATGTTATAATGTTTTTTAGGTTTAAAATAAATAGTAATTTTTAACCAACGCTACCTCAATCTACAAATTTAGACCTGTCCATGACGTCAACGGGGAATACCTAAAAATGGCGGACGAAGGCTTTGGAAAAATTTCTCTAAATTCTAAACTTTTACGCTATATAAAGGCAGCTCAGACAAAATCAGACATATCAGATGATCTTAAACAGGAACTAAAGGTCATAAAAAATTCTAAATTTAATTTAGATGGCGGTAAACTAGCAAACATTCCATTTACGACAGTTAGAAAATTACACAAATTTCTTCAACTTGATTCATCTTCAGGTGAGAAAATATTAAAGGAATTCCCTCATCTAACATGAACTATAATCACTGGTGATCCACTCGATTACTTCGGTAACAAAATGTCGGAACATCGAAGCTACAACATTTCTTTTTTCCTTAATTTCCAGAATCCCTACTACGTTTTTTCTCACAAATGTGTATCAGTATTATATGTTTTGGAAAATGTACATGTTTGTGAAAAAGATAGGTCAGAAGACAACGAAATAGTCGATTTTATTCCTCACTTAAGTTACAGAAACGGTTTGGGTTAAAAGTGAAGATCTTAACTGTTTTTCGAAATTTGTATGTGGCCTCTTATATTTTGATGCTTCTCTGCCATAGTACTTTCAAAGTATTTTCAAAAAGATTAACATGGCTGAAATTCTTTAAATTACAAGCGGGCACAGGCTTATTGCACAAAATATTGAATAATCTGAAATAATACAAATGTCATTCATGTACAATATGAGTATACTTTTCCATATATTATTTCACAATGGTCTCCTGATTTCTTATTTTTGGGATGCAATAAAACAGTGAAATGGGCTGTACTTTACAGGACTCTTGAAAGCCTATTTTCTCATTTTGTTGCTATTTATCAAGCGCCATGACTATAGTCCTGAAAACATCTGAATATGATTACATGATTTATATATGATTATATTATATATAATTATTATATACTGTAGATTGGGTTAATTTGGCGCCCGCTTTAATTTGGCGAATTTGGCGAAATTGAAAAATTCGCCAATATAAATCTTCACCAAAATTTAGAATGAATCCCCGGGAATTATCTAGGGTATTTCGTCCAATGTATTTAGGTCACGTCCGGTTTAGTTTTTTCCAAAAATATGAAAAATGTCTCTCATAAATTGGCTCAGAACTGGTCAGTCACTCATTAATACTCAGGGAAAAATAAAAAGGAAAAGCGCGGTATTGTAGCAGCATCGATCGAGGTGCAAAATATAAAGGATGATTTCACAAAAATGTACAAACGTGGTGAATATCGCCAGTGGTCCTCAAAAGAAAAAATGAACATAGGCATAGCCAAACATGCCCATTTACATGGTAATTCGCAAAGTAAGTTAATTAAAAATTGTTTGCATATCCGCCAAATTAAATAGCCGCCAATATGCCAAAAATGGCAAAATCGCCAAATTAAGTAGCGCCAACTTAACCCAATCTACAGTATTATGATTATATATTATATATGATATATATTTGATTATATATGATTATATATGATATGAATATGATTACAATATGTGGGAGAAAATTCCATACCTTGCAAACTTAAATTACCTACATGTACCCTGAGACCATCATTCTATGTTAGTCTCAGATGTACCTCAATACATTCCTGAGTATTTTAGAAATCCTTTTATGTAGTTGAATCCCCAATCGTATGGGTTCAAAATAGATCTCAAAATACCATGAGCATTTGAGGATCTAACTTGAGCTGAACATACCCAAGCTCGCTTATAGATTCAATTTTATGTGTAAATAGTATCTGAAGTCTGGTTAATACTTGCGAACTTGATTGCAAATTGTTGCAATTTTGTTTTTGTATTATTTCCGTTAGATCTCTGAATTAGCTTAAGTTCTTTTTATCAAACAATTTCTCATTGAAATCAGAATGTATTTTGTAATTTACTATTTCAGATGAACCAGTGGTGTATTTACATGAACTTCTAGAAGAAAGTGATATCTGTTTTCCAAAATTAGAAGTCCCTGAAAGGGTAAGATTGAGTTAAATTAACAAACTATGAAAAGTTTCATGGTTCTGATCCTCTATAACACTTGATGCATTACTCGATATATTTATTTGAAACCCATCAACTAACAGTTATACTCACTATTTGATAATGCTGTGTGAATATTTAAGCAGTAAATAAAACTAGACGTATTAAGAGCTAACTTAGCTAAATACTCATTCATCAACTGTATACTAAATATTCCTTGAATTAAATTCCAGAATCCTGAGTTAGAGGCCCGGATACAAAGGCTCAAAGGGCAGCAAGCAAATAGAGAATATGCCAATATGACAAAGAATTTAGGATCAACGGTAGGCAGAGTCTATGTCACTCTACTTAACCTTGCATTGGGTGTTCATGAGTAACCCATTTGGCTTATTAGTAATGATTATGTTATTTGTTTTTATGTGTCTGTTCCTCATTAATGGTTTATCGGTTGACTATTAGATGTTAATAAGGTACTTTCAAAAATATACTAAACAATACAATTAGACAAACATTTCTAGAGGTTAGGTATAGTAGAGTGATGCTAAAGGAAAATCAAGTGGTAAATTGATCATAGATTTTGCATTTTTTTATTAAGAATATTTTATTTGTCTATATTTTACATTATATTGATTTTTAAAGGAAACAGATTTAACAAGAGACTTTTGCCTTACTTAGTCCTCTCCTGGGATTTTACATATGAGTGAAGTTTGAAATTATTCATTTTTAAGCACACTTTGACAACTGAGCAGTGAGACCCAAGTTCTCTCAATTATTATTGAATTATTTCCCACTAAATTCATGTTTATATTTGCAGGGTCTTTACAGTACCAACAAGGCAGAGCCATCTTTTGGAGCTGATGGTACGTAGGATTCAAACTCTTCTTAATTACCAATTCTAATTAAACTGCAGTAAAACCTGTATATTGTGAACACTTATGGAGCCACAAAAAAGTTTTCACTGTATCTAGGTGTTCACTCCAGAGAGAGATTTTATACAAGAGTCAATGTAAAATGTGTCTTGAAGTGATGTTGTTCCCTAAAAAATGTGTTCTCGAGAGAGGTGTTCTCTAAGACAGGTTTTACTGTATGTTAAGTGCAATTCATTTCATCATCATTTGTTATTGTGTTACAATGTCCTATTCACTTAAAAATATATATATCTCATGCCAATTTAACCATTACAAATAAATAATTTTGAAATCAGAAATGATGAAGAAATTATTTTTATCACATAATTTTAGTAAAATTCACCGAAAATTGTTCTAGTTGTCCGCACTATGTCAAAGAACCAAATTGACTTTGTATTCTTGTTCATTCTAGTGAAAGCAGTTATAGCTGACTTTGTATTCTTGTTCATATCTGACTTTGTATTTACTTTGTATTCTTCTTCATATCTGACGTTGTATTTACTTTGTATTCTTGTTCATTCTAGTGAAAGCACTGAACTCCCAGTTGATAGGTGTTGCTAACTTCCTGATCACAGTCATAGCTGGTTTTGCATTTGGCTACAAGATTGTCGAGTATAACATGGACGTGCCAGACTTTGCCTTGGTAAGTGATTTAACTAGACCAAAAATTTTCCCAAGAGACCCAAGATTTATAGGTGAAAATTTGGTACAGGATAGTATTTTACCTTGTTAAAAATTCCCATGGATGTTGAACTAAAAACTCTTTCAGGGTACCACCCATGGGAACTATAACATAAATGTGTCATAGTGAAAACCTCCAATTTTATGGTTTGTTTGTGTGGAAGTATAACACTTGATAACACTCTAGTGAAGCACTATGTTGAAATATGGGATCACATTAAATGCAATACAAGTCATTAAAATTCAAAATGTCATACCTGCCATTTGTTACAGATGCTGACTGCCATTACACCGACCACAAAAATGTTAGAGACTATAACAATATGTAAAAATGTTAGAGACTATAGCAATATGTTACCACTTCTAATGGTGGCATAATTATTAAGTTTATGATAGAAATTGCTAAATTATGGTTTTTATTATTATATTTTCAGCTAATCAATAGACAGTTGTCTTTAACCTTATTAAATTCATCAATATTTTGATTGGATACTTTCACTGAATTTAGTTCTGTTGCACATTTATCAATTTCTGCTTCAGTGAATCACTTCAGAATATTGTACTTTCAAATTGTAATTGTACTTTTACACAGTTTATTGCATTTTCAGCAACTGTGCAGTGGAATGATTTTCGCAACAATAATATTTATAGCAGACTTGTACTTTTTCATAAAGAACTATGCTATGGATGCAGAGGAACCTAAAGTCAGATGATACACACATACATTGCTTGGAATTAAAGGCATAACTACAACTTTAAAGCTGAACCTCTAGTACTTCCATTATTTGATAATTTGGAACCTTGTCAAATATGACGTATAATGATTGCAATTACAAGTAGACTAGTATTTATTTTGTGATTTTTCGATGAATAGCTATTATCAATGTGTAGACATAGAGATTTGGATTTGGGTTTAGCTGTATTTTAAATTGACTGTTTAACTCTACATGTATTAGAAAAGAGTGTGTCAAAAGCATTTTCAAGCTACTGGTCAAATCAATCTGTTGCCATGTTATTTTCTCAAAAAGTTAGCCGGCCAATTTCAAAACAAAATGGCCCTTTCCTTTGTCGCACCCTGTAATAAAGGAGTTCACTGCAACTTTGACCATATCTGAATGGGGTTAAAAATACAAAGTTGAAAGTAAAGTGCAATATCAAATGTCAATAAATTAAATGTATAAATGTACAGAAGAACTTGTAAATAGAATACTGTATTTGTATGACAAATGTTTATTTATAAGAAAATAAAATGAAGTCAACTTGAAAACCATGTTGCTTTACTCTTAAGCTAGACCTTTAAATCTCTGATTTTAAGGACAAAATATATGATTCTTGTATTCATCTATGGTTAAAATTGCATGTAAAAGTCAGAGGATGTTATTTTTATCCCACATTTCCATATTTTCCGTAGTGTATGTAGATATATAAACCATCCTAAAGATGTTTGAACACATTTATAAAATGTATTACATTGACAGTGTCTCCATATAAACACTGAAGATAAACACTATCAGGGGAGTAAGAGAATTTATGAAAATTTGATTAATGGTGTATTCCATATTCATTTAGCTAACTTGTTGAACAAACATCTACAGTTTTAACGTCAGGGTAAGAACTAGAAGTGAATCCATCATGACGCCCCTCACAATGTAATAATTCTGGTTTTCTATCGCACATAGGACACAGTTCATTCCTCACTTTAGATGATCTCATCCATATTATCAGATTATATCGTTCTCCGTCAGAAATCGGCAGCGCACCATGCATGTGCTGCCCCCTATGGAGTATCCCAATTGTTGGTTTGTTTTTGATAATTGAATATTTTTGAGTTTCTGTGTTATGCTGTCTCATTTTACCAAAATATAGTTGTCCATCTTGAAAATCTTTTCCAAGGTTTATATTTAGTGTAACCTCCGCATTGTCGTAATGGAAGCTTAATGATGTATCTTCTTCTGGTTTGTATTTGACGATGAATGCCTTATGAGTATCGAGAGAAGTTCCAGTGCATTCTGGGTAAAGAAGTTTAGCGATTGGCTCAATATAATTTGACCGGAAAATCTTCATAAAATTCTCATCAAATCCTAGTTCATTTAGTAAGATCTGAAAATAAATTATGAAATCCTTTAAACATGAATACAAGGCTATAATTCAAAATGCTATCTTACCTAGGTGGGCCCATGTTTTCTTTCATTTTGAGCCTTTAATGGGCCTCACAAAAATAGGCCTCATTTATCAATTCAAAAACATGGGTCCTAGGCTAGTTTTAAAACTGGGCCAAATTTTAGAAACGTTTTTTGGGCTCCAGCATGGGATAAACTTGAAAATGCAATTCAATTTAAACTCACCCCATAATTATTCATAGTGTTTGGTCTTCCCTTTGGAAAATCAAATTTTTCAAAATGTTCCATCTCTTCTATAAACACCTTGCAGAAGTCCATAGTAAACACCTGCATAGAAAACACGCTCTCTGCTTTTTCAGTGTTCATGAACTGTTTCACGGTGTGTTCAGTAGAACCAGTTGCCTTGCAGTGTCTTACCAGTTTTAGGAATTCGTTGGAGAGATATTTTTCCTGGTAAAATAGTAAGAGTGATATATGTAGACAGTTACACAGAAAACACCCTTCAATTGGATTATATAGGCACAAGAAATTTTTACAAATCAACAAATGACACTTTGTTTTTCAAGTAGGAGTAATTTATAATGTAATGGTCAATATGACAAGTATTTGTTGGCAATATTTTTCAGGTGCTTCGCCCACCTTAAAACCCATTTGCACCTACTTGATAGAATGCTTAGGAGATCATAGCAATCTCCTACCTTTAATGTATAAACATCTTCATGTAAAGGTTTGTAAGAGCTCTTAATGATTGCAATCCTTTCCAAAGCAGCTTTTCCAAGATTTTTTCTCCTATCTATTTCATTGTAGATCTACAAATTAATATATATACAAATATTAATACATAAGTAGTGTAAGTGTACATTAACATTTTGAAATCTGACTGTGTCTACACCCACAGTCACCTCTTCACATTGTTAATTAAGTAACATAAAATACATAAAATGAGTAATTGTACAATTTTAATAAAAATTACGAGGCTGTTGGTTCATAGCATTTTTCCAATATTGGACAATATGAAAAAACTACTGTAATAATACTCTCAGAGAGTACCACCATTAAAATCACTAGGATATTGAAGATGTCATGGTCATGCTCAATGGGAAGGGAAGCACTATTCATAATGTATAAGGTATCTTTGTCACTAAAATCAAGACAAGTTACTGCCTTAACCTACAATATACAATATTATCATAGTTTACACAATCTACAATTTAACTAAATGAAACTTACTTTGACTATTACAGCATTCAACTGTTCTGTTGCTCTACAACCTTTCTGGTGTAGTATCTGAAAATAAATCAAGCCTAAAATATATACTTGATGGGATGCAAGGTTTACTACGTAACTCAAAATACATACAAATTTAAGCAAATCTAAATTTCTTCCTTAGAATGAATCAACATGTTAACTGTGGTGTGTTACACTAAGACTAAATGGTGACCAACATAATAACTGTGTTACATCAGACACATTTCAAACAAATATTAAATGGTGACCAACATGTTAATTATGTGTTACTCTAAGATTAAATGGTGACCAGCATGTTAAATGTGTGCTACACTAAGATTAAATGGTGACCAACATGTTAATTGTGTGTTACACTAAGATTAAATGGTGACCAACATGTTAAGTGTATTACACTGAGATTAAATGGTGACCAGCATGTTACCTGTGTGTTACACTAAGATTAAATGGTGACCAACATGTTAAGTGTTATTATACAAAGATGCAAATTCCAAGTCCTTTGCCCCATCTCAGTGCACTTCTTACCTGACCATAGTCTTCAATGAATTGTTCCTCATTATGGTAGGTGACATGAAGGCCATACTGCTGCAGAAATATATTATGAGTGAAGAAACACTTGCACGACAAATATGGTCCAACATCTGATGCCATCACCTTCTGACTAGATCTACTATGTAGTTGCCTTGCTTACTGTATAATCTAGGATGAACTGCCTTGGATGAAGGTAATACGTGTTATGTGCTCTCTGAAATATGAAGAAGCTGATGTTTGCATAGAAGTTGAATTGATTCTAAGTTACAATGATAGATAAGTTTACTGCTACATATACAATACATGCATGTATGTGCATGTATTTCAGTTATAGTAATTAGACAAGTTAGACTAGTTTTCAAAACACAGGCCCAGGAAGATTTAAATCCCCCCCCCCCCAGTCACTGTATAGCTTATGTAAAAAATACTGTCTTTTTCTAAGTAATACATAATGAGTGGGAGGGGGATGGACTCTTGTTCCCGTGTCTGTGTTTCAAAAATATTGATGATATTAATGACTAAATTACACATTCAAATCCTTCATAGATTTCTAAGATCAATCTTTCAAAATATGTTTGAAGTATTTACGCTTTAGAAATGCATAATAAAAGACAATAATCTTACTGGAACTACCCGCATACAATGAAATAAAACAAGTGCACTCGTGCACTTTTTGTTGACATTTTGGTTCTTGTGCCATGCTCACCTACACGGGAATTTTAAAAATGCAAATACAAGTGTATCATTCGTATCACCCACACGGGAAATTTGAAATGTAATTAACCAGTGCATTATCCGTAGTTGGCGTAGTCAACATACTATCATGTAGTTAGTTCAATAAAATACCCGTAGCAGACGTAGATATACATACGGTGGATCCTATGGTGTGTATGTATACCTATAGACTCATGTTTTGATGTAGCAAGCGTAGTAGGCGTAGTAAACATACTATGATGTGGTTATTTTCAATAAAAATACCCGTAGCAGACGTACAGATGTACCTAGGGTGGACCCTACAGTGTGTATGTATACCTATAGACTTATGTTTTGATGTAGCAAGCGTAGTTGGCGTAGTAAACATACTAGCAGACGTAGACATACCTAGGGTGGGCCCTACAGTGTGCATGCATACCTATAGACCCCTGTTTTGGTGTAGCAAGCGTAGTTGGCGTAGTCAACATACTATCATGTGGTTATTTGCAATAAAATACCCGTAGCAGACGTAGCTATACCTAGGGTGGACCATGACAGTGTGTATGTATACCTAGAGACCAATGTTTTGGTGTAGCAAGCGTAGTTGGCGTAGTCAACATACTATCATGTGGTTATTTTCAATAAAATACCCGTAGCAGACGTAGCTATACCTAGGGTTGACCATGAGAGTGTGTATGTATACCTATAGACCAATGTTTTGGTGTAGCAAGCGTAGTTGGCGTAGTCAACACACTATTATGTGGTTATTTGCAATAAAATATCCGTAGCAGACGTAGCTATACCTAGGGTGGACCATGCCAGTGTGTATGTATACCTATAGACCAATGTTTTGGTGTAGCAAGCGTAGTTGGCGTAGTCAACATACTATCATGTGGTTATTTTCAATAAAATACCCGTAGCAGACGTAGCTATACCTAGGGTGGAGCATGACAGTGTGTATGTATACCTATAGACCACTGATTTGGTGTAGCAAGCGTAGTTGGCGTAGTCAACATACTATCATGTGGTTATTTGCAATAAAATACCCGTAGCAGACGTAGCTATACCTAGGTTGGACCATGACAGTGTGTATGTATACCTAGAGACCAATGTTTTGGTGTAGCAAGCGTAGTTGGCGTAGTCAACATACTATCATGTGGTTATTTTCAATAAAATACCCGTAGCAGACGTAGCTATACCTAGGGTGGAGCATGACAGTGTGTATGTATACCTATAGACCAATGTTTTGGTGTAGCAAGCGTAGTTGGCGTAGTCAACATACCATCATGTGGTTATTTGCAATAAAATACCCGTAGCAGACGTAGCTATACCTAGGGTGGAGCATGACAGTGTGTATGTATACCTATAGACCAATGTTTTGGTGTAGCAAGCGTAGTTGGCGTTGTCAACATACTATGATGTGGTTATGTTCAAAAAATACCCGTAGCAGACGTAGTTATACCTAGTCTGGACCCTACAGGGTGTATGCTTGTTTTGGTGTAGCAAGCGTAGTTTGCGTAGTCAACATACTATGATCTGGTTATTTTCAATAAAATACCCGTAACAGACGTAGGTACACCTAGGGTGGGCCCTACAGTGTGTATGCATACCTATAGACTCATGTTTTGGTGTAGTTGGCGTAGTCAACATACCGTACTATACTGGGCTTATTTTCAATAAAATACCCGTAGCAGACGTAGCTATACCAAGCACGGACCATGACATACCTGTATACTCCTTCTTATGTGTAGCAAGTGTAGTTGTATTTTGTACATAATGTACGTTGTCAATTCTAATGTACGTTGTCTCAATGCTCGTACCTCAATTCACAGTTAACCCTAATGCAGGCAAAGTATTTTTCATCACGTTAACTTGGAAATTAGAGCGGGGGTGTCAGATGCATGTCATATTGAAACTTAACAATTACAGTCAGTTTACACTTGACACAAGTTGCCGCTCCCTCATCGTCAGGTTATAATTATTGTGATTTGCACCTAGAACGCATCCGACACCTTATAATTCAGTTATATTGCAAGTACGGAGCACGGATGTGGTATTTTTCTTGTACGATAAATAAAATTCCTCGCAAAAAGTCTGTAATGACTGCGGGTCATTTTTAAACGTTATTTCTACATACACACTGTCATGCTCCACCCTAGGTATAGCTACGTCTGCTACAGGTATTTTATTGAAAATAACAACATGATAGTATGTTGACTACGCCAACTACGCTTGCTACACCCAAACATGAGTCTATAGGTATACCACACACTGCCATGGTGTACCCTGGGTATAGCTACGTCTGCTACGAGTATTTTATTGAAAATGACCACTTCATAGTATGTACTGTAGAGGTGTCAAGTATTAACCGGTTAACCGGTTAACCGCCGATAATGCCTTGACCGGTCTGTGTTTTTATGGGTGGTTAGTTGACCGTGTATAATTCTGTTATTTCCCGCGCTTATATTGCATGCTAATCTGTTTGGTTTTAAAGTGTCAGTTTCACGTAAGCTACTCATACATGTCATAAGTCCGGTAACTCCTTACAAACATCCAATCAGCAACTTTAATCCCTGCCACATTGCTTTCCCGAGCTTACTTTGCATGTTAATCTGTTTGTTTTCCAAGTGTCAGTTTCATGTGAGCTACTCATACATGTGATAGGTCCGATAACTCCTTACAAACATCCAATCAGCAACTTTAACCCCTTACTTTGCATGTTAATCTGTTTGTTTTTCAAGTGTCAGCCATGTATAATCAACTCATAGGCCAGATAATTCCTTTAATTTTACATATTGCAAAACAATTTCATAAATAAATTATATGCATTTTTTAATTCGTCAATTTTGTTATTGTTGTCTATCAACGTCGCCAAAATGTCAAAGGTCAAAGCCTCGCTTTGGTAGTGAGAAAATTAAAATTAAAATAAACATTAATCAGCTGCAATTCTCGTTGTTTCGGTGCGTTCGTGAAGATTCCAAGGGTAAATCAATGTGGTAAGTAATTTAGAGGTACCGGTTGTCAGGTAGTGTATGAATAGAGTAAAGCTTGACGAACGTAAAACATAAACGCCGATATATCATTTTTTCCAATTTTTCAACTTTCAAGATCGAAGTTGAAGATTTCATTTGGAATTATTAGTTCAAATTTCCCGCCGGTTAACCGACTTTAACCGGTAAAAACACCCGGTTAACCGGTTAATGCTCAAGCAGTTAATTGACACCACTAATGTACTGTGTTGACTACGCCAACTACGCCTGCTACACCAAAACATGAGTCTATAGGTATACACATACACTGTAGGGTCACCCTATGTACAACTACGTCTGCTACGGGTATTTAATTGAACAAAAACAGTATAGTATGTTTACTACGCCAACTACACTTGCTACACCTAAACATGAGTCTATAGGTATACACACACACTGCCATGGTGTACCCCGGGTACAGCTACGTCTGCTCAGGTACAGCTATGTATACTGCTACGAGTATTTTATTGAAAATAACCACATCATAGTATGTACTTTGTTGACTACGCCAACTACGCTTGCTACACCAAAACATGAGTCTATAGGTATACACACACACTGTAGGGTTCACACACTGCCATGGTGTACCATGAGTACATGAGTCTACAGGTATACATACACACTGTAGGGTCACCCTTATGTACTGCTACGTCTGCTACGGGCATTTATTTGAAGAAAAACAGTATGGTATGTTTACTACGCCAGCTACGCTTGCTACACGGAAACATGAGTCTGTAGGTATACTCACACACTGTCATGGTTCACCCTAGGCCTACGCCAACTACGCTTGCTACACCAAAACATGATCAGGGTACATTACGTATGTACGCGTGATTTTACATGTTGGTTGCGCTTTCTACACATGTGCGAGCCTACCAAAGCCACATTTGTCTGCATGTTACAGAAATCATCACGAAATATGTTCACCTATCTATGGGATTGTAACATGGGCATGTTATATTGATACATGTCAAGTAGGTGATCACCGCACACGTGCCGACATTTTCTTATAATGACCTTGACCTTAGCCTCGTAGACAACTTTATAGTATCCCTCCACCAAAAGAGTAGAAATGGCAACACGTTGACTACAATTCGCGAATGCAACTTTCGGCTATCAGATTAGCTTACTATCTTATGGGCAACTAATTTAAATAATTCATGAATAGTACCTGCCAAAAGTTGCAATCGCGAATACAAGCTATATCTTTACATATTTCCCACTCAATATAACTCCCACTCAGCCCCGTAGCCAGGATTTGCAGGGGGAGTGGTTTGCCAAGGGGGGGGGGGGTTGCCGGAGTTTTTGCCAAGGGGAGAGCTTTTAGACAGTTTTGGCAAACAAATCATGCAAAGAGTGCTCAGAATGGTAAAAAACTGCATGTGGGCCTTTTTGGTCATTACTAGGCCTTCTAAGGCCTTATTTTTTAATTTCAGGCCAAATTTTGAAGAAAATGGGCCTCAAAATTTCAAAATTTGGGCCCACTTTTCGGTTTTAGGGGCCCAAAAGTTTTTTCTATGACCGGAAATTTGCCCCCCCCCCCCTTGTTGGTTCCTGGATCCCCCACTGCACCCCCTGGCTACGGGCCTGACTATACGTGTACACTAAAGATATCTGTGTCCCATAGTAAGAAAGACCTACTGAACATTGTCCGAAGAGAAATCCTCTGACAAAAACACTAAAGAGACTAATCGATCCCCGTGACCCATTGACCCGTGACCCTAAAATCCATCTAAAATCTAAATAAATAATTGACATTATAATAACCTAGGAGTGCTCTAGATGATATCAAAGCATAGGAAAAGAAAAATTGTATGCATAGAAGTATTTAAGAATTGTTAAAGGAATATTCCTTGCCAAACCATCTCTCTCCTCATATGGTAGCTATAACCATATATATATGCTTGTCATGTTTAGCAAAACACGCAAAAATGTTTTGATATGGTCAAATTTGATCACTTAGAAATGTGATGCTCAATTCCAGTAAGCTGCCATCTTTTAAAATTTCACACAGGAAGTGATGTCATCGACTCTCAACTTTGCATATAGCATTAGGTGAGGAGCTATTAAGAATTACAAAACCAGCTAAATATTGTTTTTCAAGTTTGTATCTTATTTAATCCTTCTGAAAATCTCTTCTTTTATTCTAAGTTGACAAGCCCTGAAAATATTTTTGCACAGAAAGTAATGATTACTTGTCTAGAAGTGATTTTGTGCTACTTTCCTATACTGTTATGGGCAAGGTTATAGAAGTTGAGAGTTGATGACATCACTTCCTGCAAGAAATCTTAAAAGGTGGCAGCTCACTGGAAATAAGCACTAGATTTTTAAATGATCAATATTGACCATATTAAAATTTTTTCCCATGTTTTGCTAAATATGGAAACTATATATATGATTATAGCTACCATATCAAGAGAGGAAGGGTCTGGCAAGGAATATTCCTTTAATTTTGTAACCATGACAACTTGATTTTTAATGATATCCACCAGATGATGGAAAATAAGCCTGGGTTAATAACTGTGGGACTCCCATTGGAGGCTAATGTTTCATGGGCCAATTGGGAAGTTTCCTTTCAATTCTCTGAAAGTGAGTTGAAACCAAACCATACATCTATTTTTAGATGTTCTATTCTATAAAATTCTGTCCTTGTTTGATTATAAGTCTGCTTTAATTGGGCTTATTAGCCTTTTTTAAGATTATTGACAAGGACATATTAGGTTGAATACATAGGCCTAGGGAAAAGTAATAGTATGCTGTATATAGAAGAGACAGGTCCACAAGTAAGATTGAAAATTTTTCAAATTCTTTTAGTCTTGGCACTAGTTCTCCTTACTGGTATCAAATTGTATTCCCAAATCTCTCCAAAATTTTCTTCAAAGTGTTTTTCAAACTTATAGCATTGTTTTTTCAAATCTTTATCTAATAACTGCATATAATACTACATATAAAACAACAACTATGGATATCTGCAATTGCCTGGCAAGCTGAAACTGATTGTCAATGTTGGAGTTCAGGGAGGTCAGCAGTGACCAATCAGATCACTTGTTTACTAATGAACTTGCCAAGCAATTGCAGGTTTTCAGAAATTCTCTCTTTTAGACAGCATTATTCACTTTATATCATCTGACTGTTTCAATCTTAGGTAAGAGCTACAAACTATCAATTTTCTATCAAATCCCCATGGCTTTTTGAAAATAATACACTAAATATTGTTGAAATCTCCATCTTAACAAGTGGTCTAAGTCAGAGTTGTTCACCTGTCTCTTCTACATGTATATACAGCGTACTATTACTTTACCCTTGGCCTATGGTTGAATGGTTGACTGGAGCAAACATGTATTGAATCAGCAAATCAATAGTGGAGAAAAACCATGTGAAGAAATACTTCGCGGATACCTAAAATAAATGACGTCACGGATCCCGCCATCTTGAAAATAAACTACGAATTTTACTTGTCTTCAAAGCTCTTTGTGAGCTTATATTAGCCTTATTTATTTCAATAAGGAGGTAAAACTATGTCAGCCGAGTCACCAAGAAGACCCTCACGCGGAGGGGGTCTTGTTGTCAGGCCCCAGCCGATGAGGTAGGCCTAAACAATGGAATATTTTTTTCTTACTCTCAGTCAATTTTTACTTTTTTTAAATAATTTTTTGAACATGTAGGCCTAGATCTATTTCTCTTTCGAGATTGTCTGACTGTCAGACTTGGACTTATCATTACATACTTATCCTTATGGAGATGAAATTCTTGAGGTTGATACATGGAGATATGTTTTTAGATGCCGTTCCAGGGATATTCCCCTCTGTCTGATTGTCTCATGAATATTCCACTTCACATGTATAGTATGTATCCAACAGACCGAATATAATATTCGGTCTGTTATGATTGATATATTTCCTGTGGAAATCGCGGTGATATTTTTTGCACATTAATTTCTCGTTTATTATAAGAATGTTCACCTTGAAAATTGGTGAATATGTTGAGATGTTCATCTTAAACTAGAAGCAAAAATATTTGTATAAGGCGGGTACAAGTTGATATAAAATAATGAAATGTTCAGACTCACCGAAACTTCAGGATGTGTTCATAAGTAGATCGCGAAATCAATGTCAAGGACGTTTGAGTTCACGAGATCCAAACGAGATATGCAAATTTTGAACTTTGACAACACATGACCACTTGATTACCTCGGCCTTCTTCATGAATATTTCCGCTCTATTTACTATAAATGAAGAAAATTAATCGGGATAATGATAATAAATGACTAGATCTAATAAATTCCCGCACAAATGGAATTTAGCAATACGCTTCCGTAATGTTGCTCCGTCTGCTCCACGTGTTATTTGTTTACAAATAGACTGACGTCACTGGCTAAATCTCGTTTATCGTGAGAATTGGCATTGCCAAAATGGCTTGACCTAATCAATGGCTTCGCTACAAGAAGCGTCTGTACATTTTATGAATATCTTCAGTAAGAGGACAATATACGAAAAAATTATATTGTAAGTTCTTTATAAGGTAATCATTTTATCATTAAACAAACTTATTTGTAACATTTATACAACACCACATTTTACAATAGGTGACTTACAGTCTGAATATTTATTCAGACGAAGGATACAGTCTAATGTATAACCATTGATTTTACATTAATTCTGTTCTTGACTTTCAGTGACAAATCAGTGATGGATAGTGTGGTAGACTTCTTCCAAGAAGCTCTCCCCCAGGCATATAGTGGCGCTCAGAAACCCGATGACAGAGAAAAGGTGCTTTGGGTCTCATTTCAAGAAGCTGACTTAAATGGTAATAAGATACTGGTACATATTACATATACTTAGCCAGGAAGGGGTGCTGTAAACCTCAGTCTGATTACTGTTAAACTAGTAGGGTATTCATGGGCGTAGCGCCCGGTATGCTGGGTACGCACAGGCGTACCAGATGGTTGCAAATTCGCTCCAAATACAACCAAATTTCCAAATTTTCCTGGGGGAGAACCCACAGACCCCCTAAATGCTCGTTTTTGGGATTCTTGACTCTTGTTCCTGTGGTGGTGGCGTACTACTTAGAAAAGTAGCGCTACGCCCATGGTATTCCTTCACCCTGGATGAATCAAGATGAAGTCTTAAAGTGCACATCATTTTTCCACCGTCATTTATTACAGCAATACTAAAGGAACTTCAATTTTAAAATATAATTTGCAATATTTACTTAAAGGAGGCCAATAATGCTCTCAGCCTAGATGCTGCACAGTCATAAATTAAATATGCAAATAGAATCATTGTTGGTGTCTGTGACAAATGGCTGGTGGTGACATTTTGCATGTTAATGCCTTGTCTTACATTTTGTTATTACATGTTACAGTCATATAATTCTGTATTGTGTTTTCTAGATATTGGCAGGAATCCAGACTGCAGACAACAAAGTGGCAATACGCCACCTATAGTTTTAGTTATTGGATATTCAAATGGAGTACAGATTTGGTCAATTCCTGTAAGTTTTTCTTTGTGGAATATAATTTACTTTAACACATTTGATTTTAAATTGCTTCTAAGTTTCTAAATTTCTGTCTTATTTTGTCCAACTGCTATAGCTTGAAAGACTTTGCCTTACTCTTTAACCTTAAAAATAGCCCATCAGTCGAGATAGAAATGATATTTTAACTAAAATATATAAAAGTTTGAAATAAATTGGATTCTGATGAGTAGGAAGAACCTACATTTGTAATGTTGCATATGTTAATAATTTGGACATCTGATTATGTACTCTTAAAAGCCATTGTTCAATATATTTTTATAATATATTCATCATATTATTACTAGGGAAGTGGTGAGGCCCAGGAACTATATTCTACCAGGCAAGGTCCTGTTAAAACACTCAAAATTCTACCTACTCCTGAGAATGTATTTGGCAACAAAGATGTACATGCAGCACAGAGACCAATTGTTGCCATATGTGATTCTTCAAGGTATGAGGTTTAATTTCAATTTAGTTCCAAGTATGATTTACATATTTATATGTTTATTCCTAATTTGCACTAATTTTGGGACTAGAAGACATGTTTAAATTAAAATGTGTCTGTTATTTGCCTTAACCTCTTGAATCCCAGGCTCTAAAATATTGAAACCAGAGAATTTTTCATTTTTGCCACCTTTTGACATTTTACTACATACCTATACAACTTTAGATGCTCAACATAGTAAAATTAGATGGCAGAGATCATATCTACACACTTTAAAAATTTTTTTTGTATATTGGATGAAACTTGTTCAAACAAGAGCAATTTTACCTTTTCTCGTGACCTATGTTGTGTGGTGATTTTGTCTTTGCAGTGCTGGGAAGCCCTTCTGCTCTGTCAAGTTTGTGTCTCTAAGGAGTGGAGATGAGGTTCATAATATTGCTTTCAACAACCCTGTTAATGATGTCCATGTGAACAAAAGGTACAGTTAATATTTGTTGGTACAAAATTGTATAATTATATAAAGGTTCAATAATCATACATTAGACTTTTTGATTCAAATTATTTTCAAGACACAACATTTGATTTGATTTGTGCTGCTAGGCAGGCAGCGGTGCCACATAAATCTTGGTAGTCTCCAGGCCCGTAGCCAGGGGGGTTCAATGGGTTCGAGCGAACCCCCCCCCAAAAAAAAATTTCTTTCAAAATCATGCTGTTTTCACCATTTTGAGCACTTGTGAAATGATATTGGCCATTTTTAGACCAAAATTGTCAAAATTGAACCCCCTTGGAATTTTTCAAAAAGTGAACACCCTCTTGGCAATCTTGGCTATGGGCCTGGTCTCCAATTTTTTTGTGGATGGCATTCACCATTTTATGCTCACCAGTCGTTGTCTGTAACAAATGTCAGGGGGTGAAATTTTGCATGTTTATGTCTTGTTTCATATTATCATACATTTCAATACTTCTATTGTAGGGTTGTAGTGGTCACATTCAAGGAGAAAATCGCAGCTTTTGATTCGTGCATGTTCAAACAAAGATTCTGGGTGACAAGCTGTTTTCCCTGCCCAGGGCCCAACAGCAATCCAATTGCACTTGGAACAAGGTGGCTTGCTTATGCGGACAAAAAGGTGAGATCATTCTTTCCTGCCCTTGTTTTCTCTTAGATCGATTCCTCAAAGTATGCACAGTTAAACCTGTATAATGAAACATCTTACTGAAAGGAATTACTTTGTTGAAGTTTTAACAAGAGACAAATTTTTTTCCATGTGAAAGAGTCAGTCGGCTCCGTAGTTCAAGTGGTAGAGCACCTGACATATAATCGGGAGGTTGTGGGTTCGATTCCAACCAGGGTGGAGTGTCTTTTTCACATCAGCCTGTAGCATAGGATTTGATCCTATGCTTTCAGATTTATTAAGTTTTCACAAGATCCAAATCCCGCTGGCTTATGTTAATAAACCCACTCTTAAGGAACATCTGTAGAAGCTATAGTAGTCTTCTCTACTATACTGTTCTCTACTATATTTTTACAGTTAGTAGCTGTTCACCAGTCTTGCGGTGGTGTCACTGGAGATGGGGCACAGTCTTATGCTGCTACAGTCATCAGTGCTGCCAAGGTAAGTGTACATTATGATTCCAAATAGAATGCACATGGGACCCCATATTGAAATTTATAGCATGGTATTCTCAATTGATTCCTAACACCAAGAAGATGTACCTATAATAAATCAGTGCACTGATCTCTAGTAAAATGTCAAATTCATAAAGTGTTACATTGAAAATCCTAAAATGCATTAAATTATACCATAACCTTCAAGTTTTGAAAATTTATAGAACATTTTGAAACTACTTTGAAGAATATAATCTTAACTTGTTTCATATTAAAATTCATGTTTTTCCTTCAGACAATTAGTAAAGGCCTGTCCATGTTTAGTGAGACAGTAGTCAGCAGCGTTACAGGGGCTAAGGTGTCCCCCACCCCCCAGAAGAAAGAGATGACCCATGTACATGAGAGTGGACATACACCAGGGGTGGTAACCATCATAGATATACAGACAATAGGGGAAGGACAGGTATGAGGTTTTCCAGATCAAAATCCCTAGGGTGTCAACTTATTGAAATTATTATGATCTAATATTCATGAAATTTATTTGTGTGTTACTAACAATGTTGCATTTTACATTGTAAAAGGTAATTAATTATTAAAATTGAGGAATCAAGAACATTTGATCACCTGATTTCTTCAGCCTTATGTCATTCAGATTAAACAGATTTTACTGTACGTACAGTAATATACACATAAACACTTTCCAGGTCAACATAGCAGAGGAAAGTGAAGGAGAAGGTCTTATAGCTCACTTCCCCGCCCATGCAGCTGAGCCCATAACAACAATGGCATTTGATCCTACAGGAACTCTTTTATTGTGTGTGCCAAGGCTTGGGCACTACTTTTATGTGTTCCGTATCCTTGCGCACCCCTGGAGCTCTAGTCTAGGTGCTGTTCATCATCTACATACACTCTATAGGGGAGAAACCACTGCTAAGGTAATTGATTAGATCTTACAAAATTCATTTGAAAATTTAGTTCTTCACATTTCTATTTTCTTTTCGTTCCTATGGTTGATTCATTATGAGCACTGTTCCATTCAGCCTTCTTTGTTTGGTACCCTTTTTTTATTAGCTCACATGGTGAGCTTTTGCAATCACTCACTTGTCCGTCTGTCTGTCCGTCCGTCTGTCTGTCCGTCTGTCCGTCTGTCCGTCTGTCCGTCAACAATAGTGGCACGTTTTAAAACCTCTGTCGATAGGATTCCTGTTTTAAGTTATTTCTGTTCAACATCAATACAGAAAACCCCCCTATGACTCCTGGTTAAAAAGCTCGCCTATTTTCAAAATGGCCGTCACTTTTGTCTCGCGAAATTCACTTTTAGCCCATTTCCTAGCTAACCTCTGTCGATAGGATTCCTGTTTTAAGTTATTTCTGTTCAACATCAATACAGAAAACCCCCCTATGACTCCTGGTTCAAAAGCTCGCCTATTTTCAAAATGGCGGTCACTTTTGTCTCGCGAAATTCACTTTTGGCCCATTTCCTAGCTTTACAAATAATTTCAGGTGTCCTACATTGTAAAAATCCATGTCAATGTAAAGATTAGATATATGAAATAATTTTGTTACAAAAAATCAGCGAAAAATTATATCCATTTTTTTATTTTCAGCCATTTTAGTTAACATTGATTTGTATATCTGACTCGCGAAATCCACTTTCTGTCAATAACAGTGGCACGTTTTAAAACCTCTGTCGATAGGATTCCTGTTTTAAGTTATTTCTGTTCAACATGAATTCAGAAAACTCCCCTATGACTCCTGGTTCAAAAGCTCGCCTATTTTCAAAATGGCCGCCATTTTTGTCTCGCGAAATTCACTTTTGACCTATTTCCTAGCTTTACAAATAATTTCAAGTGTCCTACATTTTAGAAATCCATTGCAAAGTAAAGAGTAGATGTATGAAATAATTTTGTTACGAAAAATCAGTGAAAAATTATATCCATTTATTTATTTTCAGCCATTTTAGTTAACATTGATTTGTCCATCTGTCTCGCAAAATTCACTTTTGGACCATTTACCTTAAACCCTCTGTCGATAGGATTCCCATTTTAAGTTATTTTTGTTCAACATCAATACAAAAAACTCTCCTATGACTCTTGGTTCAAAAGCTCGGCTATTTTCAAAATGGCCGTCCCTTTTGTCTCGCGAAATTCACTTTTGACCCATTTCCTAGCTTTACAAATAATTTCAGGTGTCCTACATTGTAAAAATCCATGTCAATGTAAAGGGTAGATATATGAAATAATTTTGTTACAAAAAATCAGCGAAAAATTTGTATCAATTTTTTTATTTTCAGCCATTTTAGTTAACATTGATTTGTCTATCTGACTCGCGAAATCCACTTTCTGTGGCACGTTTTAAAACCTCTGTCGATAGGATTCCTGTTTTAAGTTATTTCTGTTCAACATCAATTCAGAAAACTCTCCTATGACTCCTGGTTCAAAAGCTCGCCTATTTTCAAAATGGCCGCCATTTTTGTCTCGCGAAATTCACTTTTGACCCATTTCCTAGCTTTGCAAATAATTTCAAGTGTCCTACATTGTAAAAATCCTTGTCAATGTAAAGAGTAGATGTATGAAATAATTTTGTTACGAAAAATCAGCGAAAAATTATATCCATTTATTTATTTTCAGCCATTTTAGTTAACATTGATTTGTCCATCTGTCTCGCAAAATCCACTTTTGGACCATTTACCTTAAACCCTCTGTCGATAGGATTCCCATTTTAAGTTAATTTTTGTTCAACATCAATACAAAAAACTCTCCTATGACTCTTGGTTCAAAAGCTCGCCTATTTTCAAAATGGTTGCCATTCTTGTTTCGCGAAATTCACTTTTTGCCAAGTTCCTAGCTTTACAAATAATTTCAGCTGTCCTGCATTGTAAAAAGCCATGTCACTGTAAAAGGTAGTTGTATGAAATAATTTTGTTACAAAAAATCGACAAAATATTATATCCGTTTTTTTTATTTTCAGCCATTTTAGTTAACATTGATCTGTCCATCTGTCTCGCGAAATCCTTTTTTAGACCATTTGCTTAAAACCTCTGTCGATAGGATTCCAGTTTCAAGTTATTTTTGTTCAACATCAATACAAAAAACTCCCCTATGACTCCTGGTTCAAAAGCTTGCCTGATTTCAAAACGGTCGCCATTTTTGTCTCGCGAAATTCAATTTTGGCCCATTTCCTAGCTTTACAAATAATTTCAGGTGTCTTGCATTGCAAAAAGCCATGGTCACTGTAAAGAGTAGTTGTATGAAATAATGTTGTTACAAATTATTGGCAAAAAATTATATCCGTTTTTTTTTCAGCCATTTTAATTGAAATAATTTTGTAAGAAAAAATCAGCAAAAAATTATATCAGTTTTTTTCTGTTACCATGTGAGCCCAGTACCCATGGTACTAATTTTTGTACCTCTGTTTCATTTTTTTTTTTGATCAAGTACTTTTGTTGAGTTTTTGATGATATTGTGATTTTAGTTTTCCACAAAATTCAATTCATTGTGTCTGGTCTTTCAGGTTCAAGATATAGCATTCACAAGGGACAGTAGATGGGTTGCTATATCAACACTTAGAGGGACCACCCATGTTTTCCCTATATCTACATATGGGGGACCTATCACTGTGAGGACACATACATCTCCTAGGACTGTAAATAGGTTGGTAATGTTTCAAAACATCAGTATTCTATCTTTTAAACATTCATGTGCTGCCATTTTTCAGTACTAGTATCATTTGGATCAGATTAGTTTTACTGTTCTTAAGTCTGCTTTACTCAGATATTTACATGTATTTCATACTTGAGTGGGTTTGGGGTAGATATCACCTGGGAATATATATTATATCTGAGGAGCGGGTAGGATATATTGAATATGTCCCGCTCTAGGCCAAATGCAGGCAGATATAATATATCCATCCCGCTCCTGGGAATTTTTTCAAAAGTTTAAAAAATTTTCAGAAGTTTAAAATTTTTCAAAAAGTTTAAATGTTACAATTCTATTGTATTGAACTGAAGGAATATTATGAAAATGTTAAATATAAATTGTGCTTTTACAGTAAAGGCCTATCTTGTCATTTGAAAAAGGTGGAAAAGGTTATATCTACCCCAAACCCACTCAAGTATGAGATACACCAGTTATGTACGGTCGGTTTTGGATACAGTGTTTATCCCGCGGGAAATATGTGTATCTCCCTCGGTCCCTGCGGTCCCTCGTGAGATACACATATTTCCCTTGGGATAAACCCTGTATCCAAAACCTCCCAGTACATAACCCTTATATATCCATATCATGGCTAGATATGGTTAAGTATATTTCTCTAGGTAGATATGTCCAAGGTTCTATTTTTGTTTGAGAGTCTGTAATACTTTTATGAATGTAAAGGCAGGGACTTGGTTGTCCAAAACTTGGTTTAAAAGCTGCGATGGATGTTTTTTTGACCACACAAACATAGTGCTCTTTCAAGGAGTGATTTCTGGTCCTGTGTTCTGTGGAAAAGTTCATTTTCTATGTTATTTTTGGCTCACACAGTGAGCCTATGGGATCGACCAGGCGTCAATTTCCCAACTTCGCCCGGTGTCCGAGAAATTGCCGATTTTGACATCAAAAAGTCAAATTTTCTGTATATACTAGACACTTTGTTGAAGTAGAACTTTCAAATAACTTTTAGTAGTTGCTGTATATGCAACTTATGTCCTCTGAAGATTTCAAAGCTCTTGGAATTACAGTTTTTGGTGTTTACTCTATAAAATTTGACAAAAAGTAGGACTTCAGTCATTTTCAGGAAACTTTCTCATGTATAAAGTCAATGGCAGGTTTTGTGATTGACAAGATTCTCAAAGTTTGCCTTATACTTGATCATTTCTTGCAATGAATTACATCATTACTAGATTTAAGCATTCCCTACATATTGCTCGATATATGTCAGCATAAAATTTTTACAGTTTTTGAGATATTTGACGTAAAAAACAGTAAAAATAAGTTATTTTTCAACTTGCTTCAATTCGACCAAATTTTTTTTTGAAAATCATCTACAAGTTCCCAGGAGCTCAAATCTGACATTAGTTTTAGGATTTGACCTTTACTTGACCTTCAGTGACCTTCGAAAGGTCAAAAAAGTTGATTTTTCAAATTGATTTTTGGTTTCAAATTTTGGTCAGCTTAATCACAAAAGACCTTACTGAGCTCTGAATAAGTAAAATGTTCAAGGTCAAAGGTCATCAAAGTAGGTCACAAAACTGTGCCATCAAAGTTTATTTCTCAAAGTTCGAGACAACAAATCCAAATCAATATTTTTGTTTTAAAGTCAGGATATACATTCCTCTGAAGGTTCCAAACTGTGTGAGCACAGGACCGTGGGTCCTATTTTTATATCAACCTATACCCAATGCACCAGGGTATGGGCAACATCTGCAATATATTGTCATTTTCAGATACAGGGTCCCTTGAGAGATACACATATTTCCCTCGTGATAAATTCTGTGTCTTAAACCTCTGAATGCATAACTTCTTATTTTACAGAGCAAGCAAATTCCATAAAAGTGCTGGTCTTGAGGATCTCACACAAAAGCCCCAGTCTGGAGTAACTGGGCAACAGATTTCTGTAGCGCCATCTAGTGGAAGTCCTGGAACTTCACGTAAGTAAATCACTGATTTCGAATTTGAAATGTTCATGATCTCTTTAAAATGAAACCACATTAGCTACAGTGTGTGAGACAGTGATTTACTAGAATTGCATTGCTGCACATTAAAACCTGTCTAATTCGAACACCACTGGAACTGAACAAAAGTGTTTAGATTAGTGGTGTCAATTAACTGCTTGAGCATTAACCGGTTAACCGGGTGTTTTTACCGGTTAAAGTCGGTTAACCGGCGGGAAATTTGAACTAATAATTCCAAATGAAATCTTCAACTTCGATCTTGAAAGTTGAAAAATTGGAAAAAATGATATATCGGCGTTTATGTTTTACGTTCGTCAAGCTTTACTCTATTCATACACTACCTGACAACCGGTACCTCTAAATTACTTACCACATTGATTTACCCTTGGAATCTTCACGAACGCACCGAAACAACGAGAATTGCAGCTGATTAATGTTTATTTTAATTTTAATTTTCTCACTACCAAAGCGAGGCTTTGACCTTTGACATTTTGGCGACGTTGATAGACAACAATAACAAAATTGACGAATTAAAAAATGCATATAATTTATTTATGAAATTGTTTTGCAATATGTAAAATTAAAGGAATTATCTGGCCTATGAGTTGATTATACATGGCTGACACTTGAAAAACAAACAGATTAACATGCAAAGTAAGGGGTTAAAGTTGCTGATTGGATGTTTGTAAGGAGTTATCGGACCTATCACATGTATGAGTAGCTCACATGAAACTGACACTTGGAAAACAAACAGATTAACATGCAAAGTAAGCTCGGGAAAGCAATGTGGCAGGGATTAAAGTTGCTGATTGGATGTTTGTAAGGAGTTACCGGACTTATGACATGTATGAGTAGCTTACGTGAAACTGACACTTTAAAACCAAACAGATTAGCATGCAATATAAGCGCGGGAAATAACAGAATTATACACGGTCAACTAACCACCCATAAAAACACAGACCGGTCAAGGCATTATCGGCGGTTAACCGGTTAACCGGTTAATACTTGACACCTCTAGTTTAGATTGTTGGGTGTTCACTTTTGTAGGTTTTTAACAAAAAATATGACAAAAAGGTGTTCACATTGAGAGGTGTTCAGATATTCAGGTTTTACTGTACTATAATAGGATTAATAGTGAACACTTGTTATTTCCAGCATTTCATGACCATCTTATACCATCTGTGAATTACCAGAATGCTCTCAATAGCAACATGAACAACCCACGGTTGCCACCTTATCCACATCCCTATACAGGTAAACCAAAAATATGAATCATCTTTTAAGACAAAACGTCCAGCATAAATGTGATAAACCTCTTCATGGTATATTTCATCATTTCTTCAAGATTTTGCTTTGAACGTGTGAAGTGTGTTTTGATAAAAAGTAATAATTTGAGCATTTTTATCTCATGACACTTACATGTGCAGTTTTGATAGTTTTGATTGCTTTCCAGTATTACGCCTATAGATAAAGTAATCAATCTGATTGGCTCATTTAGCCATGAGACACCACATGTTGTTTATCAGTTTTTAAGGAGGTTAGATGGTGAAGGAGGTTCGATATTATATATTACATGTACAATTGCTTTCCAGTATTACCCCTAGTTCAAGTAAAGCAAGGCACCACATTGCAGTCTATTAGCAGTACAGTTACCAACACTAAGTCCAAGACAACAAATCCTGTAGTCCCCAGCAGTGAATCTGTATGTGTGGCTTCATACTTTACAAAGTCCAGGGGTTGGGTACTTGCAAGTCCTACTACAAGGGACAAAGAAGGTAGCTTTCATTTATTTATTATGTGTTTATACATGGCTAGTAGAGCATTATCTCAAATTTTTTATGTCGCAGGTTCCCTGATATTTGGTTACTATGACAACCATTTCTGATGAGATATTTTTTGATATTTTGAGATATTCTAATTATTTTTTGCTTGATTAGAGAGATATTATGAGAACTTTGTGACCAGCCTTGGTATTACTAATATTATAGTGACCATATTAATCTTCACGTAGTGTTTCAGTGTACATTTTCACTGATTTATCTTTCAGAACAAAAGCGAGCTGTAGATTCCTTATTTATCCTAAATGCTTATGGAGTCCTCTCAGAATATGTCCTTGAACCTAAGCCCAAGAGTGGGCTGGACAAAGTTACAGAAGACTCCCCAATAGAGGTCACTGAAACACCTAGAGCCCAATGGATCCTTACAAGGTGATTTTTGTATTTATGTATTTTAATGTTTATTACATGACTGTATTTCTTAGATGTCTTCCGTGCATTATTTCTTGCCGGGTGTTACAAAGTCACTGTGTCTTTGCAACTAGATGCCTTACCTTTAGGGCCAGATATCTCATATTTTTCATATTAACCTTGGATGCTATACCCATCATTAACATTTCTTATGTTGATCCTTAATGTGAAATAATATATATGATATTTTAGATATGTGACCAAATCATAAACATGTACCTTAAATTTGTATTAAACACGGCTATTAATACTGTAAAGTACAGCCGCTACTTGTATTTGTATTTTGAACTTATAATTTGCAATAAAATAAACTGAATAGAAATAATCCTAATGTATTTTTATTTATTACAGGGGAGCTTCTAATTCTGAACTAAAGCCCCCTCTATTGAGCAACAATCCCTTGTTACTTGCCACAGATGCTGTCACCACGCAACAACCTTCTGAAGGTAAATACATTGACTTTCCTTTCAGATAATGGAACATAGAAACCATATTTATGTGTCTCTGGTTTCTTTAATCATAGTACTCGGGTAACCCCTAATGAAAGTACAATGTTTACATTTTGGTTTGTATAAACTTTTGTAGAGGAATGTGTATGGGTTTGATGAACCAAGCTCGGTGTTCATGTTCAAAGAGTGTGAACTATTGTTTTATGAAAATGTAAAATTCATAGACTATGAAGAAGTATAAAAACACTGGATCAAGGGTCTAGATAATATTTTTGGTAAGTATGTAAATATCTAATTTTTCAAAAATAGTCAACAATTGAACATCATCTTATTACTAAATATTTTGCAGATGATTGCGATGGTGTCCCTAGAACAGATTCCCAGAGCAGTTTATCTTCAGATCACAGCAGTAAGGGAGAATGGGAAGACCAATGGTTATCACAGGTATGGTATTTCCTTGCATACACTCCCCTCCATAAGTTTAGCAAGTGGAAGTTTTACAATAGTAAGGGAGAATGGGAAGACCAATGGTTATCACAGGTATGGTATTTCCTTGCATACACTCCCCTCCATAAGTTTAGCAAGTGGAAGTTTTACAATAGTAAGGGAGAATGGGAAGACCAATGGTTATCACAGGTATGGTATTTCCTTGCATACACTCCCCTCCATAAATTTAGCAAGTGGAAGTTTTACAATAGTAAGGGAGAATGGGAAGACCAATGGTTATCACAGGTATGGTATTTCCTTGCATACACTCCCCTCCATAAGTTTAGCAAGTGGAAGTTTTACAATAGTAAGGGAGAATGGGAAGACCAATGGTTATCACAGGTATGGTATTTCCTCACATACACTCCCCTCCATAAGTTTAGCAAGTGGAAGTTTTACAATAGTAAGGGAGAATGGGAAGACCAATGGTTATCACAGGTATGGTATTTCCTCACATACACTCCCCTCCATAAGTTTAGCAAGTGGAAGTTTTACAGTAGTAAGGGAGAATGGGAAGACCAATGGTTATCACAGGTATGGTATTTCCTTGCATACACTCCCCTCCATAAGTTTAGCAAGTGGAAGTTTTACAGTAGTAAGGGAGAATGGGAAGACCAGTGGTTATCACAGGTATGGTATTTCCTTGCATACACTCCCCTCCATAAGTTTAGCAAGTGGAAGTTTTACAATAGTAAGAGAGAATGGGAAGACCAATGGTTATCACAGGTATGGTATTTCCTCACATACACTCCCCTCCATAAGTTTAGCAAGTGGAAGTTTTACAGTAGTAAGGGAGAATGGGAAGACCAATGGTTATCACAGGTATGGTATTTCCTCACATACACTCCCCTCCATAAGTTTAGCAAGTGGATGTTTTACAATAGTAAGGGAGAATGGGAAGACCAATGGTTATCACAGGTATGGTATTTCCTTGCATACACTCCCCTCCATAAGTTTAGCAAGTGGAAGTTTTACAGTAGTAAGGGAGAATGGGAAGACCAATGGTTATCACAGGTATGGTATTTCCTTGCATACACTCCCCTCCATAAGTTTAGCAAGTGGAAGTTTTACAGTAGTAAGGGAGAATGGGAAGACCAATTGTTATCACATGTATGGTATTTAATTACATACAGTACCCTCCATGAGTTGATTATTTAGAAGATAACTAAGCTTTTAATTATCAAGAAATTTTTATTCTAAATCTTTGTTTTGAATCATGTATTTGTAGGTTGAGATGGTAACTCATATAGGGCCGCATCGTAGACTCTGGATGGGTCCTCAGTTCAGCTTTAAGACATTGTTTTAAATCTGGTATTTCTAGGTTGAGATAGTAACTCATATAGGGCCGCATCGTAGACTCTGGATGGGTCCTCAGTTCAGCTTTAAGACATTGTTTTAAATCTGGTATTTCTAGGTTGAGATAGTAACTCATATAGGGCCTCATCGTAGACTCTGGATGGGTCTTCAGTTCAGCTTTAAGACATTGTTTTAAATCTTGTATTTCTAGGTTGAGATAGTAACTCATATAGGGCCTCATCGTAGACTCTGGATGGGGCCTCAATTCAGCTTTAAGACATTGTTTTAAATCTTGTATTTCTAGGTTGAGATAGTAACTCATATAGGGCCGCATCGTAGACTCTGGATGGGACCTCAGTTCAGCTTTAAGACATTGTCTCAAATCTGGTATTTCTAGGTTGAGATAGTAACTCATATAGGGCCGCATCGTAGACTTTGGATGGGACCTCAGTTCAGCTTTAAGACATTGTTTTAAATCTGGTATTTCTAGGTTGAGATAGTAACTCATATAGGACCGCATCGTAGACTCTGGATGGGTCCTCAGTTCAGCTTTAAGACATTGTTTTAAATCTTGTATTTCTAGGTTGAGATAGTAACTCATATAGGGCCGCATCGTAGACTCTGGATGGGACCTCAGTTCAGCTTTAAGACATTGTTTTAAATCTTGTATTTCTAGGTTGAGATAGTAACTCATATAGGGCCTCATCGTAGACTCTGGATGGGTCTTCAGTTCAGCTTTAAGACATTGTTTTAAATCTTGTATTTCTAGGTTGAGATAGTAACTCATATAGGGCCTCATCGTAGACTCTGGATGGGGCCTCAATTCAGCTTTAAGACATTGTTTTAAATCTTGTATTTCTAGGTTGAGATAGTAACTCATATAGGGCCGCATCGTAGACTCTGGATGGGATCTCAGTTCAGCTTTAAGACATTGTCTCAAATCTGGTATTTCTAGGTTGAGATAGTAACTCATATAGGGCCGCATCGTAGACTTTGGATGGGACCTCAGTTCAGCTTTAAGACATTGTTTTAAATCTGGTATTTCTAGGTTGAGATAGTAACTCATATAGGACCGCATCGTAGACTCTGGATGGGTCCTCAGTTCAGCTTTAAGACATTGTTTTAAATCTGGTATTTCTAGGTTGAGATAGTAACTCATATAGGGCCGCATCGTAGACTTTGGATGGGACCTCAGTTCAGCTTTAAGACATTGTTTTAAATCTGGTATTTCTAGGTTGAGATAGTAACTCATATAGGACCGCATCGTAGACTCTGGATGGGGCCTCAGTTCAGCTTTAAGATATTGTTTTAAATCTTGTATTTCTAGGTTGAGATAGTAACTCATATAGGGCCGCATCGTAAACTCTGGATGGGTCCTCAGTTCAGCTTTAAGACATTGTTTTAAATCTTGTATTTCTAGGTTGAGATAGTAACTCATATAGGACCGCATCGTAGACTTTGGATGGGACCTCAGTTCAGCTTTAAGACATTCCAGAATGTGACAAATACAACAGTTCTCTCCTCCAATTCATCAGCATTGTTATCGCAAAGTCCTGAAACAGCATTCTCAACCATGGATATCGTCACAGAAGATGTCGATCTACAAAGTTTAAAGTGAGTCTATGATTTTTTTAAGATTAATCATTTGATTTAAGAATCAGTCGTCATTTCAGACCATATCATGTAACATGGGTGTTCATAAAATGTTTATATATAGAGCACAGTATGTGTTATCTTTAATAAAGGCCTTTTGTAAAGAAGTGTGGGCATATACAACTGTTGATTTTTGTATTTTATAAGGATATAATAAGAATGATATAATGTAGCAATGCCTTAATAGTGTTAAAACGGATAGAGGGATTGATCATTTTGCCCTTTTATGCTCTTAGGTTACACCAAGCAAGATCTAGTCCTGTAGCAATGCCTGGGGCACGTGGAAGTAGACGTCACTCCTCAGGCAGTGGCAGCGATCATTTTACTCCTAACCAGTATGACAACAAGTCAGTTCTCACCATAGAAGCAGGTCAGTTACAACTTATATAAAATAAAGATTATTTTATTCATATACAAGTAATGTATACAGTGTAAACTTTAATGTCGACATTGACTACCTATTAACTTAAGGTTGGACAAATGACAATTGGGGTTACTACTTTGATTCTTTTGATTCTTTCAAAAATATTTTGTATTTTTCATGCATAACTCAAGAATGGCTAAAATGAAAACGCTTTTCATCAATTTATTCCGATTTCATTACAGACATGTATGTTCTTTCATTTAATCTTACAGACATAGAGATTAACCTATATGGGGTTCAAGATATTGGGATTATGCCCCGGCTAATATAATATACCTGCTCTATGGGACTGCGAGAAAGTGCTGGTATTCAGATTTAAGAGATAATATTCCCTCTAAAGTGGGTGTTCATCTGTAGTTGTGTTGTTTTACAGGAAGCTATGAGCAGTCTCCTAGTCTCGTAGATGTCTATGGAAGCTGGCCAGAGATTCCAGGTGGAACGCAAAGTACAGAGAATGCGGAGGACCATATAAGGGAAACACTTGCAGATGCGATGATAGAGTCAAATAAAGAGGGAGCTGTGCAATGTCCTAAAGGTATGCAGATCCATTACATTATGCTTTATGGTAGTCTTACATTGAGACCCTGTGTCCCCTTTCCCTATTGGGAGAGAGAAAATGTGGGAGGATGTACAAGGTCTTGAAGAAAAACTATTATATATATTCATATTTGTTGGTTTTGCTTTATGTTGAAAGAATAGGCTTCAGGCCCATAGCCAAGGGGGGTTCGATGGGCCAAAACATCTTTCAAAATCATGCAGTTTTTCACCATTCTGAGCACTTTTTAAGTGATTTTGGTCATTTTTGGATCAAAATTGTCAAAAGTGAACCACACCTGGAATTTTTCAAAAAGTGAACCCCCCTTGGCAAATCCTGGCTACGGGCCTGGGCTTTCACCAATTTTTCAATTCTATCTACAAGTGTGTATGCAAGGATTATGTACTCTGAGGTTTTGAATACATTGTTTATACCGAGGAAAATATGTGTATCTCCCCAGGAACATTCCTGTCACTTATATCTTCAGAAAGATGTCACCCTGAGTTATTTTCAATGAAACGTTATTTTGCCACAAATTACCATGCATTAAAGGTAGCGTTAGATCTAGCTAGCAAACTAAACATAGATTGTTTCAATTTTAGAATATTTTAGGCTCCTATCATTCCTTGCCATGCCTATTTTTTTAAATAAAAATCCCTAAAGTGATACTACATAAAGTGAAACAATATAGATTTTTACAACAATGTATCATTTTTTCTGTATATGTAGATATGGTCACCGCATTTATTATTTTGGAGATTTTTCCCACATTTTTGCACTTTGAATCATAGATAACTTCACCAATTAAACAAATCTTCACATCTTCCATACTCCTACCTGATAGACATAGTGTGACTTAAGAAGGAAATTTTTTTTATTTTTGATAAACGCCAATTAGGTATCTTGTAATTGCTAGTATTTGTATTAATTTCATGTTTAAGCAAAACAGTTTGGATGAAATCATTTTGGATGACCATATAACCTCGTGAGTGGACGAATTGAGTAGGTTGTAAAATATTAAATATCAGAGACTTAATTGACATTTTGTCATGTAATAATTCTATGATTTGGCTGTCATAATCTATCTGTTTGATCAGTGTAAATTCTAACTGGAAATGTATCAAATTTTACCAATAGGTATCTTCTAATCATATGTTTGACATATTACCATGTTTGAAGGCATATTCATCAATTCTCATCAAGTCTCTCTCATTCTTTATTTGTCATTTATTTCTTATTGAATTTTAGTGTAATTGTATAGTTCTATTACAAGGCTAAATTTAGTGTTCAACTGTTACATTATGGTCAAGTTATGGTATATATTGAACAATGATGTTCTTATAACTAAATACTCAGAATCATCAAACAACTAAAATCTTCTTATATTTATAACATTTTATGCAGGCCTGTAGCCAGGGGGGTTCACAGGTTTCGGGCCAAAATTTCGTTCAAAATCATGCAGTTTTTCACCATTTTGAGCACTTCTCAAGTGATTTTAGCCATATTTGGGCCAAAATTGTCAAATGTGAACACCCCTGGACATTTTTGAAAACTTGGCAAATCCTGGCTACGGGCCTGTTTATGGATCAACCATCTAAATTAAAATGTTCAAAATATGAATCTGGCAGTCTTGGTTTTATATTTCTGTATTTTCAGCTCTAATGGTTAAAAATTTCAGCTAACATTAGTGAAATATTTTCAGCTAATACTATTTTTAGCTCAGTTGGTTTAATATTTTCAGCTAACATTAGTAAGATATTTTCATCTAACTTTAGCTTCTATTTTCAGCTAATACTATTTTCAGCTAAATTGGTTTAATATTTTCAGCTAACATTAGTAAGATATTTTCAGCTAACTTTAGCTTCTATTTTCAGCTAATACTATTTTCAGCTAAATTGGTTTAATATTTTCAGCTAACATTAGTAAGATATTTTCATCTCACTTTAGCTTCTATTTTCAGCTAATACTATTTTCAGCTAAATTGGTTTAATATTTTCAGCTAACATTAGTAAGATATTTTCAGCTAACTTTAGCTTCTATTTTCAGCTAATACTATTTTCAGCTAAATTGGTTTAATATTTTCAGCTAACATTAGTAAGATATTTTCATCTCACTTTAGCTTCTATTTTCAGCTAATACTATTTTCAGCTAAATTGGTTTAATATTTTCAGCTAACATTAGTAAGATATTTTCAGCTAACTTTAGCTTCTATTTTCAGCTAATACTATTTTCAGCTAAATTGGTTTAATATTTTCAGCTAACTTTAGTAAGATATTTTCATCTCACTTTAGCTTCTATTTTCAGCTAATACTATTTTCAGCTAAATTGGTTTAATATTTTCAGCTAACATTAGTAAGATATTTTCATCTAACTTTACCTTCTATTTTCAGCTAATATTAGTGAAATATTTTCAGCTAATACTATTTTCAGCTAAATTGGATTAATATATTCAGCTAACATTAGTAAGATATTTTCAGCTAACTTTAGCTTCTATTTTCAGGTGATATTACTTGGGTGCATCAAAAAGTGTTGCAATTTTGACACTATCTCAAGAACAATGTTTGCAGAAAATTGATAATGGGAATTTGAGAACAATGTTTTAATATGCAGAAAATTGTTAATATGAGACTAAACAAGGTGTTGGCAAATTGATGTCATTTATTCTGTTTATTGAGTGATAATAAATTTGCATGGAACCAATAGGTTGCATCTTATGTTGCTATGACAACCATATTTTCTTAAAAATGAAGACCCAGTCTCCAAATTAAACAGGTATGTCCACAAATGTATGATCAATGTATGTGCCAAATATGATGACATAACTCAATATAGTTATTGCGATAGAGTCAAAATTGCAAATCTTTTTGATGCACCTAAGCTGTAGTTCAAATGTTTTCAGATAATATTGTCACCTGAGTGTTAACTACAGTAAATACATACAATTAAACTGTCTTTAACAACCAATTTCAAGTTTTATTAAAAAGGGTAACCTTTCGTTGACATTAAATAATTATGTTATTATTTTTAATTTTTATTTTTTTATTTTATTTATTTTATTTCAAAGAAAAGACGTGTCAAAGCAATTGCAAAAAACAATTACAATACAGTTACATGTTAAAAGTTGATATAACTGTGACATTTACAATGTAATAAGGCAAATATTCTCTGTAATACAATAGCGGTTATACCAAAGTTATACTCATATTTGTGGTTGTCAACAATATATTGTAACCATGACAGCGATCATGACATTATTACAACTTTTAATCACATGTTCGATGCATATGCTTTGCTTCTTCTTAGTGTTCTATTTTAGCAACTGCTGAATAGCTGATCAGAAAATTATTTTTAAGGGGGGGGGGGCATTATTACTAACAGCCACAACTCTCTACAGTCATGTTTTATAGTTTATTATGCAAAACTACTAACCTAATAAAAATTATTTTCAGTTCTTTAAAAGAGGCCGTCATTTACATTTTTCCAATAAGAATTAGTCCTTTGATATACCTGACATTCTATTATTTCATATTCATACTCAAACTAGCCAACTTCGCACGCTCCGGTCTTCACTGCGTTCATCCGACTGATGGGAGCCGAGTGAACGAAGATGCAAACTAGCTACAATTGTGGTCATTACAATATGATTATTTTTGTGCACACATTGGGAATTTGCGTTTCTGTATTTGGCAAATGATCATGTGACATTCCAGAAGTTGCTCTAGTAATAGAACACTCGTTGTATTGTATTTTATTGTATTGTATATAGAACACTTATTGCATTGCACCGTATGTATTTTATTGTATATTGTATTACAATGATGATTTGAATGATATTGCATTACCATGGCTTAATATTTAAGGTTAGTGAATAGTGATGCACTTTTAAGATTTAAAGTAAAATTAATTGATACCACAATAGATATACCAATATACGAGGGTATATCATAAAGTTCTCATAATATCTCTCTAATTTTTTTATTTTTCAATATATTCTAATGAAATTTTCAGGAAATCTGCAGTATAGAACACTGTATTAATCTATCAAAAAATATTTGATATAACAGAAAAATTAAATAAGTAATGGTTGCCATAGTAACCGGAAATCAAGGCACCCGGGGCAAATAAAAATAATTGAGAAAATGAGCTTAATTAACCATGTTTACATACATAAGAAACTCTCATAAATTGTCAAACACATTAAAATGTTATGTTTAATATGTTGTTAAATGCTTTTACTATAAAATAAATTGATCATGTGAATTATGTGATGTCTTAGGGGATGCTTACATGCTTCATTAGATGTGATACCAGACTCTGGGAATCAAAGCTTAATGATCAGAAATGACAGAGTAAGATAATGCATAGATGCAGAGATCATCAGAAAAATAAAATTCATACTGACAAAAAGTTTGGTTAAGTTCGAAAAGTCCTTTGATCATACTAAAGATGATCTAAAACAAATATGTTGCAAAGTTATCAACAAAATTACCCCCCTATTTTTGGTCTAAACATATTTAAGATAAACTAAAGGGGGAAAATCGACTTTCCTTGGAATATTTGACAAAACAGTTGTAGTGCCTTACAATACTTCTAATGATGCATTACAATCATCCATTATGAGATCACACAATTCACATGACCATTATAATTGTTCAAAACAGTCAAGAACACATGGCATTTAACAATTTGATGTGTTTCATAGCTTATTTGATAACTTATTATGCATTTAAACATGGTGAGTTTGGGCTATTATTGCACAATTTTTTATTTGCCCCGGGTGCCTTGATTTTGGGTTACTATGGCAACCATTTCTTAAATAATATTTCTGTTGTACCAAATATTTTTGATAGATTAATACAGCATTCTATACTACACATTCTGTGAAAAATTCATCAGAATATATTGAAAAATAAAAAAATTAGAGAGATATTATGAGAACTTTATGATATACCCTCGTATATAAATAACAAATACCACAAAAGATAATAGACAGAAAACAA